CCCTGAGGCCTTTCCCCCCCTGAGAGCTTCTCCTTCCTTAGATCTTTCCCCCCCCCTCTTTTTTCCCCCAGATCTTCTCCCTTTCCTCCCTAAGATCTTTTCCACCCCTTTCCCTGTTGAGATCATTTCTCCCCTTTCCCCCCTAAGGCCTTTGCCCCCAGATCTTCTCCCTTTCCTCCCTAAGATCTTTCCCCCCCTTTCCCTGCTCAGATCCTTTCCCCCCTTTCCCCCCTAAGGCCTTTCCCCCCCTGAGATCTCCCTTTTCCTCCCTAAGATCTTTTGCCATTTTTCCCTGTTGAGGTCCATTCCCCCTTTCCCCCCTAAGGCCCTTTCTCCCTCTGAGTTTTTCCCTTTTCCTCCCTACGATGTTTTCCCCCCTCTCCCTGTTGAGATCCTTTCCCTCCTTTTTTTTTGTAAGGCCTTTTTCCCCCCGCGATCTTCCCCCTTTTCCTTCCTAAGATCTTTTCCCCCCTTTCCTTGTTGAGATCCTTTCCAGCCCTTTCCCCCCTAAGGCGTTTTCCCCCCCAAGAGCTTCTCCGTTTTCCTCCCTAAGATCCTTTGCCCCCTTTCCCTGTTGAGATCCTTTCCCCCCTTTCCCCCCTAAGGCCTTTCACCCCCTGAGATCTTCTCCCTTGTCCTCCCCAAGATTTTTTCCCTTGGTTGAGATCCTTTCCCCCTTTCCGCCCGAGATCTTCTCCCTTTTCCTCCCTAGGATCTTCTCCCACCTTTCCCTGTTGAGCTCCTTTCCCCCTTTTCCCCCTAAGGCCTTTTCAGATCTTCTCCCTTTTCCTCCCTAAGATCTTTTGCCACCTCTACCCGAGCCGAGGGTTGCTGATGCTGTCTCCGAGCCGAGGGTTGCCGATGCTGTCTCCGAGCCGAGCCGAGGGTTCTCGGAGGCTGGTCGGAGGGGTGCTTTTTTTTGTGCGTTGTCGATGTCTGCCAGGAGACGCATGGAGCACATTGGGATCCGCCGACGCCTCATTGTAGTCTCTTTTTTCTTGAGCAATCTCGCCAGGAGGCCCTCCTTTTCCGTGCACATGTTTTCTGAATATTTTCATGATTGCTCTGTCAGGTAGAAGGACTGAGGCGCGAGATCAACCACGGTGCCCGCAAAAGTCGCGCTTGCGCCTTCCGGGACGGGAGGGGAGGGGGGGCGCTGAGCAAGCGCTAGTAGGAGGTGCTGATTCCCTGTTGAGATCCATTCCCCCTTTCCCCCCTAAGGCCCTTTCCCCCCCTGAGATCTTCTCCCTTTTCCTCCCTACGATGTTTTCCCCCCTGTCCCTGTTGAGATCCTTTCCCTCCTTTTCCCCCTAAGGCCTTTTTTCCCCCTGCGATCTTCCCCCTTTTCCTTCCTAAGATCTTTTCCCGCCTTTCCTTGTTGAGATCCTTTCCCGCCCTTTCCCCCCTAAGGCGTTTTCCCCCCCAAGATCTTCTCCCTTTTCCTCCCTAAGATCCTTTGCCCCCTTTCCCTGTTGAGATCCTTTCCCCCCTTTCCCCCCTAAGGCCTTCCCCCCCCTGAGATCTTCTCCCTTGTCCTCCCCAAGATCTTTTCCCCCGAGATCTTCTCCCTTTTCCTCCCTAGGATCTTCTCCCACCTTTCCCTGTTGAGCTCCTTTCCCCCTTTTCCCCCTAAGGCCTTTTCAGATCTTCTCCCTTTTCCTCCCTAAGATCCTTTGCCCCCTTTCCCTGTTGAGATCCTTTCCCCCTTTCCCCCCTAAGGCCTTTTCCCTGCCTGGGACCTTCTCCCTTTCCTCACTGAGATCTTTCCCCCCCTTTCCCTGTTGAGATCCTTTCCCCCTTTCCCCCCTACGGCCTTTCCCCCCGCTGAGATCTTCTTCCTATTCCTCCTTAAGATCCTTTGCCCCCTTTCCCTGTTGAGATCCTTTCCCCCCTTCCCTTTAAGGCCTTTCCAGATCTTCTCCCTTTCCTTCCTAAGATTGTTTCCCCCCTTTCCCTGTTGAGATCCTTCCCACCCTTTCCCCCCTCAGGCCTTTCCCCCCCCTGAGAGCTTCTCCCTTTTCCTTCCTTAGATCTTTCCCCCCTTTCCCTGTTGGCCTTTTTTCTCCCAGATCTTCTCCCTTTCCGCCCCTTTTCCACCCCTTTCCCTGTTGGGCTTTCCCCCCTAAGGCCTTTTCCCCAGATCTTCTCCCTTTCCTCCCTAAGATCTTCCCCCCCCCTTTCCTCCCTAAGATCTTTCCCACCCTTTCCCTGTTGAGATCCTTTCCCCCCTTTCCCTCCCAAGGCCTTTCCCCCCCTGAGAGCTTCTCGCTTTTCCTTCCTAAGATCTTTTCCCCCCTTTCCCTGTTGGCCTTTTTTCCCCAGATCTTCTCCCTTTCCTCCCTAAGATCTTTTCCACCCCTTTCCCTGTTGAGATCCTTTCCCGCCCTTTCCCCCCTAAGGCGTTTTCCCCTCAGATCTTCTGCCTTTCCCTCCCTAAGATCTTTCCCCCCCCCCCCAGTTCCTTGTTGAGATCATTTATTTCCCCCCTTTTCCTTCTAAGGCCTTTTCCCACCCTCAGTTCTTCTCCCTTTTCCTCCCAAAGATCTTTCCCCCCCTTTCCTCCCTAAGTCCTTTTCCCTGAGTTCGTCTCCCTTTGCCTCCCTAAGATCTTTTCCCCCCTTTCCCGCTTAAGATCCTTTCCCCCGTTTCCCCCCTAAGGCCTTTTCCCCCCAAGATCTCCACCCTTCTCTTCCCAAAGTCTTTTTCCCCCTTTCCCGATTGAGATCCTGTCCCCCGATTGCCCCTTAGGGCCTGTTCCCCCCGAGAAAGATTTCCCTTTTCCTCCCAAAGATCTTTTCCCCCCTTTCCCCCTTAAGGCATTTTTTCCCCAGATCTTCTCCCTTTCCTCCCTGAGATCTTTCCCCCCCTTTCGCTGTTGAGATCCTTTCCCCCTTTCCCCCCTTCATTTCCTTCACCAGCATGGGCAACATCCCCAGCATCACTTGCATCATCCGCATCCTTGGCAGGCGCTGATGCGGATGATGCAGGTGATGCTGGCGATGTGCCGCTGGAGCTGCTAAGGATGCGAAAGCGCACCCGGGGGGAATCGAACACCCCAATGTTTTTGACAAACTGAGTTGCGCAAGCCCGCACAATGAACAGATTTAGTGAAGCGCGGGTGCCCCTGGGGAGGGTTAGGGGAGAGGTAATTGGTAAAGAGGTAAGGAGCATTTTTTTGTCCAACACGCCGTCTGTTGTCGGCGGATATATATATATATATATATTTCCTCAGCGGACTTTCTAATTGCCAACCACTTATGTTCACCATTCACCGAAGCATGCAACTGCACGAAAAATACATTGCACTTCACTAGGCTGTCCTCAGATCCCTGCTAAACGAGTGGGTTAAATGGAGCCCCCACTCACAAGTAAAAACCGCCCAAGTTCAAGATAGTAACCAAAACAATAGCAAGTGTCTGATTGATTCCCCGCGTCCATTGGCTGCTGGCGATCACCATTTTGGGTCTCATGGGCCCAGCGCCTTTGCCGCAGTTGATCTAGATGAGCCGACAAAACGCCAATGTTGCTGGGTGTGAAATACGACGGGAAAAAAACCTTCTATCCAACCCCTTATCAATAGGTCCGGAAAAAACAAAGTTCATCCTGAGTTGAGATAATTCACCAATGTGGAATAGGAAACATGAATTCATCATGGGAGAGATCGGTCGCAAATCAAGGGCCAGGATGTGGTCAAACGCTTTCATTCCCCCACGTTAGGGGAAACCATGGGTTCCCTATTTTACGACATGCCTTTGGGGTCGCTACATTTCTCATTGAAGAAGGAAGTGAGCTTCAACGTTCTTGACGAGTGCTCTATCGTTTTGGTTGTTTGCTCCTTCGGATCATTGGCCAAAAGCCCGTACCCCTGGTGCACCGAATCCCCAGAAATGGTACTCGTACCATTGGTTTGACCCACAGCCATTTGTTAAGGGAATGGGTTTGGGGTGCTGCCAGGGGAGCCCACACCCCTTTGCTGGGGAGCGGACGCTTGGGATCCAGACGCAAATTCAGACGGGCTTTCAGAAGCTTCAGCTGCAAATTCAGAAGCGGTTTAGGTTGGTTCGGTGGTTTAGAGTGCGGTTAGTGTGCGTTTGAAATGTGTGTTTAGGGTTGGCTTAGGTTGGTTTAGGGTTGATTTGGTTGGTTCAGGGTTGGTTTAGAGCGTGTACAGAATGCGCTTAGTGTTAGTTTAAGATGGGTTGGTTTAGGGTTAGTTTAGGGTTGGTTCAGGTTGGCGGGGCGTGCCGGGGTTTGGGGATCGGAGCAGCCGGGGTTTGGGGATCGGAGCAGCTGGGGTCTGGGGCCGCGGGTTGGGTTCTGGGGGGCGGGAGGGGCGGGACTGGGACCCCGGACCCCGGGACCATACTATAGATAGTTACGTACGGCTGTGGAAGAATGTGTTCCTGCGTTCTGTGGACTCTATGTACCCTATTTTGCACAGAAGTCCCGGAAGTTTGCTTTGAGGCGAACCCTCTTTGGGCAATCCACCCAGGGGACCTGTTTTTTTCCAGCCCCAAACTTGACCTCCATATCATTTTTTGCTTTCTGGACATAAGAAAGCAGGTTGAGGGGCGGGAGCAAAACCCCCATCCATTCAGGTGATTCAGGGCCAGCCATTGCAACCGAACAGTGACCGAGAGTTTGCCATGTTCCGGGCCGTACCCGTCCCTTGGCTCCCCTTGCTTCCATGTTAGCGATGGGGGTCCCATCCTTTTTTTTTTTGGAGCCCACTGCATCAAATTGATCCCAGAAGCCCTGGTGGGTGACCGAAAATCAGACACGCGGATATTTGGTTGCACGAGCAGACGAGCAGGGGATAACAATTTACCCACTTACTAACAAGCAAGCGAGCAAACAAAAATAGGTTTCCAATCGCCAGCTACTTTTACTTGAGGAAAACATGAGGCGTTTTTTCTCACTAGCCCACCAAAAGTCAAACTGACTTTTTGCGCAGGGGGCCAGGAATCGCCACGGCCGGCCGCTCATATCTTTTGGGCCAGGTGCAGGCGGAGTTGCAGCAGTGGGGGGCGGAGGCAGAGGCGGAGACCAAGGCAGGAGGTTGGGAGAGAAAGCCTGGTTAGCGGCTAGAAAGCCTGGTTAGCCGCACGGAGACTTGTAACCATGGTTTTTTGTGGGCTAGAACCAATTTACTTACCAACCACTCAACATGGCTTTTGTGGGTTAGAACCATGGCTAAAAAACATCCCCAGACAAAAAAGGGGGTTGTTCATCCGGGGTCAACCTGAAGTGGTTGAGTTTGAGCTGGCTACTTATTTTGCTGGCAGGTCAAACTAGCCTCAGTCCACGGCGCAGTTGTGAGGAACACAGGGAGACTACATCAATTTGACACGAGAACCAGAAAACTCACCATTTCTCTCATGTCCTTCAACTTTGCGGGACCGGCATATTCTTACAGTGGCGCTTGGCCCAAAAAACGCCAGGCCTTTTGCCCAACTGTTCCCCTGCTTAAAGCGGCGATGGATCGGGTACGTCAGGTAAGTGGCTAGTAAGCCTGGATATCTCCCACTTGGGAGACTTATGACCATGGCTTTTGCGCGTTACAACCATTGTTATTGCCCGCTTTCTACGTACCCTGTCTGTTTTGGGCTGGTTAATCCCAGGTGCCTGTGCCTGGTCAAGGCAGGTGCCCAAGGGAGTCACCCCTGCCACGTACCTCGCCCCTTGAAGTTGGAACAATGGAGTCGCCAGGCGAAGGCGCACACACTGCCACGATCGTGTGGGCCCAGGAAAGAATGACAGGAGGACGCCAGGTGCTTGAGACATTCAACGGGGGATGTGTTCCCTCCCTTCAAAAGGATGGATCTTTTTCTTTTTTTGAGGGCGGGGGGGGATTCCCTTATATGGGCATGGGTCAAAATTAAACCACCAGGAATTGGACCGCAGCTTTTAGTCCATGCTTCTATTTACCAGGGCTCGATGTTGGGTACCTATTTTTGACCCACACCCATATATTGCTGGCTTAGAAGGCAGAAGGACACCGGCCCCTTGTCTGGGGGGCTGCCCAGTTCTGAGACTGGCCTCAAGATCCGGCATACGACTGCCTCCAGCGTCACTGGAGTTTGGCCAGTCCACAGGGGCGAAGGTTCCCCTACTAAAATAGGCTACAGAAAACAGGGTACCCTTATTCTGACCTCTCTACTGGAGGACCTAGTAAAGGTGAGGATATGAAACGGGGATTTCAAAAGGTGGCCATTTTCTGGGACAGCCTCAGTTTACCCTTTTGGAGGAGGCACTCAACTGTGAGTGTGTAAACTTGCGCCTGGTGTGAGGGGACGGCCCCTTACATTTCACGGGTCATTGGGGAAGCAAGTAATTTTGACCGTGGCTCAAACTAGGATTCGAGATCCTTTTGAACGGCCCATCTGATAGTTCCCCAAACTGCTGACTCAATCACTGGGCCAGGGTTGAGTGATTCAATGATCAAGCCTGGCTGTGTGTCAACACCAAGTACACCTTCAAACGGCTGTTTTTATTTCCGGTTAGAGTCTAAACTCGTCCCCAAGCATATCCAACTTGTTTTTCGGATGCCCGTTTGTTTCAGCCCCATATGTTTGACTCTTAGCTAGGCTATACATACACAATTGCAAGATCAGGGTTGTTCAAAAATGAGGAGTGTATGTGTGGAATCTTTTTTGTCCCCATTACAGCGAGAAACATGAAAGGCACTGGAGTCTAAACTTAGAGCCGTTTTGAACAGCCCAACTACTCCGCCGCCCAATAAAAAAAATACTCTCGGGGCACCATATTTATCAACAGGGCCCTTTGGGGTCGCTTCGGTCCTCGTCCAAATGGGCTCTCCCCTTCCCGGACACGAAGAACCTCAAAACCATTTGTCCGAGTAACAAATGTTAAAAACAAGGTCCAAATTGTTGTTCCTCGTTTTTTGCGGTTTAAACTTAGAGTTACAGTGCAAGAAATACAATGTAAATTAGTACAAGGTAAGTATGCATCTGGAATTTGGGTATTGGGTTGGTGCAAGGAGCCCCCTAAGGCTGGGGCTGGGCGGAGACATCGGACAGTTATTGGTTTTGAATTGGGCTATTCCTCAAGTAGGCGGCGGCCCATGTACCGTCTACAAGAACCAGGGATGCAATTCCCCAAGCAACCAATCCAAAACACCAATTTTCAGGGTTCCCTGATATTAAGGCTTGGTCGGTCGCTGCGAATAAAGGCACGTGTTTTGGCCGTGCAATTTTTCAGGTGTCCAACCTCCGCGCGCAATTTCACCAGCGAGCTGCCATGTCTTCTTCGGTTACTAGGAATGACGAGCAGCCGTCCCCCGTGCCCGGCTCGATGTTGAACAGGCCAAGAAGCATTTAGACCGACGGGCTAAGATGTACAAGGAAGAGCTTGTGCGGATCAAGCGGTGAGAGCACGCTGCGTTGTTCTTGCCTGTGTGAACTCATGCTGGCCATCCATCTTTCATTGCCCTGATTTGGGCCATCAGCCAAGGTTCCCAATGCTTCAGCCTTTATGTCTTGGGTCCTTTGGGCAACTGAGGGCCCTTCGTGCATCTGGATTTGTAAAACCAACATCCAAGATGGTTTCCGCCGCCCACAAACCACTATTCCAAGGTAAAAGCGTGTACCTTCAAGGCTTCTCACCCATGCTTCTGTTCGGAACCCCTCACCCCCTGCGCCCCGCGCCCCCCGCCCTGGGGTTTGCATCCCTGAGCGGATACTTCATTTCCCGCAGGGTAGTGGTTTCAGAGTTGTGAGCACCCTCTTCCTTCCCCTCAGTAACTCCTCAGTGTGGCGGAAAAGCAATAGCTCTTGAAAGCTGACGGTTTTTCTATTACCACCCAAACCTTGATGGAATATACAAGCATGCCAGCTAGAGGGTATATTCCCCTCTTTGCCTGGATCCTGGTTTGGGGGGTAACTCGTTGAGGCGGCTCGTCCGATCCATGCCTCCAGAGGTCTGAGACGGGGTTCCCCCGCGAGCGCGCCACCTCCAGCGCACGCCCGAGCGTCTTCGGGAGCCTCCCCGGCTTTGGCAGCGGGAACTCGAACGCGCCGGGGCCTAAGCGAAACTTGTCATGCCTCAGTTACCCATCCTGTCTGACCTCGGATAAATCCGGACCTTGCATCAGGCGCTTCCCTTTGAGTAAGGAAATGAACTATTTACTTCCCCAGAATTAGCTCCCCTTTTTCCTTTTTTGCTTTTTTGGGGTTCCCTTTGTTTTCCACTCACCAGGCAAAAAAGATAAGTTTTTGCTGGGGTCCTAATTCCAGCCTAGTTTAGGGGTCCCTTTGATTAGTCGAGTCCTCTAATCCCAGGCGATGGGGATGGATTTCGTTTCCTTCGAGCCAGTTGGCATGCGAATCATTCGGCTCAGGGCTTAGACAGGGCGGAAGCGGCGTGTTTTTTTTCTTTCTTCGCTGGACCATGTGAAATTTTGGCAACCCTTGAAAGAGCAAGCAAACTTGGGTCCCAAGTTGAGGCCCTCTATTTTTTTCTTGAGCAATTCCAGGGCGCGGAAATTGGACTGACTGGACTTAACAGACCTTTTGGTCATGTTTGGCCAATTCGGAGTTCCCTCAGTCCCTTTCTTTGCCAAAAGCTGGGTGTGTCTGTAGGGCACCCTCCAACATGGCGGTTGCTTTTGGTTTCCCTTTGAAGCCACCAAAAACGGGTGCCCTCAAAACAAGACACATCCACTTAGCCTTTTGCAGGTCTAAGTTGTTTTGAGTCTGTTTGCCCCACATGCATAGGCCTGCTAGTTATTATCCACTCGGCAGTCACCGCTCCTTGAATTGCGAAGTGAGCACCTCTTGCGGGCATAGAGAGAGTTTTTGATGAGAACGTGTGTTTCGTTGAAATTAGGAACTCATCCCTTGTGGTCGGCGGGGGACCACCCAAAGCACCCAAAACCAGGGGACACTTTTGTCCCTGGCTCATGTCACGTGATTGGCAACAGTTTTCAGCCCAAGTCTGAATCTACAATCTGCCAAATCAAACCTTTCGATTCAGATTGCGCACTACGCAAACCAAAAGCCCGGTGGACCCGATTGGTGAAGCGCCAAGCTTTTTCTCCGCTCCAGGTTTGTTTGGCTTTGGTTTTTGTTCCGTTTTTAAAGGTGCCTTACGCATCCATACCCCCCTCAAAGCTGAACTATGCTGGGAGGGGTGGGTCCAGGCACCTGAATGTCTATTTATGGCAGCATGTCTTTCCCTTAAGCTATGGCCAATTGATTTTGGGGACACAGTGGTGCCCCGTTCTTATGTTTGTTTAGTAATGTTTCACCTGGTTGAATATCGGTAGTCGAATTATGTCAAGTTTCCCCGGCTTAAACACGACCCACCCCCCCCACTGTTTCGGTACCATGATTTATGTCAAGTTCAAACCCAAAAAAATCCCGTTGAACAAAATCTGACTCAAAATTCGCAATATGGGCAACTGATTTCTCCTCTCAGCTTCCTGGCTCAGTCCCAGTAGTGAAACTCTGCAAATCTTTGGTTGCTCAACCCGAGACGTTAGGAATCTCCAGGTCAGATCTTAGCCTCTTTCTTTTAAAAGGGGCTCCAAATCTAAAAGCTTAGCAAGGGACCAGGCCAAGACCTGCGCTCAAGAATTCCTGAATTGATCCTAAGCCCCAACCATCAAAATTCTTTACTTAAATCCATCCAAAAACAAGCCCCACACAGTCCTGCAAAGGGGGTTGCCCACAAGGGGCCTGATCCTCTTTAAGGGGCACTGTTTGGGTACCATGTTTAATGTCCAGTCTTAGGGTGGCAACCCAAAAGGAAGTGCTGGCAATACTAAACCAAGTAGTGGCAACCCAAAAGGAAGTGTGGCAATACTAAACTAAGTAGTGGCAATACCAAAGCAATACTCAAGTCACCCAAGCCCACCGCCAAATCCCTAATCAGGATCCCCAGGACTGTTTTGACTGTTTCGGGGGGGGCCACAGTAAACAAGATCCAACATTAGGGTTTGAGATGTGACCCATGAACCGAGCTCTGTTTTGATACGATGCTTAAGCACCGGTGGAGCAGACAAGCCCGCGAAGCCACCCCCCGTGATCGATCCCGCCGGAGGTTCCGAGATCGAGCGCACTCCTTCGCGCGTCGTGCGCCGCGCGCCGAGGAATCTAGCATCAGTCTTTTGATCACGATTGGATCGATTGCAGATCATGGCCAGGCTTGTCTTGCCTTTTCAACTTTTCAGTTCCTGGACTTTGCATACTTGTTGGGAAGACAATTTTTTGTGGTAAACAACGAGTCCTTTTTTTCTGGCCAATGCGCTCGAACGGAAGTGAGTTTGTTTGTGTCCGATCAGGGCATTCAACTCTGGCCCCGAGCTGCGGAAACATTTGTCCTTTGGTTCTTCCCAGAGTCTCCATAACCCCATGACCCTTAACAAATGGAGTCATTATCCAAAATAATGGTGTCATTGGCCCATTTTCAAAGGGGGGCATGAAGACTCCAGCTTTATTTGGTTTCTTGGTTCTTGAAATTTCTTTGGTTCTGTTCCTTTTGAGTGCAAACATACCAAGGCTCGGCAACTTCGGGGTTGAAAGTGACACCGCCATGACAACCCTTTGTGCAGACCCCCGGTTTTGACACATTGCCATTCAGAGGTCCATGATGGAATGTCAAGAAGGACTTAAATCTGGGGCCTTCCCCTTTTTTGGGGAAATCAACTGCCCCTTCGTTTAAGTCCACCTTGCAAATCAAAAAATGAGTTCTGCCAGCTCACTCTTTCGCTTCCCACCCCCCTACCCCCTGCACCCAGGAAGGTTCCTTGACAGTTGCCTTATGTCCTTGTTGGGAAAGCTCCAGCTAGTGATTCAAATTCAGTGGGAGATTCATATGTTGGGTTCTTTCCTTAAATCATCCTTTTCCGTTTCTTGGGAAATCTAGAAGGATGATTTATTGAAGGACCCAAATGGGCAGTTTCCTGAAAGGAGAAGATGGTTGCTTGGGTTCCGTGTGAATATTTGTACAGGAATTTGCGCAGCTCAATTGAACCCATTTTGGTTGGACAGGTCTTGGCAAGGGTTGCCGCAGACGTGCATCCCACCAGCTGTCTTCTCGTGGTTGTCTTTGGTCCGTTGAGCAGCTTAGCAGTCTTTGGTGACAGGTAAGCCACAATCACAACGTCGGCAAATAACGGTTAGTGGTGGAGGGTTCCAACCAAAAAAAGTACGGATATCTCTAATTATTTTCTCATATGTTTTTTTGTTTGGCGTAGACTCCTTTAATACCAGGTGTAGCCCCCGTCTCAACGAGAAGCGTAGTAGGGATTGCGGGAATCACCGCCTTGCCAACATCTTCCGACCATACATGCATCCTTGCAAGGAAACATTGGTGGGGCTTGTCAGTTATTCCCACATTCGCTACTGAGAACCAAGAAAGCTCCAAAAGCTGCAGTGTGGACCACAAAAATCCTAGACAGCAGGCGCTTAGTTTGTTTGTTTTGTCTAGGAGATGCCGGATGCCCTGTCCTAAAAAAGCTGAAGAAACATGACTCGGTTGTGCTCGATTCCTTGAGGGCCAGGAAATTCGTGCCGTGGAGGCGGAACGGCTGTGTTGCAGCACCAAATCTTTAAGAAACTCCAAACCCTGAAGACAGAGGTTATGGCGGGTTCCCCTTAACAGTGAGACTACTTGGGTTTGCGGTCCGAATCATGTTACTGATGTCTGCTCTTGACCAGACTCAGGCCCCCCAAAAAAGGTCAAAAAGACAGATAAAGGCAGCTAAGTCAGGCAATGTGCCTTTTGTCTTGTTTTTTGGGGACCCAACCCCAAAATGGCTTCGGTTTTCTTTTGGTTTCCCTTGAAGACCACCAAGACAGTGGTACCCCCCAACAAGAGGCACACGAAAATTGCCGAGTTCCTGCGACGGACTGGCATTTCCCGCGGCATTTCTTCCCCACCAGTCGTCAAGATTTATCTCACTTCTTGGGATGGGACCAACAGAAAGTCCAAACTTGTTCTTTGCCGATGGTTTTCCCAAGCAAAAAGGGGTTCACACTTTGGTGTTCGATTCGCCAAGTGAATAGGTGCTTAGTGACCTAAGTCAGAACTCGCTTATAAGTCCCCTGTTCAGTGGAGTTAGCCTTGTTATTGGGTCACAACTCCGGTGGCTAACCGCATACGTACCTGGAGTCTCCTTCTGCCCCCTTAAAAACGGGTCAATGACCCCAAAATCTTGGGAAATGACCCGCCATTTTTTAGGGGAGAGCACCATTCTTTTGGAGAATGACACATTTTTTTAGGGGAGAGCACCATTCTTTTGGAGAATGACCCCATTTTTTAAGGGTCAGAAGGAGACTCCAGGTACTTGGCAACGAAGTTGCTCCCGTGCCTCGGGAATTTCGCAGCCCAGGCGGCTTCATAGCATGGAAGCCCCCCGAGCGCGGCATCTGGAGCGGGCGAGCCGGTTGCGTTGCTTTGCGTTGCGGGGCCCTCTGCTCCCAGCACCAAACTTTGGAGGACTTGGTTCTCCATTTGCATTTTGGCGCATTTTGCCAAGGGATGTTAGGACTGAACAAGTTTTTGCCAACTGATGGGTTGTCCATCTTAAACAAATAAAAGTTAATCACTTTTAGCAGGGGAACAGAAAGCAACCGAGATTTGTGAAAGTTAAAAACTTCTACCTGGGAGGAAACTCTGCTTCATTGTTTGCCAGAGTTTGATTTAACTACGCTTTTTCGCAGGGGAGCGAGATTGCAACCGAGATTTGGGCCGGAGAAGCCAACACAAGTGCGTTCCGTAAACTCAAAAAGGCCCATGTTTAGGTCTCCCAGTAGTGCCCTTGTACCGTTTGGATTTTGGGGGAGTTCCCCTACTAAAATAGACTACAGAAAAAGAAACAGTACCCTTGTTCTAACTTCTCTACTGGAGGACCTAGTTTTTGGAAGGCATGGGCCGGGGTTAGCTGTGCAACATGTTTAAAGAAGGTACCCGCGCGAATTTGCGCAAGTCCGGAACAAGTGAGCGCACGCCATGTTCAAGCGCTTGCTTGATCCCATCACGCACGAGCTGCTGCGATGCAACTGTTGGGCATTGCGGCGCTTGGCCAACTTTCTCTCCCCGTGCAGCATGGCATGTGTATTTCGGCGCAGCATGACCACAGACATAGGCAAGTGTGCTCCCCCCTCTCTCTCGTTCTCTCTCTCTGTCTCTCTCTCTCTCTCTCTCTCTGTGAGCTTGTGTGGTTCGACTGGCAGTCACATAACATATCCCCAGGAGTATCACGGTGCTGCAATGAAAGAAAAAGCAACCACACACAAGCCGGGTCCTTCAAGGAAAAAGACTCGTGAGCGCGTGCGAGAGCCTGGTCGACCGCATCCTCACGTTCGGTAAACACCTTGGACAAGTTGCTGAGCAAGAGCATGTCGACTGGCCATAGGCCAATCAATGGGGGGGACGGGAGCACTCGCTTGGCTCAACCGCAAAGCCAGCAGCAAGGACAGCAAGGCAAGCAAATGCTCCATGGGGCAAAACGGGGCCTCCTTTTGTTTCTGCCACAAACAACCAGCGAAGAGACTGTTTCAGAAAACTGCTTCTTGGGTCACTCCAAACCAGTGTGACGGGATCTGCGCGACCAGAAGCTTACCACCCAGGCCCACCCCAACCCCATCCCCCGCCAGCAAAGGGCGCTGTTAAGGTTCAGCCAGCCCGAAGTGTCAAACGCCCCTAAGCTACTTGAAGCACGTCAACGTTCTCATGATTCCCTCGGGCCCTTAACAGCGCTGGTAGCTCAAACAAGCACCCTCTCTCCTGCAATGGCACCTGAAGGGGAAGTGGTCCCAAGAAAAAAAACTAATCGTTTACTGCCACAAGTGCCTCGGCATAAACAAACCTGGTCGCTGGTCTAGCCAGGAAACCTTTTAAGGACTGCTTGACTTTCACCTCCAAACCGCCAAAAATCCACCAATCAGGGGTAAGGTGATGTTTCGATCGCTAATTTTCTCCCAACAAAAAGCAATCGCCCACGCTTTTGGATGCGTTTGGGGGAGGTTGGTAGGGATAGGCCAAAGGAACTCTTAAGAGGGGTAGACAACCGTGATAAGGACTATGAACGGACAGCCATGGACGAATGTGTTGTGCGTTTTTGGCTGTGTGCCTCCTTTTGGGATTAAGAGGGAAAGCAAAAGGGCATCATCCAAATAGTGGGGGTACGGGCCCCTTTGATTCACACCCACAGATGAAACCTGGTATGAACCCCTAGTTTATCGGTTAGTTGACTAATACTTAATTGTGGGAAGCCGGTGCACATGGCCATACGGACATATACATTGCCAGACTGGCTGACAAACCACTTGCCTGACGTACCCTGCCGCTTGAAGTCAGGTTGGGTTAAGATTTCGATCAAGAACTCGCGCATTCCTTCCCTGCTGAGCAGCATCAAGCGAACTTTTCGTGGGCGAAATCCCCAAATCCAACCACGAAGCCAACTAATGTGGACCCAGGATTAATCAACCCGTCCCATTTATTAGGGGGGCTATCCCCTCCAAAAGCGATGAATCCCCACTAAAAGGGGACACCCCCTATTAATCAACTAAAAGTATTTGTTATTTTCTCTTGTTGGTTTTAGCAGGAATTTATCACTACTGGAAGTATCTATAAATATATACATATATATATATATATGTTTTTTTCCAGGGTCTCAACCAAATGGAAGTAAGCCAACTAAAAAGGTACCGCAGTAGTGCCCTTTTACCCTTTTTTGGGGGAGGGTTCCCCTACTAAAGCAGACAGAAGGAAGAAATTCGGCAGCCTTATTCTAGCCAACTTCTACTGGAGGACCCAGACCAAAACGACCCATTGAAGCCCTCGCCTTTGGATGCCGCAGCCACGCGTCAGGAGGAGGAGGACGAGCTCTGGAGCGGCGGAGACGGCCAGCGTCTCGGCTGCATCCGGTTCCTTAGGCTTTCAGCTTAAAGTTTGGGCGGCTTCACTTGGGATTTGGACGTGTTTTACATAGTGACTCAAGGTGTACCTAGTTTTTCGCATTTTTCGCATCTCGGTTTTTTGCAAAGAATCACATATACATTCGAAAACCTGGTTGCCTAACTCTAATCATGTTCTTTTGGGAGGTGCCCAGCCATCCGGTTTGCTTAGCTTTTGAGCTTTTTAGGGTTTGGTAGGGGTCTTCATTTCGCGCGCCGAAAAAATGGGGTCCCATCCCTTTCTTTTTGAAGATGCTTGTAACCCACTTCTCTTGGTGGTAGCCATCCGGTTCCTTAGCTTTTGAGCTTTCCGGGTTTAGTGGGCGGCTAGATGAGCCGCCCACTAAAAAAATAGACCTTTAGCAGGGCATCCGAGAACACACCCATGTGGGCCATGTTCTTCCATTTGCTTAACACAAACTGTTGGCATTTTCCCCTGTTGGTTTTGAAGGGAATCTATCACGACACTTTGTGTTACGCTTTTCCCGGGGGACGTATTCGCACATGGATGTGTGTGTGTGTGTGTGTGTTTGTTTGTGTCTGTGTCTCCTTCCACTTGTTCTGGGAATCCAATCGGGCATCCCTGTGGGTTTCGGACTGTTCCACCAAAGAGGGTTACTGGATTTTGAGCGTACCTACACGAGGCCGCGGAGACTGATTAGTGTTCCGGTTGCTTCATTTTTTAGATGGGTGAAGAATCGCCAAGCGAGTTCGTGTCCAACTGAAGCTACACAAGCAAAAGTTGCGCCTGGGTTGCGGAGAATGTTTGTTGTTTTGTTGGGTTTTAGGTTGCCACTTTTCTGTGCGCGGGATTCCGTGGCATGGGGATGGCCACTTTAATGCGGGAAAAATGGGCTTGCCACACCCATACTCCCCAAGTGAATAGGTTACAAGCGCGTTTCCGCTCGACGGCATGGTTCGGTTTTTTCATGCTGCTTTGATTCAGCTTTCCTCCAATGGGTGGTTTGGGCCCGGAGGTGTTCCCGTGGCGGTTCCACAGATGTGTCTTGCTCTGCTCAACTGAGCCGCAGCCAGCCATGCAGTTTTACTTTGGTCGCTCACTTGCTGAAAGCGATTGCTTTTCAGGTCTGACTGGTTTGAGAGGGAAGCTGTGGTAGGTTCCTTTCTGGTACTGGCGCCTTGTCTTGGCGGTTGCCAGCCAGACCCTTAGGCGCTTAGACTTTTACGCTTTTTTGGTGTTGGAAGGTTTGAGACATGTCCCACCAAAAGTTTAACTTGTTTGCAGCAGATCAGCGAGCGACTACGTTTTGAAATCAAATGGCAGAGTTGACAGCCTCATTTGGGTGCCTGTCAAAAAGATGGGGACCACACATGGTAATGGTTCTTTCAGTTTCCCTTCAAACCAAGAAAAAAACGCACCCTCAGTGAAAACAAACCCATTTGCTTCTTCTTGGCCTGAATGCTTGGCCCCACACGGCAAAAGTTGGATCTTGTGCATTGAGGCATCAAGTCCAAGATCTTCGTCCTGAGCTTCGCAACTTGGCACCGATCTTTCTTGAACACCCGCTCGGTTTGAACAGGAAAAAGCCTGGAGGGCAAGATTTGTGTGTATGTATGTGCCTGTTTTTGAGGGTACCCTTTGAGGGTGGATTTAGAGAGCTGCCAAAAGGAAGCCACTAAGAGAGGCCAAAAGGAAGCCTAGACACATGCCCTTGTGTTGTCTGAGGGTAATTACCCTTATATCAGGTTGGTTTTGACAAAGACCAAAACGACCTCTCCCTTGTTGGTGTCCCCCTGGTTTGCCACGCCCATTTCACCCTAAGGTTCCTTAGTACCTTGAGAGGATGTACCAAATGACCCATTTTGGCACCCTCAGAAGGTACCGACGGACCCAATACGCGAAAACTGATTCTCAGAAAGATGCCAACAGGGAGAGATGTTTGTGTGATTTCCCCGGAGCCCTTATAGTTTAGCTACTTGGGTGTTCGGCCAAGTTAGTAGACTGGTAGTAGTTTAAGTTACTTAAGTAGAGCTGATCTTGTTATGGGTGGGTTGTACCCCAGGTGGCCAACCACTTACTTGGCAACGAACAGCCAAGTATCTTCAAGGCAGCCGGGCGAATTGCAGATCCAGGGGGCGAGCACGAGAAATGTCCCATGGCCCCAAAAGCCAACGCGTATGTCGACGTCGGCCGTGGCACACAGCCCGGATCCGGACTGATTGCGGGCTATCAAAGCTGCATTTGTTCAGGTTGCTCCATGTGGAATTCGTGCGCCATGGCCAAAGAACGAAAGGACGCCAACAAGGGGGAGATGTTGCTCGAAAAACGAGGGGGGGTTGGTGAGTTCGATTTCAATCAGGAGTGTGGTCTCATTGGGCCATCCATTTTTGAGAGCCCAGACCAAACAAGGGAGCCCCCCAAATTTTTAGATGGCGGCCTTTTCATTATCCTCTTGAGCCACCCCAATCAGGGCTCCCAAGAAGTACCAGACGCGCAACCTCATCCACTCGAGGAGAGAAGCTCGGCCTTGCCGGCGCCGGCTCTGCCCGACATCGAGGCGACAGTGATATGGCCGTGGTGGTCAACACCGTTTTGGGATCCCATTTTGGTGGGTGGGTGAATTCACCACCCGTTTTAGAACCTATTTTGGTGGTTGGATTGAATCGGATGTTCACTGAAAGTACGGGGTTTTGACCCGAAGCCATATCAATCCACGGTTGGCGGCGGGGTTTAGGAAAAGAGCCAAGCACCTACCTGGAGTCTCCTTCTGTCCCTTAACAAGAGGGTGGCCACTGTCCAAAATAATGGGGTTGACCCATTTTTAAAGGGTCAGAAGGAGACTGCAGGTGCACCCTGAGAAAAGGTCATTGATTTGGCGGAATCTTCCTTTGTGCAGTTCTTAGGGTTCCATGTTAACTTGCAGGGGGGTTCGCCCACAAGTGAACCCCAGTTCCTTTTAAGCGACATCGGGCACTTATACCCGCTCGGTAGTTTGTCCTGGATTAATCAATTGGTGCATTAAGGGATGCAAGCCAAACAACACACCCAACAAAAATAACAAACCCGATGGTCAAATGCAAGTCATTTGCGCAGAAGATCATTTGCACGATTCAGCTCGTGAACAAAAGCGTGGAACATCGGAGAGTTTTCAACAAGAAAGCCACCGCGCCCACCCCGAAACACACCCTCTTGAAAAGGACTGGAATTGACCAGCACTGGGAGCCAGGATTCATGAACCATGGTTGATGAAGAGGGTGGTGTCCCGTTTAAGAAAAAACACATACATATCGCTTGTTTTGTAAGTTGCCCTGCCTTGGTTTGAATTTGTGCTGCTGGATTGGCTTGTGTGTGTGTGTGTTTTGATTGGTTTAGTTGCACTTGCTCGTTTGTTGGTTTGCTTTGGTTTGCTTTGCTTTGCTTTGTCCTCGTTGGCATCGTGTGCTTTGGTTGGTGCATATCACATATATATATATACATGTGTATATATATATATATGATATATGTATGTATGTATGTATGTATGTATGTAATGTATGTATGTATGTATGTATGTAATGTATGTATGTATGTATGTATGTATGTATGTATGTATGTATGTATGTATGTATGTATGTATGTATGTATGTATGTATGTATGTATGTATGTATGTATGTATGTATGTATGTATGTATGTATGTATGTATGTATGTATGTATGTATGTATGTATGTATGTATGTATGTATGTATGTATGTATGTATGTATGTATGTATGTATGTATGTATGTATGTATGTATGTATGTATGTATGTATGTATGTATGTATGTATGTATGTATGTATGTATGTATGTATGTATGTATGTATGTATGTATGTATGTATGTATGTATGTATGTATGTATGTATGTATGTATGTATGTATGTATGTATGTATGTATGTATGTATGTATGTATGTATGTATGTATGTATGTATGTATGTATGTATGTATGTATGTATGTATGTATGTATGTATGTATGTATGTATGTATGTAATGTATGTATGTATGTATGTATGTATGTATGTATGTATGTATGTATGTATGTATGTATGTATGTATGTATGTATGTATGTATGTATGTATGTATGTATGTATGTATGTATGTATGTATGTATGTATGTATGTATGTATGTATGTATGTATGTATGTATGTATGTATGTATGTATGTATGTATGTATGTATGTATGTATGTATGTATGTATGTATGTATGTATGTATGTATGTATGTATGTATGTATGTATGTATGTATGTATGTATGTATGTATGTATGTATGTATGTATGTATGTATGTATGTATGTATGTATGTATGTATGTATGTATGTATGTATGTATGTATGTATGTATGTATGTATGTATGTATGTATGTATGTATGTATGTATGTATGTATGTATGTATGTATGTATGTATGTATGTATGTATGTATGTATGTATGTATGTATGTATGTATGTATGTATGTATGTATGTATGTATGTATGTATGTATGTATGTATGTATGTATGTATGTATGTATGTATGTATGTATGTATGTATGTATGTATGTATGTATGTATGTATGTATGTATGTATGTATGTATGTATGTATGTATGTATGTATGTATGTATGTATGTATGTATGTATGTATGTATGTATGTATGTATGTATGTATGTATGTATGTATGTATGTATGTATGTATGTATGTATGTATGTATGTATGTATGTATGTATGTATGTATGTATGTATGTATGTATGTATGTATGTATGTATGTATGTATGTATGTATGTATGTATGTATGTATGTATGTATGTATGTATGTATGTATGTATGTATGTATGTATGTATGTATGTATGTATGTATGTATGTATGTATGTATGTATGTATGTATGTATGTATGTATGTATGTATGTATGTATGTATGTATGTATGTATGTATGTATGTATGTATGTATGTATGTATGTATGTATGTATGTATGTATGTATGTATGTATGTATGTATGTATGTATGTATGTATGTATGTATGTATGTATGTATGTATGTATGTATGTATGTATGTATGTATGTATGTATGTATGTATGTATGTATGTATGTATGTATGTATGTATGTATGTATGTATGTATGTATGTATGTAATGTATGTATGTATGTATGTATGTATGTATGTATGTAATGTATGTATGTATGTATGTAATGTATGTATGTATGTATGTATGTATGTATGTATGTATGTATGTATGTATGTATGTATGTATGTATGTATGTATGTATGTATGTATGTATGTATGTATGTATGTATGTAATGTATGTATGTATGTATATGTATGTATGTATGTATGTATGTATGTATGTATGTATGTATGTATGTATGTATGTATGTATGTATGTATGTAATGTATGTATGTATGTATGTATGTATGTATGTATGTATGTATGTATGTATGTATGTATGTATGTAATGTATGTATGTATGTATGTATGTATGTATGTATGTATGTATGTATGTATGTATGTATGTATGTAATGTATGTATGTATGTATGTATGTATGTATGTATGTATGTATGTATGTAATGTAATGTAATGTAATGTAATGTAATGTAATGTAATGTAATGTAATGTAATGTAATGTAATGTAATGTAATGTAATGTAATGTAATGTAATGTAATGTAATGTAATGTAATGTAATGTAATGTAATGTAATGTAATGTAATGTAATGTAATGTAATGTAATGTAATGTAATGTAATGTAATGTAATGTAATGTAATGTAATGTATGTATGTATGTATGTATGTATATATACATTATATATACATGCATGTATGTATATGTATAGATGATACATATACATATATATATATACATACATACATGTACACACATGTTTTTTTTGCAGGGCTTCGTTTGGTTTCCGTGGCCAAACGGCGCTTTGGCCGCAGGCACTCTCTTCGGCCCCGACGTGGAATACGTGCCTTTGGCCGGGCCCTGCAGGGGTTGGAGCCGCACGCATTGGTTCTAAGGCTCAAAGGCTCAGACGTGAAGAGTGTGTCTCTGGGCATTTTGGTTGGAACCCAAAAAGGGGTTGAGGTAAATCTAGGGGTTGATTTCCCATTCTTTTGGGTACCATGGATCTTTCCAACAACCGGATAAATTTCCATCCTGGGTTTTTGCATGGTTTCCTGAGAAGAAGGAATCCTTGGAAAGAATGGGGAAGGTACCCCTAGATTGGTTTTTGATCTAAGCCCTGGCTGTAGAGGAAGTTTGCTTCGAAGGGAGGTCTCCTTTTCCGGAGACAACCAGGGCTTGGTGGCTATTTTTCCAGTGAACAGAATCGCAAATGGTAATGCTAGCGCAAGGAAGGACCCAGAGCCGGAGCTTTGCCCACGGACACGAGGATCGCACGACCGCTTCGCTACTGTTGGAAGATGTTGGAAGGGCCCAAAGAACTTGCTGGTGCCATAGGTAGAGAAGGACCTGTCCGTATTTGATCCCGCCCTCATTTCGCACAGTGGCAAAAGGCACTGGTTGCGGCAGCTTTTGGCCTGAGGACACAAAGCCCCCCAGCAAATCTTCACAAAACAACCCATCGAAATGAGCCACGGGCTCAAAACCCGGGTTAGCAAGGGCCGATCCCAGCCATAAATAGCTGCGGCCGCCTTCTTAATCCTGTACATGGTTCTGGGTAGACCATTTTAGTACCAGGTTTTGATTGCGACTCAAATGGGCTCCACCTTGTCCTTCAAGGAAACTGGCCTGTTGGCTCATGTGATGCAGCGAATTGCGCTCTGCCGACTGAGGTGCCGAAACGGTTTTGGCCCAACCAGATATTACCCAGAGGGGATGTTTCCCTTTTAACCCGAAACATGTTGAAGATAACGGGACCAGGTCCCCGACATTCATTCGCGGCCCATGGAGTTTGCCGAACGGTATTCTGCTGGAACAAAGCACTCATGCCAACCAGCAAAACAGGCCAACATCAACCTGACTGTGGAGCCCAGGGTTGCGGAAGCGGGGGGTGTATGGAGCTTGTACGCGGAGGTTTGATGACTTCTTTTTCGGCTTTGAGCAAAGGGAGGTCATGGATCCCGGGAAAGAAAGCAACGAACAACGGCACTTCGCCACAGAGACCTGGCTTCTAATTGAGTTCATAGCTTTAAAGTCCCCTCCAAACGGAAGACCATCCTAATGTCAAACAAAAGGTTGAGAAGGTGAGTCACTCTTCAACCCCGGAAACACCCCATCGATTTCAATTCCAGATCTATTTTTCCAGATCCTCTATTGTTCCAGACCCTGCATTCAACCCCAGAAACAGAGAAGCAGTCTCCACTTTTCTGATGGCTCCTGTCGAGGCCAACGGTTTCTAAAAACCAAACCACTCGAGGACCCGACGACCACTTGAGGCTTTCGGGCCCATGTTTCTCAACTACACGAAGCCTATCCACTTGAAGGTCTCAGCGATTTGGACACCCCGCTTTCGCCTGAGGCGAAGCAGGAGGCGCCTGAGAGCCCTTAAACTTGCGATCGCGGATAGATGCTCATGGCGGCTAGATGCGGCTCCAAAGCGAAGATGCGGTGGACGCTACCATATTGCACGTAAGGGACCAAGGAAACCTATTCTACGAATTTGCACGAATTTGCATTGGTTTTATGCGGTTGCGCATGGTTGGTTTGTGGATGCCCACGGACGATGGGCCCCCCAAACTCTCCTTCCTGGAGCCGTTAATTTTGGCCTTCCTGACCTCACTTAGATTGTGAAACAAATCGGCTTAATTTGCCCCTCAAAGGGCACCCCAGCAGCGGGATGTCGACACTTTCCGCAATGCTCTCCCTGCTCACCGAGACTAGGTTTTTCCAGTAGTGCCCTGCTACCCTTGTTTGGGGGAGGGTTCCCCTACTACAATAGACTACGGAAAAAAAGGTTGGTACGCTTACTCTAACCTCTCTACTGGAGAACCTAGGAGATGTTGAGGGCATTGGTTCATCAAAGTTTGGAGCCACAGCCAATGAATGCCCTTGAGCGGAATTGAGCGGACGCTTTCCGGAGGCCATTGCAGTGTGGGTTAATACCATGTGCATCAAGAAACCTGCCTTTTCGGCTTTTCAATGTTCTATCCGGTTCGCATTTTTGTTGAGTTTGAAGTTGATTGAAAGGCCGAAGGGTGAGTATAGACTGGATGGGGTCCCATATTGTGAAGCATTTAAATGTTGTTCACAGTGTCATGATGCTGTTGCAATCATGTTGAAAGGTCCTCACGATGTTTGTCTCCGCCGAGAAACACCGGGCATAGACTTGGTTTCGCCCGTTTTGAAAACCTGCCGTTTCCTGCCTTTGGCGGTTTACTGGAAAGAAGGATTCCTGGAAATTGAAATCATGTTGGCCTTGCCTGGTCGTGTGTGTGCACAGGATCCGTTGCTCCTTTGCACTTGTGTCCATACCTGGCCCCTAATTGCTCCGAGGTTTTTAGATGCAGAACACCAACAGGAAACACCAAGGCCCAAACAATTCGACGGGGAAATCACATTGATGATAATAGGATCAAACTGTTGGATGTATGATTTCCCCCTCATGTGAAGTTGGACCTTTGTTTCCATGGTCTGTCTTGGGGAGGAACGTTGGGGGGACTACTCGCAATTCAAGCAAAAACTCGGGGAGTCACTCAGTTGCCGCTGTTTTTTTACTGAGAACGTTGGTCATTTCGAGCGTGGCTCATATGCCTTTGAGCCCAAGGCCAGATCCGAACACTGCAAATGCCTTATATGTGCACGAGAGCCCGTTGTCGGCCTGGGCCCTTTTTCTTGGCGATCGGAAGTTCGTTGAGCCCAGCACCTCCAACCAAACCAAGATCATGGAGAGTGTTTCTCTGTGTTTCTCTAGAGGCTCCTGGCTTCGGCTTTCAATGGAAGACCCGACCCCTCCATTAGACATCTCAAAACCAGGTTGTTTGAAGGCCCTAAATCCATCGAATTGGAGCCTCTGGGCTAGACAAATAACTAAATGAAACCAGCATCTCAACCTTACCTCTTAAAAACACAACTTTTCCCAACTTTTTGGCTAACATGGGCTATATGTCTGTAAAAGATGAAAACTTCCCCAGGGCTTGGAGTTTTAAGGGGTAAGAAATGACACCAGCATCTCAACCCGACTTACCCCGAAACTGGGGGCCATTGGGATTGTCAAGTGCTCACTCCCGGAGGTCCGTCACTCCCAGCCAAGGAAGGGAGAAAGGGAGAGCACATCTCCATGCTGCTTCAACTTTGCTTTTGCGGGTTTCCTGCAAAATGGAACTCGCACCAGGGTTGGCCGTTGTTCAACTTCGTGAAGGGAGGGAAGTCCCCATCAACTCAATTGCCCAAAGAAGGCTTGCCACTGCGGGTCTGAGGGAAGCAGTTGCCATTTTATATTCCGTCAGTTCCGTTTGGTTGGATAGGCGTGGACAGCTTTTCGCTTTTGTTCATTTTTTTGGCTGGGTGCTAAATAGCCCGCAATGTTTCATTTACCCAAAGAGAAGCACAAAGGGGACTGTATTTTTGTTTGTTTCTTCCTGACCCTGTATTTGGCACCCAGCTAGCATTTCGAGGAACGAGCACTGCATGCTGGACTCACCATCAACTTCCATTTGGTTAAGAATCTGGTCGATTTTCCCCTGTTGGCTTTAAAGGGGATCTATCACCACTGGACACATGTGTTTGTTTCCAGGGGACCTAAGCAAATGGAGGTTGTGCAACAGCCACGGGGTAAATCCCGTGTGGCTCAGCGCGTGCTCTCGCCTTGTCCTGCCTCAGCTCCTGAGATGCTGACATGCGTTGCTACGCACAAACCTCCGGAATCCAGAAAGCTGTGGCTCAAAAATGGTTATGTCGGGGTATGTGCCTTTTGATTTTGAGGGAGCTTTGTCTGGTTAGGGCAACCAACAGGAAACGAGCTACTTGGGCCCTCGCTGTCCAACTAGGGTCCCTGCCAATGCCTGCTTCTGTAGAACAGATCTGCAGCCGTCCTGAGTTTTGAGCCCAGCTGTGAATACTTGAAGTCGAGACATCGTTTCAACTGCGTGAAAGGCGACTGGTCCTGGGGCTTGGGTGGGATGCTTGGCGCGAGTTCGCGAGTTCCGATGCGCACTAAAGCGGGTGTCATGGGGCGCATGAGCCCGAAATCACCAGAAAGCGCTTTTTACTCACCAAAATCCAGTTTTAGTCCAGGATGCCATGAATCTAGGCAAGTAGCGATTTCACCGACGAGATTGCGACCTCGCCCATAATGAAACTTCCATCTATATAACTCTTTTTGGGTCGGTGAATGACTAATTATGATTCGCTGAAACAAAGGCCAATTGGTTGACCTTTCGGTTACTAGCCCCATTCGCTCATTTTGAATCAGGCCCCATTCGCTCGTTTGTAGATTTGCTGGACATGCCAACAAGATGTCACTTAGTGAGGCTGGCCGTTTGAAATTGAGTCCAGCGGTGTCTCCCACCCCCACAAACCAATGTTGAACATGCCTGGGTCAGGGTTCCCTATGTTCCCTCTTTGGTGGTTTTAAACATCACCTTTTTGGCGAGATTGGTAGTTGACTCCTTTTCGAATACACGCCTTCTGTGAACCCTCCATCCCCAAACGCACCACCCTCCAAATACGCGCACACACACACACTCACACACACGCCTTGGGAGTGACTAAAATAGACCAATGGAGAAAATTCGTTTAGGAGGGCGAAGTTGATTGTCGGATCCCAGGAACAGTTTTAAGGAAGGTGTGCCAAACGTGTTCCAACGTGGTATCACGACCGAGATTGAAGTTTTTGCTCGCAGTTTTGGTCCCAGAATCTTCAGCCACGCTTGACGCCCATTCTCGAGATGGCAGTCAACCTGGCCAGCTATCTTCGGCAGTTCGGGGAGAGCCTTGGACCAGCGGAGCATGTCATCAAGAGAGGAGATGGCTTCTCGCTGATTTGACCTTCACCCTTTTGACCTTGTGGAAAATGAGTAGTTGTCCACCTGCAAAATCAATGTTTGTGAGGGGAGTCTCCTGTTGAGGATCCCTTCTTGAGTTCCCTGTCAATTTGCAGTGGAGCAACCAGCAGAACAGTGTTGCAAGGCGATCAGTCAGTTGGACCACCGCAGGATACATGTTTGAGCTTTGTAGCGGGTGTCAAAGAAAAATCCAGAGGAGATGCAGTTCTGCAGAGCTTGCTGGAGTGCATCCTGCAGAAAGCCAAGACGAAGGTGTGTTTGGCACAAGTGGAATGGTCTCAGCATGACTTGTTTGGGAGGAACCCCGCTCAAGAACCGTTGGTGGAAGTCTTTCCTAGTATTTAAAGGATGTCCACGAAATGGTCCCTGAATAGAACTCACCCACATCATGGGGCGGTTTGAAGCTGGCATGATGCACGGTTGATTGCCATCAGCACTGCTGTGGTGGAAGACTAGTGTTGTTTCGGCTTCGCTCTTCATTGTCGGTGACTAGCCCACCTGTCTCATGTCAACCCTGGAGATCCATGTATGGTGCCAAATGGAGGTAGACACCAAGGCTTAACGGAGGTTTGGGAGTGGGGGGGTTAGCATCCATGCTTGGCCTTTCTCATTTCCCTGGTCAGGTGGCCCGGGTTTTGAAGGCGGGGTCTGTGGGCAAAGGGACATCTCTTCACCTCAAGATCGACTTCGACTGCGTTTTCTTCCTGGAGCCCGGCGGTATTCCGGACAGATTCCTGGAAGACATGGAGGACATCTTGACGCTGAACTTTGGCATCGCCGCGGAGAAGAAGCAGAAATCCCTGAGCTTCTCCCACAAGGGCTTCTACTTTGATTTCCTCCCGGCTGTGCAGAGTGCACAAGCGGCTGTGAAGGGTGCAAGTGGAGAAGTTCAGGTAAGAGCAGCGCTGCAGTCTGGGCAAAAGCCAGGCTCGGCAGAGCTAGTGGAGGGAACGGTTCTCTTTATGAAGGAGCAGTCAGGCTTTGTCCACACGCTGGCACGACTGATGAAGTTTTGGTCCCACTCACTTCTTGTGCCAGGCTTCTTCAACGGGCGCTCGTACACCATGGAGCTCCTCGCTGTTGCAGCCTCCCAGGACATGATGGATGAAGACATGCTCCGAGGTTTCCGCATGGCGCTGGACAAAGTCCGGAACTTCCGGAATTTGAACGTCATCTTCGAGCGCTTCTACACCAAGCAAGACGTAGGTCTGAAAGACTCTCGGCCCCTACTACTCGACCCCAGCAACCCTTGGAATAACCTCCTCTCGCCAGATCGCCTGATTTTCTTCGAGAAGCTTGCAGCCTTTGCGGACGAGACGCTTCGAAGGTTGGATGTTGCCCATCGGACCGCAGTCGGTCTAGATGTGCTTTTCAAGCCGCAGCCCGACGTGTGGTTCGGTCTGCCACAAAGGCCTCAAGACTGCAGCTGGCTCGTAGGAACGCAAGTCACGCCAGAGGTACAGCAGCCAATTGTCCGCATTCAATCCCAGGGGCTTCATGTGGAGTCTCTGCAACTGATCGCTCATGTGCTGGCGTTGTGGTTGGCGACTCACAAACCGCAGCCTGATCAAGTCCGAAGGAGCGTGGAGAAGGCTGTGGACACGGTGCTGGTTGCATTGCAGGACTTCGCTGACCTTTTTGACCTTTTGCCCCTTTTGGAGTTCCGTCGTTTTCCGTTTGACAGCGGCAAACATCACTTTCTTACAGGGGGTCCACTCGTTTGGCCAAGGTTGGGAAGGAGCAGACCTGGACAGCAAGCGACAAGTCCTTTGAATCCAAACATGCCGTGGCCGTGGTTCCTCTGATGGATGGCGCAGATACCTGTGCTTTGGCTGGCTTCAATGTTGAGACGAATCCGCATGGCGTGAAGGAGGACACATCATTGGCCTCGATCTGGCCATGAACATCTACAGTGGAAGCTGACTTGAAGAGGACAGAATGATCCTTTTTTAAGCCGGTCTTACATGGCTGTGGGTCAAAGCCAATGGTACCATTATGGGGTAGGTGCACCACCCATTTTAGTCTATTTTAGTTGGGATTGGGATGTGCACTGGGGGTACGAAATTTTGACCCATAGCCACATGATCTCAGATCAGCTTGCATGCGATGCATCTTGATCTCTGACATGGGAAAATCGACGTGAGCAGTCAAAAATCGTGCGGCCATGCCGTGACGTACCCAAAAGAGATGATGTGAAAGGGAACCCAAAGGACATCCAACATGGAGAGGCCCTTGATAGACACACTCGCAAGGGGTACCCGCGAGCGGAGCAGTCTTGCCGGCCTGAACGGCTCAGCGTTGCACGGCATCCTTGGGCCCTATGCAGTGACATGTTTGGAACAGCTCATGCACACGTGAGGAATCTTCAGTTTGTAGCAACTTTGTAGCAATGTCAAAGTTGATTGTTGACTAATCTTGCGTCATGGTTGTTCATGGCAATTCATAGTGATGATATGTTGTATGATGCTTGTTGACTGATATTGTGGCACGGCTACTACCCACTGCTTTTGTGTGTCTCATTTGTTCATCGTAGTCCAGGCTTTTGCTGGCTTTGGACACAGCAGCTTGCTCTAACTCTGATCTCGCTGGCAGCCATGCGCGCGCGGGTGGTGCACACTGCACGCGTCGCTGGCGCGTTGAGACGGGAGGTTTCCTTGGGGGTCCCCATGCGTAAGGGCTATGGATACGCCTCAAAGGCCAGATAAGGCCTTGACGGTCAGGGGAGGTCGTTTTGGCATCCTGTTCTCTTAAAGCATAACGGCCCGAGGAGGCAAGTAGCTCCAGGGCCAAACTGCGCTTGAGGAACCCAGCAGTCTTAGGTGCTTTTCAGGCCTAAGGTCCTGGGCTTGCATCTCCAAAAATAATTTCCCTTGCAGGACCTGTGTGGTTTGACCCAGAGTCTACTCTTCAAGCATGGAGATCATATTATCTAAGGGGGCTCACCCCATGAGTCTGGAACCTCAGTTCAACGGGGCCCCCCTTGGTTCGGGCCATGTTTGTTCTTCCTCAGGTTCAAAGGCGTTAGTGGCAGGGTTTGTTCTCGTGAGGGGGCCCTTGTCAGGCATCATAGGTGGCACCCTCCAATTCACCAAGCCCTTACCTAGTTGTACAGTGGCCCCTCCACTTGGGGGTTCGTCGCCAAGTCGTTGGAGGTGGAAAGGGCCGCCTAGGTGTTAACCCGCTAATGACAATGGTCATTTCCACTTGACGGGGGGGCTTGTAGCCGGATTAGAACTGAGGTTATCAAACACTTGCTAACTTGGCAAATCGAACGCCCAAATATGAACCCCTGTTTGCTTGAGGAAGGCCATTCTAGTGGCCAACAATAACTAGTTCCCCCAGTAGTGCCCTTCTCTCCTTTTTTTTTTGTCGGGAGGGTTCCCTTACTAAAATAGACGTGAAAAAGAACTCGGGTACCCTTATTCTAAGCTCTCTACTGGAGGAGCTACTGGCTGTGGGTCAAAACCAATACCATTTTGGGGAAGGTGCACCATCTATTTTAGTGGTTGGATTGGTTGATGTTCACTGGGGGTACGATTTGGACTTCTGGCCCAAGGAAGTGAGAGACCTCCGAAAAATTTTCGCTTTGGGTTCCAGGACCCATCGTCCGGAAATGCCGACGCGGAAAATTCCCGCGGGTTTTGGTTTTGGCCCAGGCCCCTGCCTCCGGCGCTGGGCGACAACGCCGGAAACGGCGCAGGCCGCGGCCTGCCGGGAAGTTGAGATCGGCAATTGTTCAAGGAATTCAAGGAATTTGAAAAGCACGTGGCCTGACTTAGCTGACCGTTTTCCACTTGTTTTTCTCCTTTTTGGGTTGCCGGAAAATGTGTCCTTTCAGCCAGCAAACAACTCAACTTTTTGCGGGGGGGGTTCTATGTTTGGTCAAGAGCAGAAAGCTGTGACATGTTTCGGATTTGTTCAAGTTGACTTAGTGTTGGCTAGTAAGTAGTACTGAGTTAGTTCTTCAGGGCCCCCAATTGCGGCTGGATTTGGAGTTGGAATATTGGTTAAGTCTAAACTAAGCATTGGGGATTTCGGAATTTTCGTTAAGCAAATTGTGATATTAGGGGGACCTTTATGCTCAGGGGGAAGGGAGTATAAGGCCTTGAGGGAGATTATTTGCGCACTCTTGCTGCGCAGTCCAATGTTACAGGTGAAATTATAAGACAACTGTCTGGTTTCAGGGGATCAAGGCATGAAGTTGGCTACACTTGCGGGGGGTTGTCCCAATCATGAACCTCTTTTATAAAACAAAGGCGGGCCGTAATGCAAAGGCCCTGGAAAGGACCCATCAAATGCTTGGAAATTGGTGGCCTTCATTTGACTTACCTCTTCACCCCACAAATCATGTCGGCCCCAGATGAATCAACCCCCCAGCCATGGAAAAATGGGGGTTCCCTTTTCGTGGGGAGTCCTATTTTTCCTCTCTTCCACGGCCTCTGGGCCATCGTGCTTCAGATCACACCCATAGGTGTCGGTTTTTTTGGTTACGTTAGAAATCGATGACACTGGTGTAGACTGGTTTTATTTCCCATTGCCCATATATTTTTTGAAAAGCGTCGCCTATCATATCCACTCTGATCGTGCATGTTTCGACCTTTCTAGGTCGCGACATTTGGGGAAGATTTGGCGACAACCTGGAGTTGTGTAAGACCCCCAAGCCACCTCCTGAAAAGTCGGGTTGCAGGACCCTCCTTTTGGAGAACGATCACTGCTGGACTCACCATCCAAGTCCATTTATAAGTCAAAGTTATGTTTGTTTAATTTCCTCAGAGACGGGTGCAAAACATGGGGTTCGGCAGAGTCTCAAAAGGGTGCAACCGGCCTTTCACTCTTTCTGCTCTGGGTAGATGGAAAGCCAGGTTTTGAGTACTCACCGATTGGTTTTTGGACCCTTTCACTCCGGTGTGTGTGTGTGTGTTTCTTGTTTGGGCGGGTTTAAAAGGAGACCAAACAGGAAACCCACCATTTTGAGGGTTCCATGAAAAAAGACACACTCAAATGGAGACGAGTTCACTTTGAACAACCTTCATGCCCAGCCCTTTAGTGTAAGGGAGGCTCGGTCAGTTGCCATGCCCTTTAGTGTAAGTGCATCTTCTGATTGTGGCTTATGGCATGTCAGCCCAGCCCCTTTCTATGCTACTTTCCGGCTGAGCGCCAGATTCTGGCCCAGCCACGTTTCGCCAAATGCTGAGTGACGCTTTTATTTATTTTGCTTCTCGCTTTTTAGGTGGGACTTTTGCTGCGACCTTCCTGAAAGAATCAACGAGCATGTTGAAAGGGGCAGCCTCTTGGAAGAAACACCCAAACCAATGGCGTTCTTCAGCGTCGGTGCGTCCGTTATAAGCTCAGGTACCCATTTGTCCCACAAACACCTTAGGTCGACTAAGGTGTTTGTTGTCCGACGAAGGCATTAGGGGAACCTCTTTAAGTCGTTGATTTGTTGATGGGATCGCCGATCTCATTATTTCACATGTTTCAGGTTCACCAAACAAACATGCAATTTGGGTGGGTTGGGCGGGCAAATGCTGGCTAGTTTGGATGGGCTTCTTTTTGAGTTGGTACACTTTTGGGCGTTGGTTGAAAGTGAAAGGAAAAGGAATCCCTCAATAGCTTCTTTGCCTTTTCCCTCGAACCATAACTCTTGGGGGTAAGCCGAGCTCACCATGATGTTGGTTCTTTGCACGGGGATCTGTTTTCAGGTTTTTGGAATGGCAAACAAACGAATGAGCCACGTCCTCAAAACCGATTCGGGTAGATGAAGGTTAGTAAGGGACAATCCCAACCATAAATATCTGCGGCCGCCTTCTTAATTCTTTTCATGGTTCTGGGTAGACGGTTAGACCGCCGGGTGTTGAATATGACACAAATGCAGATATTGTCTTGTTGGTTCCCGAGCCATTCCCTTAGCTTTGTAGATCTTTTTTGTGTTTAGTGGTAGTTTCCATTTAATCCCCTAAAAGTTCGTCACTTTTGGCGGGGGATCGGAAAACGGGCAGCCCAGGTTTGAAAGCGAACGCGAAAAGGGTCCTCTCCTCTGGGGCCACCGGGGGCCAGGCCAAAAGATCCCGAGCGCCACTCATCGGATTGGCCTTGGCCCCGAGTAAGATCTCTGGGAGCAAAAATGGCAGAGCTCACCGAGTCGGGGTCAAGGGAGCTCATCCATGTGCGATCTCCTCACCAAGATTATGACGGGTAAGCATGGACCAGAATTTCTGAGCACAATACTGTGGATGGACGAAAGCTGCACTACCTCAGAAGCCCTGGAATGAGTCGATTCCCCAACGTAAATACCAACAAATGTTATGGATGTTATGGTTTCAACCATGGTTTCATTTCGTGATGCGATAAAAACGGATTTCGCAACCATCCACGGTATGCTTTGCTTTCAGGTTTGGGCCAAGCGAAGATCGATCCTTTCCTGATGTCTGATTTGTTCAGGTGCCTTTTAGGCCGCCTCATTGGACGGATTCCGATCCCAGCTATTCCCACCTCCCAGCCTAAAAAGGACAGATGGATGGCCCAAAAGTGTAAGTCTTATCTTGAAGTATAAAGAGGGGGTTTGTGTCAAGATATCCCAATCGTACTTGTTGCCGGGGGTACAACTGACATCTGCTTTGAGGGGCGGGTACCCACGTTTGCCACGTGAGGACGCTGTTGTGACAAAGCTTAACTCATAAAGACAACCTGAGATGGCAAACAGTTTGGCGGGGGTCTTTAGATTACATCATGGGATTACGCTCAACATGCCAAATGCGAACTTTGGATGCAGAACCCCTTGTTGATTTTGATCGGGGGGATGTCCCCTTCCAGTAGGGATTCATCACTGTTGAAGAGAAGCCTTCCCCCATTCATGGGATAGGTGTATTACTCCGGGGTCAACTTTAGTCCGACACAACACATGTGTTTTGGAAGAAGCCCGCAATGAAGTACGTCTAGTGTGCTCCCAAGGTGTGATAGCAAAGCCCTTGGAGTCATAGCGGCGCGGCTTGTAATGGCAGGTGTCACAGGGAGGGATACTTCTGCTTTGCTCGCCGAGTGTATGCAAAGAGTGCTGGAGCTGCGTGTTTGTTTGCTCCACCCAAGGAAGCCAAAGTTACATAGAAGTGCAGCTTTGCAGTACCGTTCTGATTCCCTGTTCTTTCCGGGCGGGGGTCCCTCTAAGATCAATCAGGTTGCGATGTTATTTACGAAAAGCGTGGATGCAACCCAACTAATCAAAGGACACTTTCCCTTGTCAAGTCTCTTTTAAAGTGACTTTGGGTTCTTTACGGAGCTTGGGATTAACCAGCGAAACAGAAAGATCCGTTTTACCAAGAGCAAGTCAGGAGATATTTGTTTACATGCAGCAGGCACACAGAGATGCAACATATTTACCGACGCCATCAAGTGCAAAACACGCTGTAAAGTTGAACTGGTGATCATAGCTTTTAAGATTACATTATCGTACAAATGTACGGCCCTGACATACCAAGGGAATCCCCTTCAAAGTGATACTCACTTGCCCAAAGCCGAGCTTTGACCTTTTGGTTTGCCATGTTTGGTCCACTCTTAGCCATAGCCCCAAGAGTGTAACCTTTTACTTCCGGGTCCTTTGGGCAAGTGAGGATGAAGTCATGGGGATGCGAATCTGCCGCTTTGCCGAAAAGGGGCCCAACCCACTCGGGCAAATTGGGACTTGCATCCCCAAAGTTTCAACTACTTGCAACCGGGCCTGAAAGGGTTCGTGCGCTTGGATGAAGAAAAGGCCCTGAACAATTACTAACAGCTTGCTCCTACAAACATGGCTCACCTGGGTTTAAAAGCACCCCAGAACCCTTTTCTAGTCCTTTAGGCCCTTATATTCGTTTGGTAAAAGCGCCCCCCCCCCACTGTTCGCAAGGCCTAACCCACGAAAACTCAGGCAGTGTCTTCCGCTGCCGCGGCCGTTGCGGCGGACGTGCGGGGGCACCGAGTGAAGATTAGAAGAGCCCAGGGTTGTGGGTGGATCACTCGGTTTATCCAACCACTCCAAGGCTTCCGTTTGCAGAAATGAATATTTTCATATTTTCATCTTTCTAATTGTCCCCTGTTGGTTTTTTAACGGGAATCTATCACTACTGGAAATATTGTTAGTTTTTCCAGGGGTCTTACCCCCCCCCCCAACAAAAAAAAAACCGTTTATCCAACCACCTCTGTGATACTTTTGGGAATATCCCCCTGAAAATATGGGGGGGACATGTCTTTTTGGGAACTCCTTTTTGTTGCGCAGAAACGGAAGAGCCTATCGGTGTGAGTTGTGTCAGTGGGTTTTGTGTTCTCCAAAATTCAGCCAGTCGTATACTCTACTTAGCATGGAACTCAAAAGGGGAGGTCCCCAAAAGGGAGTTTCCTCTGAACATGCTGGTTCTTGGGTTCCATGCTAATCTGTACGGGAGTTCCCTTCAAGGTCTCCCGCGTTTTTTTTTTTTTTTTTTCCCCGATCACCGAGTTGGTCTCATGCCGGCGGGTGGATCAACTGGATGAGAGTTCTTCGGATGGTCCAGGCTTGTGAGCTGTTGGCAAACACGCTCAAACACGGGGGACTCAGTTGCTCAGTGGCGGCACCAATTCTTTTTCCATTTTTTTGGCTGCCCCAAAAAACCGTCTTCCCCAAAAAGGGTTCCCTGTTTTGCCAGGGTCACTGAACAACTGAGGGCATAAGTCGCCTGAAAAAATAGAAACTGGATGGACCGGATGGACCGGGCGTCCAAGCCTAGGTGGCCAACTCGACTCGGTCAAACGGGTTTCGAGAAGTTTGGACGGGAGCGAGTCGCTCCCGCCCACCAGGTGGATCAACGGCTATGTGGCTGCGGGTCACAAATGGGTACCGCAAATTCAAGCCCGGTAAATGGAAACATGGACCAACACCTGCGGTCCATATTTGCTGGTTTAATTTTGATCCACAGCCATGTGGTCTTCCAAACTGTGGGTAGGTGAAGTTTTGACAGCACTGGAGCAGGATTTGTCGGCACCAGGTCAGCAATGCTATACATCCAGAATGCATGCGCCCGCTGATTCAGAGGATCTCCCACTGTAAAGCGGGTGGCTTTTTCATGTCTCGTTTTGAGACACCTTGAAAATTGGGACCCCTTCTTTTCAGCAACCTTCAATTAAGGCGGCGTTTATTTGTTTATTCGTGGCCGAGCCGTGTCTGAGGTTCTATGGAAACGACACGCTTGGGCTTCGCGCGCAGCTAGGCGGGAAGCAGAGTCAACATTCCCGAGCCTGTCCGCCAGGAATGTAAAAGCAGTTGCTCCCCAGATCAACTGTGAGGTGTCCTGGTTTGAAGATTTTGTTTCAAGGGAGGGGGCAAGCCAATTGCAGCCATGTTTAATGGGGAACCCTGGTAGTGGACATCATTTAGGTGTGAAAATCATGACCTACCTCTTAAAAACACAACTTTTCAACTTTTTGGGTAACATGGGCTATATGTCTGTAAAAGATGAACACTTCCCCAGGGCTTGGAGTTTTAAGGGGTAAGAAGAACAAGTCTGGCGAGGAGCGCCTTCAAAAACAGGTCAAGCCCAGGAGCCGAGCTTGGCTATCCTCTCCAAAGACGTTTTTTTTTTTTTTTCTGGAGGCTTCCGGAAGGGGAGGATATGTTTCTCCCCAAACGGGGGGCATTCTGGAAACTGCTTCCACGTTTTTTTGATCCTACCCGTTTTGTTTGGGTGGTTTAAAGGGAAACACGAAGGACAGCCAGCTTTTCTTTTTTGCTTGTTTTTGAGGGGGGGAGGGGGGGTTCCCCAAAAAAATACACACCCGTGTTTTAGTTGTTGTTTGTTTTGTGTTTTTTCCCCGTCCGAGATGCTGCGAGGTTTGGCGCTGCCAGACGGCCAGAGTCGGGGCCCCAGTGCGGCGCAACATGTTGCTGGGCTTCGCTGTAAAGCTGCCCTGCCAACATGGTTTCAACTGGGGAAAAAGGAACCCAAGAGGGAAGCTGGGTTCAACAGGAACCCGAAGGGAAGCCATAGCGAGTTCTGAACATGCTCGTCGTTTGGGCTTTGGTTTCCTTTAAACCGCCTTGTGCTTTGTTTCTTTTTGTTTTTGCGGGGGGGGGGGGGGGGCGGAGGAGGGTTGTCCCAAGAATGGACCTAAAAATGGCAATTTGTACCTTACGCCATTTCAGATCCATTGCAAAGGTCGAGTCGCTGCACCGAGCTTCCGAGGTGCCCCTTCTTTTTCCCCAGAAAGCTACCGCTAGAGTTCCGGAGGGTCCGGGTTTGTTGGGGATACCACTTGTTTGTTTTGTTTATGCTTTTTTTTTGGGGGGGTGGGGGTACCAAACGGGTCGTTCGTTCCAGTCACTGGAGGACTGGAGAAGGCATCATTGCAGGGACTTTTTCAGCTTGATGTTTGATCAACCCACTGACACACCAATTTGAATTTGGGAATCCACGCCCGGAAACTTCAAAAAAACCTTACCATTTCTAGAAAAAGCTGCCAAAATGGGAATTGGACCCTTTTGGGTTGCTTCCCCTATTCCCTACTCTAGAGAAAAAGACAAGCACAAAATGGGAAGTGCACCAACCCTTTTAGGTTCCTTCCAGGACTTGGGCGAGTGGAATACCCCCCCATTCCCCAAGGCGCTCCGGTTGCTCCGTGTCTGATCCCCGAGGCGCAGCAAAGGCGCGGCTCGCGACGGATCCACGTGTCGCGATCCTCATCCTATGCAGCGGTTTTTTTTTCCACGTCCAATGGGCTAGGGGTCATTTCTTGGGTTTTACATGTCTGGAATCAAATGAGTTTGTTAAGTTGGACGACCTGGTAATTGGGTGGTGAGTAATTTAGTATGAGTTTAATGAGTGAATCGAATGTAGTTGGTTAAGTTGGACAAAATCCGAGGGAATTATGAAAGGCAGTCCTGGTTGATTTGGGTGGCTCTCGGGGCTTGTCAAAACCGGGTCCCTCAAAGTGAGCATTGGGGCTTCTCAAAATTACGTCTGGCACTCCTCAGTGTGCACTCCTCAGTGTGACAAGATCACACGTCGTCAGCGAGTTCCAGTTTTGAGTGCCGGAGACCTGCTGGCGTGGCAAAGGAGATGAATCGTGGGGAAGTTGCCTACGACGATGACAACAGCATCCAGTTTCCATCAGCAGAACCACCAGTGACAGAGACTGTGTGTGCATCAAACTCAACGGTGGCCCCGAAGGAAGCAACAGCAAAGCAGGATCACTGGGTTGTCGGCAAGAAGAACAACCAGCCTATTCGTGTCCAGAAATTGGAATGAAGAGCTGTCCAGTTGATCCTGTGGTGTCTCTGTGACCAGTGTGTTTCCGCGTTTGGCGACACTTCTGATCGGACACCGTGAAAGCTGACACTTTCACCTCCGGAATGCGCAAGTGGTAATTGCCAATAGTAAAATTCAACGAAGACAGGGCCTGCCGTCGGAAATCGCCAACAAGTAATCAGCACTACAAGGGGAGGGGAAAGGGGGGAGGGGGGGGGCGGAACCTTCAGACCAGCTGCACCCCGCAGGCGGCTCCCAAAGCGGCTCCTGCCGAGCAAGACGCTGCTGAGGCGAAGCTGCCAGCGGCGCAACCCACCGCTGAGGCAAAAGCGAAGGACGGGGCGCCTTGTGTTCATGGCTTCCTTTCGTTCACCCTCAACAAGTACGGGCGCGTGTCAAATTAAGGCGCCCCCCAAAACGGTAGCAAGTTCCAAAGAATACAATCCCATAGTATGGCTTCCGAACATCATTTGGAAGCAGCTTTTGGTTTGTCTTTTTGTCTGGAGCTTGGGAAGATAAGAATCTCTGGCAAACATGTCGCAACCTGTTCCCACCCAACAACAAACGATCCACCCCAAAAGGATTGATCTGAGACACCGCGGCAAACCGCAAGGGGGATACCGGATACGTATTTGTCCTTACCTCATGGTTTTACCACCTAGGCGACATGTGTCAGAAGTTCGACCCTGCTCCCTTTTCCAACCAGCGCGATTTCGCGTTACCTCTGGCAACTCCAGTTTTGTTGTCATGGGACTCACCTTAAATGGGTTCCAGTGAGTTGTTCCGTTTTGCACCAGATGACAACCACGATGTGTAGCATGCTGAAGCGATCAATATTGTGTTAGAATTTTAGCGTCGCCCAGTGTTGACATTCAGATTTCTTGACTATGGGAAGTACAGATATCGGGGCTGCTGTGTTGTTGTTTCACTGACCCAACAGTCCGTGCACATGACCCCACAGCGAGGGACGGTAGATTCTCGTGGCTGCCCCGAAGGAAGACGCAGCCAGGGCGCAAGCGGAAGCCAAGGCAGAAGCGGACGCCAAGGCGGCAGCGGCCAAGGCGGAGGCAGAAGCCAAAGCGGAGGCGGAGGCAAGGGCAGCGGAGGCCAAGGCGGAGGCAGAAGCCAAAGCGGAGGCGGAAGCGAAGGCAAAGGAGGAGCAATGCGGGGAGCCACGGCAATCTAAGACATGGCTTTGTGCCAAACTCACATCCCAAGTGTCTGGGCTTTGCTCATTTTTGCTAAAGATAAGACCATCAACTGCGGTAAGTTCCGTTTCTTGACCAATCCACTCTGGGAAAGTATGGCCGCCCTTTTGGAAGTTGGACCCCCCTTCTCTTCGGGTGCACCCTCCTTCTGCTGACTCGCAGTGGGCACCAAAAGGTTACGAAGCAGACCCAATTGTTCTGGCCGCGCAGTTTTTTTTGTTTTTGCGTGCGCCTTCTGCAAGGAAAAGTGCGTGTCTCTTTGCCGTACCTTCTTGGGACTTTGTTTTCAAGGGAAACCTAACAGAAACCGCGCATTTCGGAGGCTCCCCTATCTTGACACGCACACACACACACGCACACCCAAATCCTTTGCTTGCCAATCAACATTCACTTGATTTCGAGTTTGGAGCCCTCCACTTGATTTTTGCGCAAACTACAGTAACCTCACGGAGGGTGCGCAACCTCACCCACAATAAGGTTCTTTTTGGTGGGGGCCCATGTGCAGAGCAGACAAGATGGAACTTGATTGTCCTTTTAAAGGCACTGTTCTGGTGGGTTCCAAGCTGGGTGGAAGGATGGCCCCCTAAAATGATGGTTTCCTTTCGTTTCCACTTCACACCCCTCAAACAGGGACAGCCTCAAAAAAACATCCAAGCTGGATGGGCTGTTTGTTTCGTGAATGCGAGCTAGGGATCTGTCCGCGCCCATGTTTTCGTGAGGGTTTTCAGCAGGCATCTGAGGTGTGTGGGAACCCCTCTTCTGTGGATGTGCAAAAGCTGAACATCCACCGAGGTTCCGTAGCGATGGTCGCCCAAACTTGCGCAACCCACGGGCGTTACCACCCCTGGGTAGCTCACGCCTTGAGTTCCTGGCCTATTTTCAGGAGATTCCAATCACGGCTTAGGCTCGTGCCCCAGGCTTCTACAGAACAAGGGTACCCTTATTCTATCCTCGCTACTGGAGGACCTAGGGAAGGTCCAGTCGTTTCTTCGTTTCTTTCTTGCGGCGGAGGGCGAAGAAATATCCCATTCGGTCTAAACGACTCGTCGGCTTCCGAAGCCGCAGGTTGTCACCCGCTTAGTCCCTTCAGTTAGCCCTCTCAGTGGGTTGGAACCCAGGCGGCCAAATGTGTACTAACTTGGCCGAACATCCAAGTACGTTATGATTCCTTCCCCCCAATGCTACCTTTTGTGCCATCCGGCAGGTGCATCGATGACACATGTCTCATGTCTCCTCCAAAGCTGTTTTTGTTCATACTCACAGAAGACTGATCATCATCTTTTCTGTGTGCCCCTTTTGTGTGTGCCAAGCAAAATGAACATAATGACATGAGCACGCCCCAAACACCTTATTGATACCTTGTTGGTACTTATAGTAGTTTAAAGCTGAGCATGACATGAGCACGTCCCAAAATCCCAATTGGTCATTTTAGTATATTTGTCGGTGGTTTTACAAGCCTTGTGAAGAGATACGTGGGTTAAACGCAAAGCACCCCTTTCATACACCCCTGGTCATCTTCGTTTTTGATTAACTACCCAACATGGGTCAGTGCCCCAAACATATGGTTCTTGGATCAAACATATGGTTATGGCGCCAACCATACTGTGGATGGACGAACTCCTGCAACCAGTTTGAAACCATGGGAAACCATTCTAGGTTGGTATTTACAGGGGGGATCATCATTCCAATGTTTCTCAGGTGGTGCGAAATGGATTTCGTCCATCCACAGTGGGCTGTTGCGCCTGGTCATGGGTTACTTGGTGGTCCCTTGTTTCAATCCCCACTAAAACCCACAAAAACCAGGGAAAACCAGGCCCATATTAATCAACAGCTTGGTTTATGAATCCGTGGTCAACATATGGTTATATGGTTATTGCGCCAAACATGGCTTATTGCGCCTGGTGGGTTCATGGGTGGTCCCTTTCAAGGCCAAGGCTTCGAGCCGTCGCCTCAGGCCTCGCGGCCCTCAGCGCTGTGAGCGCGGCGGCGGACGCGGCGGCGGCGCTGCGGGCGCCAGAGACGCTGATGGCGGCGGTGCAGGCGGCGGAGGCGGGCACAGCTTCAGGAAGTGGGTGGTTTTTTCCTCTAGGTTTTGAAGAGGAAATCATGGTTGTTGGGAAACATTTCACATTTTTGCGTATTGTGGTTTAGTGGGAAATCTTTACTTGCCTGCTAAAATTTAAATTGTTGCTCCCCTGCCAACGTCAACCAAGAAATGGGCGGCTTTGTCTAGTAGGAGCCAGTAGGTGTTGTGTTGCTTTGCAGAATTTCTTTCCCACTTGAGGGGTACATTGGTGTGTTGTTTTGGAGTTGGTGCCCTTTTGTCCCTCAAAAAAGAGACACCCAAAAAAGATGTTTCCCTGTTCTCCAAAAAATGTCGACCATTGGGTTCCCACGTTCTGCCTGGTCACTTATTTTCCCTCCCACAATGCCATGGTACCTGACGGGGGAAATGGTCGCTGGGGTTGAAGTGGTCGCTTTTCTGTTCGTGGAAGGGACCACATCAACAAGACAAAGGCGAACGGCGGCGTGGCGTGACTTGTTTTTTTGCCTTTCCCCAGCGGACGGCATGGTCTTCGGAAGACCGGTCTTTGGTGTGACCTGAAGGCCCGCCCCAGTCCAACCTGTTCGAAAAAGTTCGCTGGCTTCTCCATTAACATGGTTGTTGTTGGGGAAAAGTTTACATCTTTGCTTATTGTGGTTTAGTGGGAAATCCCCTCTTCACTGCTAAAATTTAAGTTAAATCATTTTAACCCTGATGGATTGGATTTTTGAAGGGATTGGTTCTTGTAGAAGGTACCATGGGAAACCCCTCCTGAGCCACCAAGACCACCAAACCTCCAAACGATCGATCACGACATCTCTTGCTTCTTCGGGTCGGAGGGAGCACCCAGCCGTGTTGATTTTCGGAGGGGGTTCCGGCACTTTTTCTAGAAAATGGTCTGGATGTGGCTTCTGTAGATCCACCCAGGATGCTAAAAGAGTACTAAAAGGGTACTAAAAGAGTACCAGGAAAGAACCTACAGGAGGAAGAACGGGTGAAGTCCACAGGAAGCGCATCCAAGCCGTTTTCCAGGGTGTTAGGGAACCCCTCCCCCCTACTTGGCAATGATAACTACCCCATTTCCCAACCTGGAGTCCTCTCTTGGACGTCACTTCATCCAGATTGGTGTGAAAGCATCTTTCCAACAAGGACCTTCCCCACCATGGAGTCACAACAGTGCAATCCATCCACATACTAAAATGGCCATGGGGCATAACCTATGGCTCCATTTTGGGGTGGATGAACATCCATTTGCCACCTATTTTTGATGTTCACCAGAAATACAGGGTTTTGACCCACAGCCAAATGGACCCACAGCATCAAAAAACATCCCCCGTCCTCCGCCAGGAGCACATCACCACTGCCAGCGGCGAGCTGCAGGAAGGGCCGTGGTCAAGTCCCGGGGAAACACGAGGAACGAAACCACAGAGCCCCATTTAAATCATTTGACAGGGCTCCTTAACAGATCTCCATTTTGCAACCATTTGAAGCATGACTTTTTCAACACCGAAATAAAGTTGGAAACTACCACTTACAAGTTGCAATGTTCAGGTGTATAATGTAAGGATCCCCATCTGAGTACTTCAAGGGGCGATGGGGTACGTCAGGCGAGCGGTGAAACGAGAGCCTGGTTACCCACTCGGAGACTTATAACCCTGGTTTTGTGGGTTACCACGGTATTATCCCCACTTGCCTACTTAAAAGGACCATGGTAAGTACAATGCACCTTTGAGTAGGTTTCGCTGCCTCTCAGGCACGGGACCACCCAGCCACGGAAGAAGGTGGCTCTACCCATTCAACATGATAGGAGCGCGTCCTCCTTGGGGACACGTGTCTCTTCGATGTGACAGTAGGTGTAGAAACTACTTGGCTTGGGGGTGAGGGAATCTTGCCGTATGGGTTCACCTGTTTGGTTCCCAGGAAATGGCCCCCAAAAACACCCTAAATCCGCTGTTTTCCCGCAGAACTTCCAATTTCGCCCAAGCCTTTCATTGGTAGAAGGCAGTCCGCTCACCTCTGCGACCAACTGCTCGGAGCCATGGCCATGGCTTCGTCCAACTGTTTCGTGCGAGCATTGTTTTTGTTGCCCTTGTCTCACTTCTCCAAAGCGAATCGACCGGATCTGGACCTTTTGGTTTTTGTCCAAAGCCTTCCTTTTGACCAGTCAAAAAACCTGGTATTGCAAATGTTGGGTTCCCACTTTTGAGTCGTGGCAACCAAAAAGGTGATCGATGACCTTCTATGTCCGGGTCCCTAAGGGGCTAGTAAGAGCCAAGGACAGGGTTTAGTCGACTCTTCCACTAAAATTCCATTTGGGCCGAATCTTATTTTTGAGCCACACCTGTCTCTGACAGTTTGGGCGACGAAAGTTTTGGCGCTCGCAACCGTTTCGTTTCCGCAGGAGAGGGCTCGGGAAACCCTCACCTCCGCCCGAGGCAAGTCGTTGAACGATTTGGGTAAGGGACTTGGGCTATTCTCTTGTGCAAACATGGGGGCTTAGAACGAACATGGGTGTTTCCCTCTCGTGTCTTTCTAAACCCTTCCTACAAAGGGTCTCCAGGTTGCCTAGATGGAAGGTGGGTTACAACCTGTGGACTGAGTTTCTGGCCGAAGGGCCATGTAGATGAAGCTTTGGAAATCGGTCGAAGTCAAACGAAGCGCTGCAGTTTGGGGAGTGACACCGAGGGCCCGACTGTGCTACTCTCCTGCAGATTCAAGATTTACGGAAGGACAGGCAATCAAAAACCAGGACACAAGGGATGGATGTGGAGATCAGAATTAGCGCTTGTACTTAAGAATATCTTTAATTTTCCCTTGTTGGTTTTAAAGGGAATCTATCACTACCGGACATATTTTTATTTTTCCCAGGGGGCTTAAGCAAATGCAAGATTGGTATTTGAATTCAACCGCCCTCGTTTGGTTGATTCTCCTCTTAACCGTGGTGGGCGGGCCCTGGTCTTGACACATAAGTTCTGCGGTCCTGCCGCCGAAACACCTCCAAACCACGAATCCGAGGCACCAAGTAGAGGAAAGCAAAGCTATGAGTGTTGGAAACCACTCTGAAGCCATGGTTGAAACCATAGCCTTGGTTGGTATTTATACTGGAGGCTAGGTGGCTTCCTTTTGGTTTCCCCTTGGTTTCAAAGAGGGAAGCTGAATGTTTGGCATAAAATAAAAGACCTTCAAACAAAGCAACTCTTCATGTCAAGCCTCCCATATTCTCCTTCACTGCGACGTCTGACTGCCAGGCTGAGTTTGTCCTGAGCCTTCTTCGCCATACCTCGCTCGAAGCTCCATGAGTTCCTGGGTTGTAGTCACTGTTTGTGTTTGGACCATGTTTCTGGCAACAACAAGTGTGGTTACTTTTTTGGCCAGTCCACTCACGAAGTGAGATGTTGCTTTCCAATCAAACACTTCAGCATCTTGTAGGTGCAGATGTTTGGCCGAGATTTTCGGACTATGAGTTCGCACATCCATGAAAGGCTCCCGCGAGGTGTGCTTGCTTGGCCGGCTAGGCACATCAATTATAGAAGTAAGTGTCTAAGACATCCGCGTAGAACAAACAAACCCTTTCTCAATGTGTTAAACATGCAACACACTAGAAAATCAGCAACGTGCACGACCAATCACAACACGGCTAAAACCGCAGACACGAAACAAATGCAAAGAGACGTAGCACGGTTGAGGAGCAGACTCTGAAGACAAGATCCCAGAGTTCTTGAACAAGTTGGGCTTGACTGCTGCAGAAGTCAAGGTGAGACCCTTGTCGCTACCAGGAACCACTTCTGAGCACTCTCAAGCGACTACTTCTGAAGGGAACAGACTACTGGAGTCCTTCCAACACAAAGGTCAGGTGGTCAGTGGAGAAGGCTACTTCGATGTTGTCATCGCCACAAAGTCTGTACTCAGTGAGGCACAGGTTCGAGGCACCAAGGACACTGATGACAACTTGGTCTACAATGCACTCCGTATTCTTGATGATCCGACTTCGAGCGGAGGTCTCGAGGATCTTGATGCCTCTACATGTATAGTATCGAGATAGAAGACACTGCAGAGGTATCAAACTAAAGGATAACTGTTGCATAGCATGTCAATATTCAAAACAAAGCACAACACGTGGACATGGAAGGCAATTCAGGTGATATCAACATGAAGGTCCACTCTCACAGACCCAAACCAAAGGCCAACTAGAAGATGTCAATCTTGAAGATGAAGCATAACAGTTCAACACTGATGGCACATCCAGGCATGTCAGCAGCGAAGGCAAGTCACAAGACCAATCAAGATGACATTCAACATAGAAGTAATATGCAACATGCCCACCAAAGTTTCGCATTGCCCTCCCCCAAACATCCCGAACCCAGGCTTCAAACCCCTCCACAGGCTGAGACTTTAAGATTCCGGCCAAGGATCAAAGAGCATGGTGGTCGTTTTGTTTTTCCAGCCCCCCCCCCCTCCCCGAAATGGCTTCGGTTCTACTTTGGGTTTTCCCAAGCCAAAAAAGGGTTCCCAAAAAACATGCTAAACATGGACAGACCCATGTGACAAGGGGCCTTGCGGGGGTATGGCCCTTTGCCAGGCTCACCTCAAAAGGAGAGCCAGGGGTTCAAACCCTGAACCATCCAATCAAGGACAAAAAATACGCCCCCACCAATCAACATGGAACCTGACAGGGGGCTCCTGAAAGACCATTTTGCTATTAAAGCCACTCCCGAACGTCAGGTTTCGGCTGCTAATTGGGAGGGGAAATGGTGAAACAACTTATGATGAACCCCCCAAAAAAGCAATCCAGCTTCCCCGTTCCAACTCCCAATTGCCCAACCAAGCGCCTCCTTCAGGCCTCCTGGAGGGTGCTGCTGCAGCCAAGGATTGGCGCCAGGTGCGGACTTGTCGAAAAGCAGAGAGAGCACGGGTGCTGGAACAAACGGGTGTGGGCCCCGCCTTTTTATGTGGTGTTGAAAGGAAACCCAACATTTAATAAGCTCAGGTGATATCCCCAACAGCATGCGGTGCTCTTTTTCTTAGTGCTCGCACCACCCTGCAGCCCTCGCAGAACCTCGTGGAACCCTCGTGGAACCCTCGTGGAACCCTCGTGGAACCCTGGTGGAACCCTGGTGGAACCCTCGTGGAACCTTACCTCAGGGCTGCCCCGGACCACCCCGGAGCCTATCTGGGCTGAGCAAAGCTTGCAGCTGTTGGGAAAAGATAAACGCGTTGCACCATTTTGAGGGGCACCCAAAGAAGGACTGGCTTTTGGCCGGTTGTGGCTGGCTTTTTGGTTGGCTTTTTGGCTGGCTTTTTGGCTGGCTTTTGGCTGGGTTTGGCTGGTTTGGACCTTTTTTTTTTCCATGTTTTTTAGCTCGCCTTGCGGGAACGCAGCTGCGGGGCATTTTGCAAGCATATCTAGGGGTCGTTTTGTTGCAGCCACACGCCTTGTGGCTGTGCTTAGTTTAGACCCTGGAACCAGGTTGCAGGTAGAGGGAGACCAAAAGTAAATACCCACTCATGGTGAAGGCTTGATACCTCGTCCATTCGTCACGGACCTTCCCGATGATTCTCATGGTGCTTGTATAGGGTTGCTGAAAGGATTCATGTTGATATTTTTACGTCTACCGGCTGATTGGGAGGATGCTTCCGTGAATTAGGAGCTGTAGGTATCTTCTGGGGAACTCTGTTCTAGCGGCAATATAGTGCTTACACCCCCCCCCCCCCGGAGTCCTTGCCCTCCGCCAACATGTGACCATTGTTTGGTGGGTTCCATACTGGAAACTGTCAACTTCGGATTCTCCGGAGTGCGTGCTAATCGGGGGGGGTCCCCATTTTGCGCAAGGACATGATCTACTTTGAGGGAGTCCTCCGACTAGTAGGGTCCTTCAGATTAATCAAAGCTAACGTTAGTGGGAGGGCACTCGGGTTGGGTGTTATGCCAGCAGTTCTGATGAAGCTTCCATGTGAAATCCATAAGTGTCGGGAAAGGCAAATTATTCCAATGCTTGATATCCGTTTCCATCATTTTCAACCAAAGCTGATCTCTTGCCAGCGGTTTTGATGGTTCTCTGGAAATTCGAAAGAAGGATCCCTGGGACAGATGGGGATGTTGCCCCTAGAAGCTTGGTTTGGGGTTAATCTGGCGCTTCTCAGGAGAGGCATTCGGCTTCCTTCTCCCGTATGAGTTTGACGGGGCTCAACAAATTTCACCTTGGTAACAAAATTGGTCTGTGTTTTTTTGAGGTACCCTTTTGCGATAGGAAACCATAGGGAAACCATAGGGAAACCATAGGAACACCATAGGAACACCATAGGAACACCATAGAACATCAGAGGAACCCCAGAGAACTTCAGAGGAACACCCCTCTGTAGGGAAACCATTCGGAACACCCCTCCCCGCTTTCTTGGGGTCCGTCTGTACGCATAGCAAAAGGCGGTTTCTTGCTTCAGGTTTTGAGCCGAGCCCGACGAACAGCCACAGCTGGAAGCTCCCCCAATTGGCGGTAAATTGAACCAAGTCTTGCTTGGGGGTTCTGGGAGCTTCCGGCTGGAATCGCTTGGAGGTTAAATTGAACAAAGTCTTCCAACAGGGTTCTGGGAGCTTCCGGCTGGAATCGCTTAACAGAGGGTAAAGGGCCACAGCGATGAGGCTGACAGTTACTCGAGGAATTTATATTACTAACCCGCACCCGCCACGCCGAACTCGGCCAGGCAAGGGCGGAGCTGCAAAGCCAAATGCAGGCGGAGGAGGAGATGCCTGAGGTTGGTGTGTTTCTCTCAGGGCACCGTTTTGGGGCCGGTTCAAAGGGAACCCCAAAGCAAAACCCACTCACTTTTTGGGGTTCGACACACACCTCGGGTAGGGGCGAGTTCCAGCCATAGGTGCGGCAAGAAGGCCTTTGATTTCCTTACATGGGTTTGGGCAGACCTTTTTTAGTACCAGGATGTTGATTGTGACTCAAATGCGGAAAGGTGTGGTTCAGTGGTCCGTTGGGTGTTGTCTGAAGGCCCCGTTGCTTTGTCAATCCTCTTCGGATCTCCCTCAAAGTTGTGGGATGCATCCAAAGCTTTTCAAGAGTAAGTTGTGAATAACCTAGGTAGTAACCCACGTAGCAGTCCCCCCAAACGGGGTTCTCCTTGTTATTAAATGGTTATAGCCCAAGTGGCTAACCACTTACCGACTTGGCCGAACATCAACAAAGCCTAGACTCCTCTTGTCTCAGAAACTTGCTCAGGAAGCCACCCAACGATTCAATGGACTGGGTGAATTATAACGACCTCGCACGACCGAATTCACCCCACATGGTGGTTTATGTGGGGAGCACCGCAAGTTTCAGGTTGGTGAAATATTATAATTCACCCAGAATGGAGCTTGCCAATGCGAGTTTCCAGCCTCATCGCAGATCTCCGTGGAGCTTACTGATGTTCCAATGTGCGCGGGGGGAAAAGGGCTGTGCTGACAGCTGAGCGTGCCCTTGCACGCTGCGCTTCCAAATCTCCAAGAAACAAGGATGCCGGTGTGCACAGATATGCTTCCTGATGTCCATGGCGGTTCAATGCTCTTGGCTGGACCTTCGCCGTGGCCATGCCCATGGGCAAGCTGGCCCCGGCCTTGCTGGACCAGGCCTGCTGAACCGGATGCGCGGTCGCGCGGAGTCTTCGAGGAGGGCGCCGGACTTTTGGAAGTCTACGCGCGCATCTGGTAGCATCTATGAGCTCGCACCGATTTGCCTGGGGCTTCCCGTAGCTTCCAGCTTTCAAGACCTATGGCTTCCAAGAGCGGCAATGCCACGGCCGAAAGAACTGCCGTGCCAGCTCACCTTCGAGGGCGAGCTACCTATCCACTAAGGTGGAACCCATCAGAGGGTCCTTTTTGAAGGAGAATGCCTAGCCTTCAGGACCCCCGAAGTGCCAATCTTGGGCCGAAGGGAATTTTCAAAAGGACAACCACCATTTTTTGGGGGAGTCCCTAGAAAAAACAAACCCGCATTACCCTTCCGCAAAGTAACATGGAAGTGAACAACCCAGGTAAGCTCCGCAAGCATGGAAGTCAACACCCGTTGTACAAGAAGTTTCTATTTTTGGAATAGGGTCCGGTGCACTTGAAGAATTGTTTCTTCGAAGCAGAGCCCAAGGGTACCCTTCAATGTGAGCGGATAAAATCGAAAAAGGAGGCCTATACTTATTGGTGGCAAGAGCCCGTCCCCTTTTCATACTGTGGATGGACGAAATCCTGCACCACCTAAGAAACCACGGAATGATGATTCCCCAACGTAAATACCAACCAATCCATCCACAGTAGTAAACTTGTCCTAGAGGATTCCACGGATTGGCACAGGCCCGCCCAATAAAACACAAAAAAAGCCTACTATAGGCGTGCCAGCCCAAATGGTTGGTTTGGTTGGTTGGTTGGTTGGTTGGTTGGTTGATACTGTAACTGCAACCTGACACGGGTTAAGCAGCCAAGTCAATGTACACGTGCTCAGGGGCAGCAAAATGCCGCCGCCAAGGTGAAGCTGCAAAGGGTCGGCCAAAAGCCCCTTGCGCCGCAAAAGGTGGTTTGCCTGTGCGTTTCCTTAGAAACTGCCCGTAAAGGTGTACCTACACCCAGCCACACTGGAACATAGGATATGGCCCCAAAATTATGCAAAGTCCACCTTTCAAGTTTGTGTGAGTGTCCAGAAACCCCTAGCTTGGGTTGGCAAGGAGGCGGATCCCGTACGATTGGAAGCTGCCTTGGAGGCCGAGTCTTTCTCGCTCCGATGCCTTTGATTGGGAGTATTGTTTGTCGGGGGTTTCCCTTGAGGTTTCCCTTTCAATGACTTTCAATTTCGTTTGAGAATATCGTTGATTTTCCCCTGTCGCTTGAAATATTTGTTCTTATCCATGGAACTTGAGCAAATGGAACATGGGATTTGGGCAAAATATCCTGATTAAATATCCTAATTTCAGGGTTGGGGGGGGTTGACAGGAGACCAACAGGACAATGCAATTTTGGGGGAACATGCCCTGCTGGGTTCCACGTTGCTAGTTGTGTGTTTCGTTTCTCTACCATCATAGTTGGATAGTGTGCGAACGTTGAGACTCGGGAACCCCTTTTGGTGCGCAACTGGAAACGAAACAAGGGAGCAACCAAACAAGGAACACGGGAGCAACAAAACGGAGCAACCTTTTTCGAGATGCTTGCTGTTGTTTTTTGCTTAGCGGCTTCAGCTTTATGAGAGGCTTCTAAGTGAGGGACTCGGTATCGAGGGCTTCTGAACATTCCATCTGAACTTTTGGATGCCGCTCCAAACCAACTGCTTTGTGGGAATGATCAGGGTTTCCACTCCCCGCCTCAACCCCCCCAAGCACAAGCCACTACCTCCAAGGGAGAAAGCACAAACCACTACCTCTAGGGGAGAGCGGGGTATCCAACCTTCAGACAAAGATTGGAATGCGGAGATATAGCCGATTTGTTTGCCAGGTTTTGGGGGTCAGTGGCAATCCCCAAGGATTGCTGGGATCGAATGGTGTTCCTGTATTAGACAGTTTGACTATCATGGACGCAACTAGGTGCCTTTCTTTGAAGGGGAGTCCTCGTCCCGGGTAGGAGCTTCCATGAAATCGCCAGGCCCATCTTTGAGATGGTTGGAAAGGGAACCTAATCTAGGGGTTGATTCCCCATTCTTTTCAACCCAGGTTCTTTCCAAACAGCGGATCCGTTTTCCCTCGGTCTTCGGAGGTTTTCTAGAAAGATTCGGATCCCTGGAAAGAATGGGGAAGGTACCCCTTAGTTAAAGGGAAGCCGAAGCGCATTTTGTTGGGAGCTCATTCTGTTGGCCTTCGTTTTGAAACAAGCCATCGCCCAGTTGTTCAACGCCATCCTCTAGATTCCTTTTTGTTTGTTGGGTTGCCAAGCAAACATGGAATCGACCCAAAAAGGGTTGCGAGCATGTTCTACCACGGTAACTGGGCTTGCACAAACCAGTTTCCCAATGTTGACCCCAGTTTCCCAGTTTATCAATAGGGAGGGTGATTTTTGCTGGGTTTAGTGGGGAATCAGACCACTTCTGGAGGGGCCAACAACTATCCCCCCCTAGTATTAAACTGGTTGATGAAAGTTTGGGTATGGGTCAGAATTAAGCCACCAGGATATGACCGCACATAGTCTTTGTTTCCATTTACCAGGCTTCGATTTTGGGGTTGCCAACTTGTTTTGATTGAACCACACCCATATGGGTGTTTCTCAAATTGCGGACACCTCCTCCAACAAACATAGCAACTGTGGGAGGGTACCTGGAAGATGGTTTTCCTTTTGATGGTATCGTGTGTCAGTTGCTATGTTGGTGGGAGGGAGGGTAGGTGGTTTCCTTTTGGTTTCCTTGTAAAACCATCAAACAAAACGGGTTCCCCTTCTTTTGCGCCACACCCATGGGGTCCAAACTTTGAGCCACCCGAGCGCCCAGAAAAGAACCACATGGCTGTTGTTGGGACACATTTTTCACATTTTTGCTTATTGTGGTTTAGTGGTTGAAATCCAAATCCACTGAACTGCTAAAATTTGAAGATTTTGCTCCCCTTCCAACGTCAACCAAGACCAAAGCCCACAAAAAACTCGCGCGAATTCGCAGGTGCTCAAGGACGCAGACAGGCGGCTGGCGGCACGAGGCCATGTGCTGGTTTTTTGGGCGTTTTCGGCGCCTTGTTCAAGCGTAGGGCGTGCGGCAATGCTTTGGGACCTGAGGTGGCTTTGCTTTTGGGAACCTGTTCTTGTGCTTAAAGACGTTTCCCACAAATCACAACACATGGCTGTGGCTCAAAAAATCGCCAAAATGGCTTGCCCCGGTAAATTGCCCCTGTTAAATTTTGAGCCACACCCATATGTTTAGTTTTGGGAACAAACACATGCACACACCTGTCCCTTGGGATCTCGAGTTTGCCGCCTCGTAACCGAAATGAAAGTTCACAGTTGGGTCCCGGTCAAGAGCTGATGGCCAACTGCTCCCTCCCCGTTAAGGTTAAATCCTGATTTGGCCTTATTTCCCCCCTTCAAAAAAATAATAATTTGCCATATTGAAAAAAGTAAAAAAAATAAATATATATATTTCCCAAACCCGACCTTTTCACCTTTGGTTTTCATTTTGGTCCATTGGCAAGGTTCCAGCAGGCTAACCTGGTTTACCCCCAGCTTCTGGCGCCGCTGTTGGGGGCTTTGGTTTGGTAGGCCCGCTGGCTTTGGCTTTGGAAAGATGCGCTTGGGGTTGAAATGGAAGCCACGAGGCGCAGGTTGGGAGGGGCAGTCTGAGACACCCTCACGAGTCTTCCACTTGAAAAGGCTTTGGGGTTGTAAGCAACATGTAGCCGAGGCTGATGTACATTGGGTGACCCATGGGTCCTTTCAAATTGGTTTCGGTTGCATGCTACATGCTTGTCCTGTGCAAAATGGAACCGGGTTCCAAGAAACCTGTGGGTCTGAGCAACATGTAGGGTAGACGGGGGGGGTTTGCCCGGACCCGCAACGTCAAATGAAGATACTGAAAAAGGACGACGTTGTTTTGCATTGGTTTTTACCATGCAATCTAGCTTCCCTTGGGTTCACAAGCTATAAGCCTTTCCTCAAATCCGCGTACTCCGACATCTAGGTAAGAGTACGCGCGGCTGACAGGTGCGCAGGATTGCGGATTTTCACGTTTCTGCTTGAGGTCGAAAAACCAACCGAGACGTGTCTTTGAAAGCATCTTGGGGGTTGATACGGTCAGCGATGTGGTCCAGGTATTCTCTGAATGCCTGAACCAGTGGCTGCAGACCTGGTGTCGCGTGGGAAAACTGAGCGGCAAGCACAGAAACGTGCGCTTTGCGCAGTGGGAGGCCGCAAAGCTGACCTGAGCGTCTGAGTTGTTTTTTCCACCTCAGCTGAAGCGAATGCAGCTGATGGGCGAATGCACCTGAGTTGCTGATGGGCGAATGCAGCTGAAGTGACAACTTAGATGAAGTCACGGAAGCGGCATCAGGCGAGGGGGTTAGATCTAGCTCTTGAACGAAGCATCTCGAGCACCGACGTAATCATGCCCCCCCCCCCCCAGCCCCCCCCACCCCCAGTCAAATCATGGTGGGCAACTACGGAGTCAGAGCAGGGCGACGGGGGGGCCGGTGGTTTTCGGGCAAACCCCCCCCGTCTACCCAACATGTAGCCTTCGCAAGCTCTGTCATTTTGATCGTTGCTTTGCTGCTTGGCGGAAAAAAATCCAGTGCATCCATCCCAACTGGGGGAGTTGGTCCATCCACAGGTTTGCACAAGGAAAGGCTGTCGATTTGTCCATTGGCCAAAGGAGGTCGAAGGATCGCTGCCTTTGCGACCTTCTGGCACAGCTGGCATCCCAGAAAAAGCTTAGAACCCGGTCATTTTGCGGCGCGCTGTGTCTTGATTGCATGTTCCTTCTTGAGTTAGCCTTGTTTGACTCATCCAGCCATATGCACGCACCCTATTTCGATGTACATGCGTACACACACACACCTCTCTCTCTCTCTATATATATAATTGTCTGACTCCCTGAGTTCCTGCACTTCACACTTTTTGCAACAACCATTTTAGTGGTAAACACATGTAAACAACAAGTTGTCACTCCTGTTTGGCCGTGACCATGAAACGGTGGGCACCTACTTGCGTTTTCCGCAGGCTTGCGCGAGCACCTGGGCGAGGCCTCCGTCCTGCAAACATACTTCCCTTTATGGGACATTTCAGAGATGGGTTTGGAGGTATGGAGGTTTTACACCGCTGGGCTTATGCTCCGTTCTAAGCTTTTATTGGTTATTTCAGCATCCGCAACTCTCCAAAATCCATACCTGGAAAGTCCCTTCCTTCCCTTCAGACACCAAGCGGCCCCATTCTAGATGACAACCCTGAACGGCAAACCATGTTTATGTGAACAAACTCTATACCCGGCATGTCCCTTCCTTCCCTTTAGACCCTAGATTTCAACCGATTCCCAATATGTGTATGGGTCAAAATGAAACCACCAGAAAGCCGCTGGGTTTAGTTGTTGGTTCCATTTACCAGGGCAACCCATTTTGGGTATGCATTTTTGACCCATAGCCAAATATGAGCCTTTTTTTTGGGAGGGTTCTTTTACTGAAATAGACTACAGAAAAACGGGTACCCTTATTCTATCCTCTCTGCTGGAGGACCTAGTGAACCCATGGGAGACCATTGTTTGATGGTATTTACAGGGACATCATCATTTCAGGGCTTCTTAGGTGCTGCATTTCGTCCATCCATAGTATGAACCCAAGCATTGGTTTCATGGTTCGAATCCCAGGGTAGACTTCTTCTGGAGACCCTCCATGTCACATCCCTGTTCGGCGGGTGACGGCGAAACACCTCTTTGGCCCATTTGGGGTGAGTTCTCCTGGTAGGTCTGATGCTTTAAGAGGAAATACAGGAAACTCTCTAAGCATGATTGTCATTTCTTGGATCGACTAACTATGAACAGAAGTAGAACAAACATTTTTGGTCTGTCTTGGGGTTGGGCTGTCAAATGACAGGCGCATGGCCTGCGCAAAGGATCCGGTTCCCAACTTAGGGAAGTCATGGGAAGCTCAAGCTAAAGGAAATCTTCTTCCCGACCCCCCCCGTGATGCCCTTTGCTTTTGTGTTTAGAAAGGGCTTTCCCTGCATCAACGACCAATTAAAAGACCGGTTCGACCAAGAGAGGCGTTCAACATTGGAGCACCTTCTACCTACGAGTGTCCGCACTTTTTGATGTGCCATATAAATTAAAGTGATGACCCCCGGAAGTCTAAAGGGGAACCGTCCCTAATTTTTGTACGGTCCTCCTCGTTAAGAAGTCGAAGTTAGTATTAACAATCTCCGTCCGGCGATTGACTTGCGCCTTCCATGTGCTTTACTGTGGGGTTTAACTAACACCGCTGCTCAGCATGTTTTGGGGATTACTGCAATCTGAGCAGAGAGGCAAACAAGCGTAAATTGCCTGATGGGTTTCAAAGGGCAGTTGCACCTCAAGCCATGTTTGGGGGAAATGGATGAAATATGCTGATAGTGGCACTAGCAAGCAACTGGAATGGTTGCACCCCGCCGGATTGAAAGATGGTACAGACCACGTATGGATTAGCTGGACAAGGCTTCATTAGATTATGATTCTTCCCACAAAGCCTGCAAGACATATTCCACATGAATCTTTGAGTTGCTGAAGCAATATCACAGCTTTGAGATTGCTTCGAACAAAAAGGTGGGAAAGGGCCGGCTGTCTCTTGATGTTCCCCGGTTTTTTAGCTTTGGTTGTGGTCTTTTCTTTGCTTTCTTAGGTTCTACTATTTCCCTCGTTTTCCTTGGTTTCCCGCGGGCTTTCCCGCGGGCTTTCCCCGAGATTTCCCCTGCGTTTTCCCCTGGCAAACCCATGGCAACTGCCCCGGCTTTCCCTCGCGTTCTCCGGTTAAAAACACTAGATGATAAAGCCCCCATCTAAAAAGCAAGAAATATTAAAACACAAATCGAATTCGATATGTTCAATGCCAAGAATAGTGGAATTACCTCAATCACATATTTTAAAAACTTTTCACCTTTCTCAGGAGGAGCACCTCGCCAGCGCCGCCGCGCGCCTCGCGGCGCTCCGCGCCGCGCGGGCCACCGCCGCGGCGCGGCGGGAGCTGCAGGCCGCGCTGGCGCAGCGCCAGGCGCTGGCGCAGCGAGCGGGGCGGAGCGGGGGGGAGCTGGGGGGGGGGGAGGTGCAGAGTCGTGCTTCCCGGTTGGTTCTTTGAGTTGCTTAGTAGTTTGGTTCTTTGGGAGACATATGTTACTTCCATTGGCTGAAATGAATGTTGTTTTTGGTGTCCATTTGTCGTTTTCCCCAGCCATGGTTGGGGAAGCTTGGCATCCGTTTGCTGAAATGAATAGATGTTTGGATTTCCCTGGTTGGTTTTAAAGGCAATCGATTTGACTACTGGAAATTGCTCTATAGCGAGCTCACCTGGTATAAAGAGCTCAATAAATCATCGTCCTTTACTTGGGGATCCAATTCTTAATTCAGCTTTTGGACATTTTGCAGAACTTGCAGATGGGTGCTGAAAGGGGCATTGTACCTAGTGGGGAGCAACCATGGTGAGATCACCCACAAAAGCCATGGTTATAAGTCTCCTAAGTAGGTTTCATGCAGGGGTAGTACCCACTTACTAAGTACAGTGCCCCTTTAAGTAGGTGTCCCTTTTTGCGAAAGCATCAGCAAGTGTTCTCTTTCATTTGGCGGCGTTTCTACAGACCAAGGCATTCGACGGAACAAGGCATTCCTGATCGTTTGTTGGACAAGGGAGGCCCATCCACGTAGGTGTTCTTTTGATTGGTTAGTTGGGTTAGAAACAGGTGGCACTGGTTTAGATTGGTTTTATTATTCCATTGGCCAGGGGCCAGCTTTTTGCCAAAAAAGGGTCACCTATGGAGATGCGTGAATCCCCTGTTTGGGAATGTGATTGCTCAGGGTATATAGTACCCCAGGATCTATCTTTGTTCTTATGGTATCGGTATAATTTACAAGTTTAGATCAAGAAAACCCTACTAAGAACAAGATAGATCCACTTTATAGTGCCCAAGGGTCCACATTAAGCCAAAGAAGCTAGGAAGGGACGAACGGCAACAGCCAAATCACAGGGTGCCCGCGACTCGGAGGTTTTCCCCTCCAGCCTCCTTGAAGCAGAGTGCGTTCCTTTTTTTTGATTCGGGACCCCGAAAAAGGACAACGACGTGCCCAGAGGCTGGTGGACTTCTGTGCAGGTTGACATGTCGCTTTTTTTTTTGTTGGGGGGGCGTAGCTCCTATGATGGTGTCCTCTCAAGAATCAACCACCAAAGAATGGTTGGTTGTTGGGAAACATTTTACAGTTTTGCTTATTGTACTTAACTGCTCTTGTTTTTGCTCCCCTTCCAACGTCAAGAAACTGGGGCAGGCCTGTCTCTTCAGGCTCGGTCGAAATTGGCGGTCCATAACTGGGTATGAAGACTCGGCAAGTTTTAGCCACATCCTCCCTCCCACTAGCACGGCACCGGACGGGTGTTTTGAAGAGGGAACTAGGCTTGCAGGTACCCAGCATACCCTCCAGGGTACCCTAAAGAAGACGGGCAGGCAAAACAGACCCTAATTCCTTCAATCAAATGATGGTATTGACCCTCCTTCCCCATGAAAAGGACAAACAGAAGTTCCACACTGCCTCGACTAGAGAGGCAGCTCCCAGAGAGGCCGGCGCTGGGAGGTTCGATTCAGATGCTGGGTGCTGAATGGCTATGTTTTTTTCAACGGGAAGCTTAAAGGTGTTCGCTGGACATGCGTCCAAGATGATGTCCACCAATGGGTCCCTAGTTCGAATTCATGCCCAAATAAACCAATGCTAGTTTCTCCACAGGAAGCCAACAGGGGATGGATAATTGTTGTGGTTGTTGTTTGAGACCCGTCATTTAACACCCAGGGTGAGGGCTTCCCGCAAGCCTCTTTTGATGGTTCTGCTGGCATCTCCTTTGATCCCCTTTGCATGCGCTGCTTGCTGCCACATGACTTAGTGGCAATACTGGATACAACTGACTCAAGAGGCATTCATCATGAAACCACGCATCCTCCAAAACTGTGGTTTGTTTGAGGGCAGACAACACATGAAACCAAGTCTGGCAACTGATTTTCTGTGTACCCAAGATGTGGGCTGAGTTTAGTGCAGCCCAAATTGAGTATAGCCTAAGGTTTCAAGCCTAATGTTGACCCAGGATTAATAAACCCGTCCCATTATTAGGGGGGTGTTCCCTCCAAAAGTGATGAATCCCCACTAAAAGGAGACACCCCCCCTATTAATAAACCAGGGGTTTATTAATCCAGGGTTAACATTAAGGCGGCAAGGCCTTCTTGGCAGGGGGGTGCCGTTGTATCCTGAGAACCCAAGCCTGCGTCTTGGTGGCCGAAGGCCGAAGGCTTTCGACCGACCTCGGCACTCCTGGTGGTCTGTTGGTTGGAAGGGAGGGCCGTCCAACTTATAATGTTGGTGGGTTGGTGGGTTGGTGGGTTGGTGGGTTGGTGGGTTGGTGGGTTGGTGGGTTGGTGGTCCAAGAAGGGGCCAACATGCGCTCGTATCTGCTGTCGGCAGAGGATAAGGCCATCGGCTGGTCATCTTTCAGAGGACCCGGCGCAAGAGCTAGTTTGCAGAAGAGCTCCGAGAATACGGAAGAGCTGATCACAGTCAGCAAAAATCAGGTTGCTCGTACGGTTTGCCCACGCGGGAAAAGTACACACCTATTGCCCATGCAAAACATGGTTGGGCTGGGCCTAGTTGATCCGGCAGTGTCTATTTGTGAAGGAGGAAGGGCACCCGAAGCAGTCTGGCTCCCGGAGACGAATCTGGAACGTCTCGAACTGTCGACGGCTTGATCGCCTTCGCCTTCACGGCTTCCGAGATAGCAGTGACAGTTCTTGCACGTTCTCGGGTTTCGCCGGAGTGAATGCCAAGTTTGGGTTTCTGAGTCCTGTTTGGCAAACATGGAAGATCATGGAAGCCTTTGGAAGACTCAGTTCCATCTTCGTTGTCCTTGTTCTGCACTGAGCAACGGAGGGTCAAAGTCCAGACCCTCAGGTCTGAGTGGTCCCCTCAAGCAATGTTCGAAGCAACTTTTGCAGGGCAGGCGGCGCTGTTTTTTTCTTCAGGGGGACGGTATGGTCGGAAAAGGCCGGCCGGGCAGGATCCCTCAGTGCCGGGCAAGACAGTTCGCACTGACAACATCAAACAGTTTGAGCCTATATACTGGGATCATTATTTGACAGTTCCTGTTATCAAAGTCAGAAACTGGATCGCTTTCTTTTATCCTTTGGGGAGTGACTTGGATGCTCATATAATGGGGCCAGATCTAGGCAGCAAATCCCCGAAATGGGTGTGTCTATTTTTGGAGGACCTTCAAAATGATGGTGTTTCTTTTGGCTTCCCTTTTGAAGCCCTCAAAAAAAGGTTGCTTCCCCACCAAAAACGACACCTCCCCCCGATTCCCTCAACAGCTCGGCGTTTTCGACCCACTTGAAAGCCACTGCGCCAGCCAGGCGCTGGTGGCGGCGCTGGATGCGGCGAGAGACGCGGGCGCTGGCCTTGGAGCCCCCTCAAAGGTTTCTTTTTTGGTTGGGAGTCCCCTACTAGAATAGACCACAGCAAAAAGTTGGTACCCTTTTTGTCCCGTTTCCTTTTTGGTTGGGAGGGTTCCACTGACAGAAAAAAGTTGGTAGCCTTATTCTAACCTCTCGACTGGAGGACCTAGACAATACTGCGGCGTTGCATCGCCCGCCGAGGCCTTTCTTTTATCTCAGCGTGAGGCCAGAGACTGACTTTATCTTACCTGGATGGTACCAAACGACCTTACCTTACCTTACCTGGATGGTTGTGACATCCATTTCGCACGGCAAATTTAATCCATGGTTACAACCATATCGCTGGTGGGTATTTACAGGGGAATCGAATAATTCCAGGGGTTCTGAACGGGTGCGACATGGATTGCGCCCATCCACAGCAGGAATTGGCACCCTAAAAACATGGCTTCGGTTTCTTTTGGTTTCCCTTTAAAACCATCCCAAAATGGAGGTTTGATTTTTGGCTTCTTGATGGTTTCCCCTGTAAACAAACTGATGCCGAGCCTCAGCAAAAAGTCGGGACAGTGCTCAGTTTTGTGTAACAGACAAGGATAATCAACGTCACGCCGCCACTAACGGCGCGGAGAAATTCACAACCCTGGCAAACGCCCAATCAGTATTCCTGGACATGAAGTAACTGCGGCATTGGCAAATCACGCGTGTTGTTGCGCCGCCATTGGCAATTACGCCACAGCCCGGGATTCAGCCCGCCTTTCTTCTTAGCCTGACACAAGGTGGCAGCCACCTTTGGCTGTCTTTCCAACTGTTCAATCATCCCGAGGCAAGGGAACATTCTTGGCAAACTGCCGCAAACTATGGCTCACAGAACTGAGGTGTATGTCGTAGTCCTTCGGGCCAGTCGTAATTAGCAAGATTCGATGACACACGCTAGGGCATATATAAGTCCCTTTTGCCTGTGTGATACTAACGGATTGTCCGGGAAACCCCAAGAAACTGCACGCATTCGAGCAACTGGTGCTCCACCCAGCCCCGCCCCACCCGGCCCACCCCTGCAAAAGTCATCTAGGCGTCGACCAGGCCGGAACAGCGGGGGGGGAAAACCGTTGGCATACAAATGCGCGAAACGCTCCGCGCCGTTCGTGGCGGCGTGAGCATAAACAAGCTTGCGAGACAGCACAATACCCCCAGTATGCAAGTATACGGCCAAAACGCACCCGTTGCCCGCGACCGCCCGGGCTAGCGGGTCCCCGAGACCTCCAAGAGCGTGGCACAGCGGAAACGCACTTCCGAGTCCCTTGGGCCCCCCAGCCCAGCTCCATGCTCCATACCCCCTTCATCAGCGGCGACTTTTCCCGGTATACCGGACAGCCAGCCCCAAGCAAACCTAAACCCTAATTCCACCTAAACCCCAAAAACCCGACTCACTTGCCAGCACGATCATACAGCATAATAAGACCTTGTGGGCGACACGTGTTTTGTGGGTAAGTATATAGAGGCCATGTCTGAAGATGCCCTTGATGGAAAGAGCATGTAGTTTCAGATGCTTGTCAGGTTCTCAAGCAGTGTGGTTTGTAGCTCGTTCTCCGGAATCCAGATAGATAGACCTCTGGGACACTTCTCGTATTGTCCACATGCTTTTTTGGCAGAGGGGGGGGGGGTTCGACCGGCCAAAACCGCGACGCTGGAGGGCTGGTGGCTTCCAAAACCTTTCCTTCGAATGATTTCGGCGGTGCGTTTCTGGAAGGTTGGAGTCACGGATGGTTGGTTTCTTCCTCACTTCCTGAGTTCATGAACTTTAAACTTGTTGGGAAGACCAGCAAGTGAGCTTCCCGGTGTCCTTAGACCAAGGCGATGGTTTTGAACACATGCATGCGTGTTTTTTTTCTCCTTTCTTTAGAGGCTACACTTTTTTTGGGGGGGCGGGTATTGAGGGAAACCACTAGGAAACCACCTGTTTGGGAGGTTGCCCTATTGTGAGGCAAACCCACATTCACGTGAGGCCCTACATTTGTTACCCGCAACCTTCAAATTCAGGGTCCCTTCGGAAATCAGAACGTCGCGTCGCCCGCTGGCTCAGCGGATTTGAATCGGAGGACTCCCGGGCATCGAATCCACCTCTTGATGGTTGTCGGGTTGTCAAACAGTGTCATCCTTTTCGTTGCCAGACTGAGCTGATCTTTTTAACTTCTTGCCTTTGCGGTTGGTTTTTTCTTTTGTCCTTTCAACCAGCGAAAAGCTTAAATTGTAGGGGGTCTCAGTCTGGTCAAGCTGGATACTCTCTACGCAGAGTCAAAGAGGTCACAAGTTTGACCTGACTGACCAAGGACTAAATTCGACAAGTTCTGCATGAGTTACCATAGTTTTTTTGTTGTTGTTGTTTTGGTAGAAAATAGATAGCCCTTGTTGTTTCACAATCTACCAGGACCATCTATTTTCTCAAAAGGACACCTATGGAAGGGACCCGTTCTACGGAACAATTCCTTGTTTCAGGGGTCCCGACCTGTATTTTTACCCCCCCTCCCACGAATGCAGCACCTGTGACAAGTGACAAGGTTCCTGTGGTGTCAATTCTAGGTTCCTGCCATTTGTCATCCAAGTTTGAAGTCCGAAAGTGAAACCCTCACCCCGGCATGCTCAGAGCCCTTCCTTGATGTTCGGCCAAGGTACAAAGTCTTTGGCCAGCTGCGGGTATAACCCACTAATGCCAATCTTGTCAGGAGGTGGATAAACGGTCGACAGGCGAACCCCGTCATTTTCATCCAACACGCCGCCTTCCGCCGCACTCGCCGAGGTGTAGAGGAATGTGAGACGACGCGGCTGGCAGACATCCTCACGAGGCAGCCGAGGGCGACGCCCGGTCCGTCGGATGGACGAAGTCGTGCACCACCTAAGAAGCCCTGGAATGATGATTCCCCTGCAAATGTCAACCCACAATGCTTCCCATGGTTTCAAAATGGTGGATGTCGTCCATCCAGAGTATCGTGGGGGCCTTGTAAGAAAATGGCCTTTTGTGTGCCTGAGCTCTTGAGCAAACCTGACATCATGAGGGCTTTTCAAGCATTTTGTGGATGATTACAAATTCCACTCCAGGCGCCAGTTGTTTTTTCTGGCTTCCATTCATTCCGCAGAATTTGACCCTTGAGCTCTTCTCTGCCCAGAGGCTCCAATTCGATTGATCTAGTGCCTTCAAACCACCTGGTCTTGAGACCGGGTCCCATACGATCCCCGGGGTGGCAGTGGGTCCATTGAAAGCCGAAGCCCGGGCGCCTTTGGTCCTTTGGTCCTTTGGTCAGCCGGCGTGCGGCCGAGCGGCGGTTTCCGAGACGGACGATCTGAGCCGGCCTTGGGGCCTGGCTTGGAGGTTTCAACCAACTTAAGTTATGCCCGGAAGGGGAAGAAAAAAGGACGTGGGTAGAACCTAGGTACTGCATTGGTTGAACCTCCAAATTTTGGCCCTTCACGGGTATCCGAAAAGAAAGTTCCAGAGTTTTTGTTCGACACTTCCGCCGTCAAAGGAATCACTTTGGCCGAAAACTCCACTTGGCTTGGCGTCCCCGAAGCCCGCGGTGTTTCAGTTGACAAGCAAATGGCCAGTCCTGGAAGCTAGATCAGCGCCTTCAAGTGGAGTCCGCCTGGGGCCCCCTTAGCTTTCCCCAGTTCAGTGCCACCAATTTCATGGGTGGCCTAACACATCAAATCGACCCCAAGGATTAAACAAAACCAGGGTCACAGGGTTTGGTAGGTTGGCGACCTTAGGTACCGGCAAGGAATCGATGGGATGCTGAAGTTCTAACCCCCACGAAACACCCATGCTCCGCGCAGGTAGGTAACTTGCGCTGAGCAGGTATTGATTGTTTTGCTCCCGAAACATGGCAGCGGATTCTCTTGATCATTCGGAGGTATGCAGCACTGAAGCTGGCCACACGACCAACGATGCCCAAGAGGGGTGAACTGCCAGTCCCTGTCTTCCTCTTCCCGAGTCACTGAGGCCTCGAGTTTCTGGGGATAGCCTTTGGTAAGGGGTCTGAACTTTAGTGGTCCCGGACCCTTTCGTCTACATCATGTGGGTGGGCCGTGGGGATTTGTTTCTACCACCCACTCTTGAGGGGGGTCGGACTCTTAATATTCATGCGCAAATGAGCTAGCCCTTTTGCCAGGGTGATCTATTCGGGTTGCGCATCGGGTTGCTTACCCCGGCCTTAGAAAGTAGGGCAGAGCCGTTTGGTGTCCTCCGGCCATTTAGCTGAAGTTGGCGGTTTCTACCTTGACCCCTCTTTTTGAGCACCCTTCTTGTTTTCAGAACAAAAGGACTTGTTGTGAGCTCGACTTTTCTACTTCTACCCTTGATACCCCCCCCCACCAGAAATGTTTTTTGTTCGGCCCCAACTTGGACGCCAGGCCGGAGGCTCTCTTCGCTTCGCTCACCGGATCCGGGGACGGCAAGGCAGGGATGAAATGGGAAGGCAACTTGCGACTCACTTCCTGGGATTTGGGTTTGGTTTGTGGACTGCATGCTTTTTGGGGCGCCATTTTTGTTTGGCACTCAACAAGTGTGGTTACTTTTCGGGCCCATCCACTCAGGAAGCGAGGATATGGGACCATTTTTGGGGTCGGTTCAAAAGGAAACCAAGAGCAAAACCACCCATTCTCCGGGGCTGCTCCAGTTTGATACCGATATGGCGGGCGCGAAAACAAAGAGAAGATATTGCAAGGTAGACCAACCCAGGCTGAGGTGAGCAACCCTATTACAACTGAAAACTGGTTGACGGACATGGGTTCATACCCATTTGTGCGCTCACAATTTTTCGGAACACGGGGCCGCAGAATTTGGGTTCTGCGTGCTTTCTGCTTAGAAGTCCGTTGGGAGTGCAGCCCGAAACTCGCGCCGTGCCTTTGTGAGTGGCCATGTGAGGATAAGAGGGCCATTTCCCGGCAACTCATGAAGGTACCCCAAAAAGACACATGGCAGTTGTTCTCTTATTGGCACACCCTCAACATGCCAAGTACTCCAAAAGTCCAAGAAACGCATGGCCAAACATATGATTGACACTCCCTCAACGTGGCTAAGTACTCCGAGAGTCCAAACAGACATGACACATCTAGGTCCCCCAGTAGTGCCCTTTCTCTCTCCTTTTTGGTTGGGAGTGTTCCCCTACTAAAATAGACAAAAAAGCAAAAAGCTAGTACCCACTTCTTCTAACAAAACTCTGCTGGAGGACCTAGACATGGCCAAGACATCGGTCACGTCGGCTCAACGCGCTACTTAGGACGTGCCTGGGCTCACCGTCGCGGACTTCCAGGCGGCAGCGCAGGCGCGATTCGGGGCGGTTGGGGCGATGGGTGCGATGCGTTCCCCGAAAATTCGGTGGATGGGCGCGAAAGCGAGAGAAAGCGCGCCACGGTTGATGAAGCCATGGTTGAAGCCAGAAGGTTGGTATTTACAGGGGGATGGACTCCTTCCAGGGCCTTAGGCGAAGCCAGAACGTTGGTTGGTATGTACAGGGGAATCAAATGAGAAACCAGGGCTTCTGAAGGGCATCCAGTATGACGTGTCCATCTTGGGAGAGAAATTCATTTGGCATTTTTTGCCGATTTGGCTCGGGATCATGAGCTCCCCTTTTGGCCTATTTTTAGTCAAGGTTCCAAAAGGAAAAGCGGTTTATTTCTGGGTTCTTTGGGCAACCGAGCTTTGTCATCTCTTTCCCTCGCTTCCTGGACTTTAGTCATTGCTTTGGGTTCCAACAGGTGGCCTGATAAATCTCAGGTCCAAGCCTGTTTTGTGGCTCTGCAGACCGAACGAAGTGCGCGGCGGTTTCTTGTTGCGGGGCGGGGGGGCCTGAGGCCCCGAAAGCAGCCCAGCCGGGGAAATGGAATGCTCAGACTCTGCTCGCGAGGCGGCAGCGGGGGAAGAGCCGGCACCCTGGAGACCAGAGCGAGAGGGTTGGGGGGTTGGAAGGAGGGGGGTGGGGGGGCATCCAGGGTAGACCAAATATTCTGGCAAGAAGAAGAAACTGACAGTTTCTGTGTACACGTTTTTGTGTGGGCCAAATTGGGGTAGATGAATATGGCTGCCGGAATCTGAGCATATTCTGTTAGAAGAATGTGAGGTCAACATTCCAATACTTCTCAGGAGCTGCTAAAGGATTTTGGCGAGATTGGTTGGTCTCCAGGATCTCACTTGAGTAAACAAGGGATGTTTTGTGAAGCCGACCCACAAGATCAACTGGTCATTCGGACCTCTCATTGCCCTTTTGGTAGGCTCCGGGTTCGGAATTGGTTGCCTACCCAGAGGCTCCCGATTGATTTAGGGCCTTCAAACAACCTGGTTTTGAGACCCCCAACCACCTCCGGGGTGTCTACTGGAGGGGCAATGGGTCTTCCATTGAAAGCCCCAGGAGCCTCTGGGTAGACATATCAATGAAACAACAGGTTTTGACGAGCATTCGCGCCTTTGCGGCGCAACCGTTTCGGCTATTTGGAAATAAGTCTAGCCGTAGTAAATCGTGAGACCATAGAAGGGTCCCTCCTAAGGCCAGCCCCCCTTTTTCCCCTGGTTACTCAGCCTTGGTATGCCAGAATTGGGCCTCAATAAAGGGTCACAGAGGTGGGAACCCGCATTTGATGTGTGAACCGCTTGCTTACAGACGAAGCCCTCACGCCCGGGCAAGCCTCACGGGGAGAATCGAGGGCCCTTAGCCTCGATTTAGAATCGACTCGTCCGAGTTCGGCAGCTCCGACCGCACGGCGAGTGAATGCCCAGGTCACAGCTCGATGTTTTTTTTTTTTTTTTCCGCTGCTGTGCGCCAAAGAAGCCGGCAGGCGGTGTACTTTGAAAGACTCTCCTCTAGAAAGGGCCCATTGGGTGTGTCGTTTTGTTCGGGGAACCCCCAAAAAGGTGGGTGTCCTTTTGGTTGCCCTTTCAACCAACCCCCAAAAAGGCTACCCAAAGGTGGTTTTCCTTTTGGCTCCCCTTGAAACCAACCCCCCAAAAAGATACCCTCGAAAAGAAGGGCGCGCCCACGAGGGTGACATGTTGACACCGTTGCGCTTCCCATGGGCTGAGGTTGGGCGAGCTGAACGCGAGGCTGGGCAGCTCGTGGCCGCCAGTTGCTCGTTTCGATTTCTCAGTTTGAACCGACTTGAAGTTGCTTGTGCAATACTCTGGATGGACAAAACACATTGCGCACCACCTAAGAAGCAATGGTTGAAACCAGCACGTTTGTTGGTATTTACAGGGGAATCGGATCATTCCAGGGTTTCTTAGGTGGTGCGATCTCTGGATTTCGCAACCATCCACAGTAGGTATAGGGAATGTGGGAATGAACCCAGTCCCCTTAGCTGCGGCCCCAGTGTGATAATTTCCCACACTGTTTAAATTTGGAAAACACTGGTGTTTGGGCAAAAGTGTCGAAAAGCGACACTGGACATGGACATGGTTACCCGTTTGAAACCGTTCCAGTACTATACTTTGTGTGCGCTTGAGTACTCACCTTTCTCTGGATCATGGTTATGGTTTCGCGCTTGGATTGCGTTCAAGTTACGTTTGCAGTATGTTCAAACTGCATTCAATTGCGTTCAAATTACATTCGAGTTGTGTTCGAATATGTAATTGAATTCAGTTTGAGACCTGCCGGAGTGGAAGTCTCCGTTCGAAAGCGGCTTCAGCGTTCGGAAGCGTCTTTTCGCAGGCAGTACAGTGTGAACAAAAACGTTCAGAAATGTATATCAATTGACCGGAGGTAGAAAAACATGTTTTTTCTAGACGGTGTGGAAATTGTAGCTCCAAGGGGACCGCAGGTAAAGGATAACCACAAGGGATGGTTTATAGGGGTCATTCCCTCCTGTAACCATGGTGCGATAACCCACAAAGGTCATGGTTGTAAGTCTCTGTTCAGTGGGTTATAGCCAGGCTTACTAGCCACTTACTAAGTACACCATCGCCCCTTTAAGTAGTGCCCCTTTTCTTCACAAATCACAGGCTCTGACTGAACAACACAGCAACTGTTCGAACTCTCGAAAAGTCTCCAACAGCCAACATAGTTGTGGAAAAACTTAGTTTCGGCCACGTCTCAGGGACAGCCCTCCAACATCCTCCTGCATGGGTTTGGCCAAGTTTCAGGGGCGAATGCCCGACTTTGGAGCAACCCTTTCTTCTTGCTGGTGCTTAGTAGGGAATGACCGTTCTGGGTGTTGGGAATGAGCCGGAAGGGGATCCCCTGAAAACGGTTTGGTGGATTCCCTTCAAGGAGCCCAAATCGGTTGGAAGATGTTTCTCCCTGTCCTTCCATTTTTGTCAAAAGAACAACAAATCGGAAATGGACCCCTCGATTTCAATAATTCGGTAATAATTTGGCGATTTCAAGTAGGAAATTATTCTCCGGGCACCCCGGATGGTCGTTCCATGTCTCCTTCCCTGCCTATCGAACCCGCCGACTTTTGCCGATCGACCCAGCGGCTCGTTTGCGAGGCTGGCCGCACGGCTGTCGCGGGAGCACGAGGCTCAGCTGCAGAACGCCAGGACGCCAACGCGAGAAACCCGAAACCAACGTTTTTTCCCTTTTTTAACGCCCTAGACCCAACCTTTTCTAGCCATGTTTTCATTTCGTGGTGCGAAGGGATTTCGCAACCATCCAGGCAAGGTAACCCAGTGCTTCCAGTTAACTCCATGCGCGGAACCAGCTTGGTTACCTGCCATATTGGTAACTGACCGCTGGTTCCAGGAACCACCAAAAAAGGGCCCGGAGCCGTGAAATTGTTGGCGCCAGGACAGCCTTGCACGAGGCGGGCGACGCCCTACAGCAGCGCGCCTTCGACCGCGCGCAGCAGGATCAATCCGCGGGCGTGGTGGGCGCGGCGGGCGTGGTGGCTTCGTTTGAGGGTTTGTTTGAGGGTCACTTTCAAGGGACACCAAAAGGAAAACCAAAATCCATTCTTTTTCGGCTCCAGTTCCATGGCGCATATGTGCGGGGTCTCTTAGCACTTGTGCAATTTATGGTGGCGTCACGATTTGGGGGTGTTTGCGATGTCTCCCATGATGAGTTCCTTTTAAGGTGTTTCGGCTCTCAGCGACTCATTTCAGGCGTGCCCAGCCGGGCGACCTCCCCGCAAGAAGCGTCTGGCGTCTACCAAGGCTGGTGGCTCCGTGGTGCTGCGTGTGGTCTTGCTTGTCTCGCCACTCCCGGAGTGCATCATTGCATCGCCGTGGCACGCAAGGTGCTCCGTGAGGCCAAGGAATACTTCTGCAGAGCGTGTTTGGAGGCTTTGCCCTTCATCCACGCTACGGTCTGGACTTGGTGTGGGGCGCACCTCTTCTGCTTCGTTGCGGAAGCTTGCGCCCACTTGATTTGTCCGGGCCTGCCTGTGCTTTTTGGGGAACAGCGACGTGTTGGCCTGGTTGACGTCTTCACTATGCACTTCGCACTGCATTCCGTGATGCTTCTGCCTTCGCCTGGAGCAAGGTTGGGTGCGTTAGTTGTGCAGCTTTCTTCCCCTGGATGCCAACGCAAAGCAGCGATTCAGCCGGACCAGCTTATTCTGCAGCTATGGAGTGTATTCTTGCTTGCGCTTCAAGTTGGGAGGCCTGCCATATGTGTATTGTGGCTATTCCTTGGGTGTCAGACACTTGGTGGATGCTTTTGCTGCTTCGTGATCTCGTTTGCGGTGACTGCGAGCCCACCTTGAATGGATCGTGTATGCTACATCTGCGTGTTTACACTTCAGTGCGCAATGATTTGGGCCTGGGCTTCCTGTCTACCTACCTGGTGGCAGTGGCAGGTCCTTTTCCTTTTGTGTGTGGTGCTCCTTTCTTGCGTTACTTGCGTTATTGCCACGTGCAGGCGAGGTCCTTCTTCGGACGTCGCGCAACGCATTCTGCTTTTGCAGGGGGCCAAGTTTTTCGTGGTTGCGGGGGAGATCTCCTTCCTGAAGGTATTGGGCTTGATGTCTGCTCTCTTGGTGGATCGTTTTGGGTGTGTTGCGACCTTGAGCCTCGCAAGGCCTCAGCTGTCCCTGCTGATGCTGTGGTCGGCTGAAGGTAGTACAGGGTGGACTACTTTCTTTGTGTTCATTGCAGGCAGTTTTCCGCTGCTTTCGGGCAGCATAGTTTTGGTTACCTCCTCCCTGGGGAGGTTCTTGTGATGTGGGCGGCCAACTGTGCTGCCCACTGGCAATCTTTCCCCTGAGTGTGTCTGCGGTCTATAAATCGCCGCTGTGTCTGCGCCCCATGTGCCGGAGTGCCGTGGTGGCTGCCCATCATGTCTCACGAGACGCCCGGGCATCGAGGAAGATGAAGGGTTCCTTTTACAGGGATCTAGAAGGTTTCGGTTGGCGAATGATTACACAATAGAAACCGTTGGAAACTGCTCTCTGAAACTGCTGATAAAGGTGGTTTTTGACTTGGCCAACATATATTCTTCAAGGAACCTGTTTGGGGTCGTGCGAAATTGCAAGTGTTAAATTAAGAAAAGGGTAGGCCTAAAGGATCTTCCGCGAGAGGAAAAGGCTGCATTGCGGAACGCGAAAGGCAATGACAACGAATACGCGAAAGGGCCACAAAGAGTAGAAAACAATTGCTCCAAAACAAGCTGTTCAATCCTGCTTTGCCGCGGAAGGAGAAGTAATCGGCGCAAAAGGACGGCCTTTCAGGCCGGCGAAAGGGGCATGTCCAGGCTTTGATTTTGAACCCTCACATGTGTGGAGCGGAATGTCTGCTTCGGGGTTTGGGTGACCTCCTCTCCAGGGTTTCTTCTGCAACAAACATGCAGGTGCATGTGGGGGCCGTCCGTAATTGCATGTCTAAATTTTTTGAACAGCGGCAACTTGTTGAGCCGCGCGCTTGGTGAAACTCGAGCCGCGAAAGGCCGGCGATTGGACCGCGAAAGGGCAACAAGTTTGCAATGAGTTTAGACGTTGCCTGGTGCCGACGCACGTCTCGCTGATTTGTTCAGCGCGGGCGCGAGCAAAAGTTCCCTTTGGAGTCCTGAATGTTGATTTCGTTTGTGCAGGGCCAGACAGTGCTTTCCAAGTCTGCTTGCTGGCAAGGGCTGCAAACCGAAGTTTCACCGGCAAATTCCGCGTTTGGACTGCGATTGGACGGCGATTGGACGCCACCGCTGAGCCCCTGCCCATCCGAGGTACGTCACTTCCTTCCTTATTCCAGTTCTATGGGGGAAGGCCAGCGCTTGAGAGAAGACGGCGAAACAAAACAGCAGCGATGCCTAACGTTGCTCCGCGATTGGACCCTGTGGGACCGCGATTGGATCGCGATTGGCCGGCGATTGGGGGATCCCCAGGCAAAGTAAGTTTGCACAACCCCCATGTGACATTTTACCGGTGGCAAGCAATGTATCCTCCTCCAGCAAAGTGGACGCTGGCAGGAAACTCATGTCCTTTTGCGGAGGCCAATTTTTCACTCCTGTGGATGGTTGCAGAAATGGAAACATGGCTGGTATTGACAGTGATCGAATCATTCCAGGGCCTCCGAGGTGGTGCGAAATGGATTTCATCACCATCCACAGTATGCTTGTTGGGCCAAAGGTATACCTGGAGTCTCCACCATTAAAAGATGGGGCCAGTACCCCACATGATGGTGTCATTGACCCATTTCTAAAGGGTCAGAAGGAGACTCGAGGTACTTTGTCACTGGCAAGTCCGTCCCATGGAATCGTCTTTCGTCGGGGTACGTGCCTCGGGTTACGCAACGTCAAAGTGAAGGTTCCTTTTCTAAGGCTGCGAGTCACCGTATTTCAGATGGCAATACATTTGAATTTGCTCTGAAAAATGGGTATGTGCCAAAATAAGGCCCCCTTTAAACTTGAGAAGGGCACCCTCAAGAACTAAGCAAGCCCATGATTTGTCATTGACCATATTTGCTTTGGCAGGATTGTCTCCCCAGACTTGGTTGACAGTACTTGAGGAAGTTCAGTACGCTGAGGGAAAACCCACAGGAGAACCACACATGCGCATACAAGTGTATTTGAGCTGTTCACAGTAGTGGACCTCCGTTTAGGTGGATATTTAAAGGAAACAAAAAAAACATTCCTTTTAACGGTACATGTTTTTTGCAACCCGCCCCATGTGATCCATTCCGCCTAGACCCGCCCCGTGGAACCCGTCGAATTCCTCAGGACTGCGTGGGATCCTTGGCGGCGCGGCGCGCGGCCGCCGCGCGGCGGCGCGACGCGGCTCAGCTTGAGGCGCAGGAGGCGGCACACGCAGAGATCGCAGAGGCGGAGGGGGCGGGGAGAGCCGGGTGCTGTTGAAGTGTTGAAAGGGTGCGTTACACAAAGTAAGTAGCATAATTCTGGTAAATGGAAAGCAAATCACAAAGTTAAAGTAAATTGCAGAATTCCCCCATGTTGGTTCAGTTTTTAGAATCCCTTTTTGCTAACACACCTATGGGGAATGCCAAAGTCGAATGGCAGAAGAACATGGCACCTCTGAAACCATGAGTTGTTAAATGATAAAACGATATGGTGGCGGGAAGGCCGGTCTTCGGGTGCTTTGCAAAAAAACAACAAGGAAGCCAAGATACTATCATGCTTAGATTAGATGAATACAGTGGATGGACAACCTGCGCCATCCTGCACCTGTTGGTAGGTGGTTGATCACATTTGTCATAAGGGTTTCATCCATTCCAACTGGGCAAACAGTAGCATCAGGCAATGTGGAGGGAGCTGGGCGGGTCAAAGGGTGCCGTCCCAGATTGCGTTTGGATTTGCAGCAACCTGTTGTGCAACGTGGACCCTAGATCTCTGACCTAGTTGATTTTGATCGTCCAACCAGAGAAGGGAGTCTTAGCTTGGGTCCAAAAGGAAATGCCGCTTTTGCTTGATGCGGCAAGTTAAGATTAACGCGGAACCAACCAGCACCCTTTTTGGAGGGTCTCCTTTTTACAGGGATTTTAAGATGGTGGATGAATAGGAAAGCAACTCTTGAATACGTGAAGGGTTTGCTCTTAGCTGGGACACACTCTTGAGTAATCTAGCCAGGGCTTGATAAATTCTAGCTGTCAGCTGCCCCGAAATCGGTGCTGGTTAGTGGGCACTGCGGCTTTGAACCCAATTTCCTTTTGAAGCCAAATTTGCAAGGTCCTTAGCGGCCCATGAAGCTTATTAGGGGCTTTCCTTATTTCCCCGATTGGACATTTTCGTAAGTTGCCCAGAGTAGCTACAGAGACGGGGATTCGCCACTTTGGCAATTATCAGCATGAAGGGAGGCATTACCCACCATGCTCAGACCAGCTCAACCCTCCCCCAAAAAAGGACATGGCCATGTGGCCATGAGCTTGGTTTTAGCCCACATAGCGGGCGTAAATCACTACCTAAGTTCGCACCACAGGGCCCCCAAGTAAAACTCACACCCAAGGGGCGACGTTGGTGCGCAGTGACTCACACTCCCAAGAAGGCGCTAGCGCATTCGGAGGGTGGCATAGGACATATGACACTTTGGGAAATGCATTTCTCACCGGCAAGATGTAAGATTGTTCTGCTCTTGGTGGTCGGGAGCTTGCGTCTTAAAGCAGGAGATTGACGGAAAATGGTGCTTTGCCCTTTTTCCCCTTCACACCACCCCAAAACAAGGACCCCTGCGTGTCGTCAACAGGAGTCCTGAACAGTCACGCTGTCCCCGGGCGATTCCATGGAAGCTCCCAGAACCCCCGAACAAGACTGGGTTCCATTTCCAGTGGCCTCGAAGGAGCTTCTTCTGGCTGTTGGCTGGAGGGAGAGTACTTTACGGGGCGATCGGGTGCTTAGGTGGCTAGTAGGGGTTATAACCGACTGAACTGAGACTTAGAACCCATGGCTTGTGTGGGTTATCCCACCATGTTTCCCCTAGACCCTGATAGTTACTAGAACCTGGGGTTCAGTCACAACCATGAAAACAATGGTTTCATATATCACCACCATCTTACCACTGTTATTAGAACCACTTACCTGACGTACCCAGGGTTCCACTTTTTGACTACCCCAAGCTAGAGTCAAACCCAGAGGTGCTCCTTTTGGGGGTAATGAACCACAAATTAATTTATGTCTACCGCATGGTAGTCAAACAGTGGAACCCTGGAAATACCTCGCCTGGTTCGATCCTCGATCGCCGCTCTGAGAGTCTACTTAAAGGGGCAGTGCACTTAGTATGTGGTGAGAGTAAGCCTGGTTACAACCCACTTAGGAAACTTATAACCATGGTAAGTGGATGATAACCAGGCTTACTAACCACTTACCTGACGTACAATGTCCCTTTGAACCCACTTCCCATGGTCATTCCCTGCCTACCTATTCGGCGTACCCGATCGCCCCTCCTAGGTGTTCACCATTCTAGGGCTTGATTTCCCATTCTTTTCAACCATCATTCCATCATTCTTTTCAAACACCGATCGCTGTTCCCCAGAATTGGGGTGGCTTTGTAGAAGGATGCCTGGGAAGAATGGAAATGGAAGGTACCCTCACACCAACTAGCATGGAAGTGCACAGACCTCTGTAGAAAGACTACTTTCCTCTTGGAAAGGGGGTCTGTGCACTTCCAAGTTACTTGGTGGGTACCCCTAGAATGAGCCTCCTTCCCTGCGACTCACTGGCAACTCGCAACTCCTCAGGCGCGGCAGCGCTTGGAGTTGGAGCGGATCCAACGGCTGGAGGACTTCCGGGAGGAGTTGGTCACGGCGCTGGCCACGCTGAACAGCACCGAGCTCCAGGACCTTGATCGAGACGAAAAAGCCGCCGGCGAGTCGGCGCAAGAGGGCGGGAAAAAAAAGCCGTCACCAACTAGGTCCCCCAGGATCGTGCCAACTTTTACCAAATCTTTGTTCGAGGAGGGTTCCCCTACCAAAATAGACTACAGAAAAAGGGTACCCTTATTCTATCCTCGAGATCTCTACTGGAAGACCTAGCCAATGGTTTCCCGGAAGAAAATCCCCTGAGACTTGGCCAAACTGAAAAGGATTGCTCCAACGTCGAGGTTTCAGACAAAGAACATCTCTTTCTTGCTGGTGCGATAGGCAGGGTCCCTGAGAATTGGAATGACCCCGAGAAAACCAACCGATCTGGTTTCCTTTAAGAATCGTCATTTTCTGCTGAGCACCATCAAGGAAAGGGGGCAGGGTAAAGTGGGTGGCTCGTCTTCGTGATGATGATTCTTTTTCGTTGTGGTTTTAAAGGGAAACCAAAGGCAAACCACCATCTTGGGGTGTCCTAAAACAACAACGCTCTTTTTGTTTTTGTTTTTTCTCGTGGTAACGTGGACCCCAGATGGAAGTAGAACCCTCACTCCCCGAGTGCCTGGACTTGATGTTTTCAAAGAAGACCATGTTAGTGGCGCTTAACAGTTTTGGACTTTGGTTGGTCCATCCACACTCCTGGTCGACTAATAGGGGGGTGTCCCCTTTTAGTGGCAATCAGGATTACTTTTGGGGCCAACATCCCGCTAATATGACGGTTTGTTTATCCGGGTCAGCATTAGTGGCAACTTTGAATTTATCCGGCCTTCTTGCAATCTGTTTATGTTCGAGGGTCCTCCGGATTAATTCAAAGGAAACAACACTTGTCAAGTGGTTAGCTAGCAAGCCTGGTTACCTAGGAGACTTATAGCAATGGCTCTTGCGGGTTGTAACCTAGAAGTAGCCTTCTCCTTTAAACGGCCGCCATTTTTTGTCCAGGAAAGTGCTCACCAGGTTATGTGGCATCCTTCTTCCCCTTTTGTTTGGGCCCTGCTCTTTTGCCGCTTTGGCAATTCGCCTTTTAGAGAGGCCCTTTTAATGAGGGCCGTGCTTCGGCACAACCGGAAAATTACTCTAAAAAAAGCAGGAAACCAGCAAAACCCAGGGGAGAACCAGCCATCGGTGTTTGAAAAGAAGGATGGCAGAAAATGGTCCCGAAGGGGTCGCGCCGAGTCACGGAGGTCCCAACAGATCTTGAGCCAGGTTCCGCCTCCAGACCTGTGGGGCAATGCATGTCTTATGTCTTCCCCTTCTTCGTTTTAGGGGTCCCCTTCGTTTAAAAAAGGGGGGGAAGCCCCTTTTTATCTCTTCTTCCAAAACATTCACTGGAATGTTCGTTGCCAAGTTGGTGAGTGGACACGGCCACCTACATTAAAACCCACACATAGCAGGGTTATATATAATTATATATAACTCTACTAGTTGGCTTATAAGTGGATTATAGCAAGGACTTATAAGTGGATTATAGCCCAGGCCACCAGTGCCCAAGTACAGTTTGTGTACAAGGGAAACCCACCGGTCTGGTTCAACGCATGGAACCCGGACAGCTCCGGAAGGTGCCTTTGCTCCAGTTCCGCAACTTGAGCCACTTCTTGCCGTTTGGGTCTGGGTTGCTTTTGGAAGGGCACTCCTTGTTGGAGTGGTGTTAAAGGGAAACCAAGAGACGACTACACATTTTTGTGAGGTAGCCCTATTTTAAGACACATTGGGCCAATCCACTCAGGAAAATTCCTTTCAACATGGATCGGTGTTTAGGGGAGCTTCCCTGTTGATTAGCAGGGCGCACCCTTCTGGGCAAGTGTCAAGCCTCAAGGATGTCGCTTTGTGACCAATTTGACCCATGATCAAAGTTCCGTTTATAGATTAAATTGATTTGTCAACTATCATCAGTTGTTCAAAACCGACTTTTGAACCTTTGTGCCTTTCCTTTTTGGTCCACCTTTAGCAAAGGGTCCCAAAAGGTTTACTTTATTATTATTATTATTTCTATTTCCTTTGGGCAAGCGAGAATTAGTTCCTTTTCCTTCTATGGGTTATGTACAGCTTGTTGTTTGAGTTATTTGTTTAGTGAGTTAGTTTCAGCGGATTTCCCTGGGTCACGAGTGACCTTCGGTATTTGGATCCAAGTTAGTAAGTGGTTCGCCACCTGAGTCATATCCCACTTTTAGCAAGGTTGACTCGACTTAGTTCCGGGAGTAACACCATCATCATCATTTCCAAGGAACCTTGTTCATACGAAGTCTTGTGGAAGATGATTGTGTTTCTTCATTGTCCCCTGTCGGTTTTAAAAAGCTTTTATCACTACTGGGAACATGTGTGTTGTCTGTGTGTTTGTGAGGGGACGATTCGGTTTTACAGAAAATCCATCACTACTGCGAATATGTTTGTTTGTTTTTTGGAAGCAAGAACTCTTGGGAATCCGCTGGTTGAATTTCGCAAGGTTGAACCGACTGGGATCATAGGTGTCCTTTTTAGGTTAGTTTGGTTAAACATAGATGGCACTGGTTTAGATGGGGTTTATTCCATGTACCAGGCCCATCTATTTTTTCAAAAGGCCACCTATTGGACTCGAATCCCCTCCTTTCAAAGAGAAAGCGGCCGTTCCTTGGTATCACAGAACTGGAAAGGGAAAATATATAACCCCCGCCTTCCAATGACCCAACAACCTTGAAACGGAGGGTTGGCCAATCCAATCCTTTGTGGATTGAGAAAGGGGAGCCACCTCGTTCTCACTTTCACAAAGTGCTTTTCGATTCGCGCGCCAGGAGACGCGCAGGCGCCGGGACCCCTTAGGGTGGCCGAAGACCGACAGCGGCAGATGTTTGCTGGGTTGCGTAGACACTGAGGAAAAGCCCACGCAAGCAGAACAAGCAAAGAAAGAGAGAAAGACACATAGAAACAAAGAAACACATGAACAACAAAGAAGCACGCACACAAGTGAAACATGTCCAACTACAAGAAAGCAACAGTTCTGTCTAAGGGTTGATTACTTGTCCATTCCTTTCACATCATGCCATGTTTCACTGCTTGTTGAGTGGCTTTGTGGAAAGGATCCAAATGGGGAAGTTACCGCTACGAATGGGATCCCAGGTAAATCAACCACACCATTGGCCATTTCAGTGAGTGCTAGTGTCAACCGGGTTTCGGGCGCTCATAGGTTAAATGGGCGGCATGAGCTTTTTTAGCTTAAGGCAGTCTGGGGATGGAGCCTTGAAGAAGTGGGTCGCAGTTGCATTCTCAAAAAGGAATGGCTCCCCGAAAATGGTTGGCCCCCTGTTCCAGCAAACTCCACTTAAAAGGTTAAAAGGGAGTTCACACTTTGGACAAATATTGCGAAATCTTGAACAACTGAACTGCTGTCTCAAGGAAGCTGAATCACAGGATTCAACTCTCTCCCCGAGCCTCTCTTCCCACGGTTTCCTCCAAACAACGCCTTCAGGCCTTTTTAGGGTCTTGTTTTTTTGGAAACAGGGAGGGGTCGGATCAGAGTAAATTTCAGCAACCGTGTGTTAGTTTTGCCATGCTTGAGCTAGTGGGTATCGCCAAGCCAAACCCATTGCTTGGAACTTGGAACCCAAAAAAAGGGCCTCTGGTTGAGTTTGTGGACATTTCGACTTCTGCCATAGATCCTTCACTTGGGGCAGGCGCCTACCTATTTGTACTACAGGTTTGTCAATGTGGGGTTCCCATGTTCACTTCCCTGGTTTCGGGTTGACCAAGTTTCGACCCCCTTTTGAGGGAAACTGTTGAACATTGTTACATGGACACCCCAAACGTGTAGACACACTCTTTGCGTGGAGTCTCTTCACTCTTCACGTCTCCAAACGACCGCTTTTGGGGCAAACAAAGCATGCCAAGAAACGTAGAACCCAGCCCTTAATGTAAAGGGTTCCCACAACCCAAATGTGCCATGGTCAACGACTCCTCTTGGGGTGAACGTGAATGGTCATCCACCTGGTTCCGATTTTAAGGGAACCATGAGAAAAAAGCTTCCGCGGCAGACATGGGGCGTCCGTTGTCCGAGCCTAGGCTGGGTCGATGGGTTTCCGCTGAGGCTTGGAGGCGCTGCAGGCACCCATGCAGACACTGCAGGCGAGAACTGCTTCATTCCTTGGGTGTGTCTCGTTTGGGCTGGGAGCCATTTGGCTGCGCAAAAAGACCTGCCACCTTGTCACCTTGGTGGTTTCCCTATATTTCCCTTTTTGGTGGCTTTAAACATCACCTTTTTGGCCACTTCAAAGTCAGTTTCCTTCTGGGGTGATGTTCAAAAGGGTAATATAGGGAGCCCTGGGCGTTGAGCCACCCATTTGATTGGCCGAAGGGAAGCCGCAAGGATGCCAACTTGTTTGTTTCTTTTGGGGGGGGCGCTCGGTTGCTCAGATGGTTTGGTTGGCCCACTAAACCTGGTCTTGGCCCCAAAAATTACTAGGCTACTAAATCAACATGGGTTTTGTGTGTGTGTTGTTTGTTTGTGGAACTTTGTTTGGTTGGTTTGAAAGGGGAGACCATGAGACACCGAGGCGTGTCGTTCTGGGCTCTGGCATTTTTGGGAAACCCCCAGTTGGTCGCTTGTACAAAAATGGCAGCAAGCAAACGAGAGAAACCCATGTGCGGCAAACCCTACGTATGTGTCCCATGGTTTAACCCTATTGGGTTCTATTGGAGTCTCACTCCCTGAGTTCTTGGACTACTTGGGAAGACCGTTTTGAGCCACTCAGGGAGTGAGGGGGTGGGTAGTGTCGCTCAGCATGCGTGCAAAGGTCTGGTTGAGAGGGTCGAAAGTTGACCCTTCGTTTGTCACTGCGCATATTCGGCCCTTACAGTTGTCAGACATGTGCATACTTCAATCACATGTACGCACCACAACTTGCTGGTGCTCAGTGAATGACCCAGGCCTTGCGAATGACCTCGGGGAGATCCTTGAAGGAAGCCATAGGAGATGGTTTGTGGTAATTCCAACTCGTTGCCTATCGAAGCATCAAGTATTTGCAGCACATGTACGCGCATTGAACTAGTTCTTACGGACCGGTGAACTGCAGGCGCAACCTGTTTTGAAACCCAGCATCCAATATGGGTGTGGCTCAAAATTAAACAGGAGGGGTTACGCAGGTTTTGGTCCATGTTTCGACTTACCAGGGTTCCATTTTGGTACCGGTTTTTTGAGCCACAACCATATGTCTGCCCACGGCAACGACGTAAGGGACACCTATCCAAATTGAATCACCGTCCTTCAAGGACCTTCCACACGGCTGGATTGCGCCAAAGCCACAAGCAAAACAATGCTTTTCGCCGGTTTTGACACTAGCGGTCCCGCATCAAAATCTAAAACAGTGGGATGAGTAACTTCCATTTTCTCAAGACTATTGTTTATTTCCCCTGTTGCTTGTAAAGGGAATCTATCACTGCTGGAAACATGCATTTTTTTCCAGGGGCTAAAGCAAATGGAAGGTAAACAAAAGAGAAGCGAGCAAACCCTTCGGCGCGGGGTGGATGTTTCAAAGCCATGCGCAGCTCTTTGGCAAAGATCGTGGGCACAGGTGGTATGACCAGCCCAACTTTGAATTGTGAAAGGAACCCAATCTCCGAAACCTTCCCTGAAAGCTGCCCCAAACCGTTCAGAGTGAATTTGGGCAGACCCAAACAGGCTTGCAGCTGTTGGGTAAACAAATGGTGTTGGCTTCCTGTTTGGCTTGGCTGGGATGCGAAGCATGGCCGGATTTTTTGAGGCAGGCTGGGTCGGACTGGTCCGGGGCTTGCTGGTTGGTGTGGCTTGCAGGATGATTTGAGTTTGGTTCAGGCGGGAGGGTAGGGCATGAGGGCGGGGACCAAGCTCGGCTGGTTGCCGGCAACGCCAGTTTGGTCTGCCAAGCCCCCAGCATTTGGTCAGCATGTGGTCGGTCACTGCTTTTGGTAGAACAAGGAGGCCCAGAATGGGGGGTTGGCCACATAGGTAGCCAAAAGGAGAATATCAAGGTAAAGTTGCTAAACCAGTTTGAAACAGGCATCCCATGAAACCCCACTGGATGTCTGGGAACAATTGCGCCCAAACTCCTCGGATCAAGTCACCCGTCTGAAGCCGCAATTGAACTTTTTATGCAGTCGGGCATGTGGACCAAAACCCATGGGCGTTCTTGAAGATGCTGACCAAATGCTGGCAGCTTAGGCTTCGTGTCACAGGAAAGCCCCAGAAGAGCAAAGTTCCCCAGGCTAAAAGCTTTGGGATCCAGGGCAACCGGGCAACTCCCTGTCTCCATGGCCCTTTAAAAGTGGTTGGTCATTACCCAAAAGAAATGGATCCCATTTTACCCAAGAATGGGTCAATGACCCCATTATTTTGGGTAATGACCAACCATGTTCAAAGGGGTCATGGAGAGTCCAGGTACCATAGGTGTCCTTTTTGGTTGTTTTGCTCGAAGAATAGCATGGCGATTCTTGGTTTACCTGGTGGTGCAAGATCATCTACCAGGGAAACCTATCTATTGCCCCTAAAAGGACACCTATGCTAGGTACACATTCCAGGTACTTAGAATTCAACCTTTGGCTCTGCCACAGTTGTACTGGGTGTATAGGCTTTATCATAGGCCCCAACAAACTACACAAATTGCTCCAGGGTTGTGGGATCACTCGGGGTTTCTCCCCCACTTCTGTGATACCTTCGGGAATCCTCCTTTCTATAAAGAGCAGAGTCTTTGGGACGCCATTTTTTTGTTGTATCACAGATTCGTGGATTCCATTCCCAGCCCTGCGTTGCTTCCACGGGCAATCACCATTCGGCCAGGCGGTGCGGCAGGAGCCTGGCCAGGCGAGCCCGGACGGGACATCGGAGAGCGGATGCAGGGTGTGTCTACTCTCACGCACATCTAAATGGGCTTGGGTTTTTTTGGGGGGGGAACCTCCTTTTGGCTTTTGGTTGGTTGTTTTAGGTTTTTTTTTTGGGGGGGGGAAGGGGAAACCTCCTTTTGGTTGGTTGTTTTTGGTTGGTTTTCTGTTTTTTGGGGGGAACCTCCTTTTGGCTTTTGGTTGGTTGTTTTAGTTTTTTTTTGTTTTTTTTTTGGGGGGGAAGGGGGAACCTCCTTTTGGTTGGTTGTTTTTGGTTGGTTGTTTTTGGTTGGTTGTTTTTGGTTGGTTTTGTGTTTTTTGGGGGGAACCTCCTTTTGGTTGGTTGCTTTTAGGTTGGTTTTGTTTTTTTTGGGGGGAACCTCCTTTTGGTTGTTTTTTTGTTGGTTGGTTTTGTTTTTTTTGGGGGGGGAACCTCCTTTTGGTTGGTTGTTTTAGGTTGGTGTTTTTTTTTTTTTGGGGGGGGGGTGGCGAACCTCCTTTTGGTTGGTTGTTTTAGGTTGGTTTTGTTTTTTGTGGGAACCTCCTTTTTTTAAGGTTGGTTTTTACGGGGAAACCAACAGGTAAACTGTCTTTTTCTGTGGGGGAGCCTGAAAAAGGCACCCCAATAGCGATTATGGTCTATGTCTGGTCTGACAGTGGATATTGATGTCTTTGTTTGAGTGTTTCATTTGTTGTGCTTGAGGAGACCGGGACGCAATGCGAGGTTTGGATAGGTTTGGTGTGTTTATCTCTTTTGAAGGAGGTTGGCTTTTGCTATTGTTTGAGAGGTGCTGCTTTTGTCTTGTGGTTATGGAACCGTTTTGCTAAAGGGACCATGCGTTCTACGTCAGTTCGTGGGCGTGTGGGAGGACATGTCTGATTCAAAAACCTGCCGCGAAGGTTTATGCCGGGGTGCATTTTTTTTTTCGAAAGGGGACTTACAAATTTTGTGTGTTTCCTATTTAGAGACGAGCCCATGTGTCCCTGTTTGGGTGGCATAAGCACCACAGCCTGGCCATGTTCAACGAAGTTCTGCTTTGCGCGTTGATTTTCGACTGGTGCATAAAGGCTTGGGAACCCTGTTGTTGGGGGGAGGCTGGGTTTGTGGGCTAGGGGAAGGAATCAGCAAGAAGAGGCACCCCCTCAGCAAGCATGGAAGCACACAGACCTTCTTTTGGGAGTCAATGTTCTTCTTGGAAAAGTTGGCTTGTGGCTGTATGGTTGGGTCTTCGGTCTTTGGACATTAACTTTTTGGGAAACAGGTCCTCGAGGCAAGCAAGGGCACTTCTGTGTTTGTTGGTGGGAGCTTTCATTACTGGGAGACAGCAAAAGGATTTGTCTTTTTTCTTTGTCTCCGGACCTCTTCTTTTGGACACCCAGTAGAGAGCTTTTAAAGAAAGCGAGGTCGGAGCAGGTTTGGTCAAAATATCTGGGGTTGTTTCAACGTGAGCCCTTCTTGGATGCTAAACTTCCCCAGAATTAGCTCCCCTTTTTGTTTTTTGCTTTTTTGGGGTCCCTTTGTTTCCCACTAACCAGGCAAAAAAGACTCTTTTTTTGCTGGCGTCCTAATTCCAGCCTAGCAAAGAGCAAGCCAAAAGAGAAGCCAGCCACGTGGATGGGTTCCTTTCTGAGAAACGCCCACTGAGGCACATCGGGGACTCGCGAAATTTCCCACAAATCAGGGGGACTCGCTACGTTTCTCATGTCCTCCTGGGGAAACCGGCAAGTTTGACTGTGTCTCATGTAGCTGCCTTAGGCTCCGTGACACGAAACTCTTTCTGAGCAAACTGCACAGGTCCAAAGAGAAGGTTCCTGTGCCGCGGAAGGCGATTCCCTGAACCCCTAAGGTCCCCCCTGTCGGCTCCGACCCGGAGCCCGAACATGACCCCTGCATTGTATTCCACTACTTGGGCAACCAGGCTTACGCCAGATGGGGACGATGTGTCATTCAGACCGCCCTTGATAAGTGATGCCTGTTGAAGCTGTTTTGGCATGCGTCCTTTCCTGGGGCAAGGACATCATTACAGTGCTGGAATGAGGGGAGGCAGACCACATCCTTCACGGAGTGGAAAACTCCCTCACCATTTACCGTCCCTCCTGAGCAAAAGGGCTGATCTTTGCTAGGCTTAATGAAGAAGCGGTGCTGCCAATTCACCTCAAACTGAACATATGCCAAGAAATGGGCGGAGATAAAAAGGAACTGACAGGACACCACTACAGAATTTCTGCACTGTTCCATGTTTTTATTTTAGAGGTTCTCCTGCTGGTTTGGTGTTAAAGGGAAGCTAAAAGGAAGCCGACCATTTTGGGGGGGCTTCCTCTACCCTCGCCCTCTGTTCATTCGGCGCAACTTGGAGTCATATGGAATAACCGCAAGCGCCTGACCGAAAGAATCGCCTGCTCCGGGGTGCTGGAGAAGGGCAGAGGGGGTTCGGAGGCCAGAGCCAAAGACTCAAAGACCCCACCCCCCGCCGAAAAAACCCCCGGCCTTGGACAGCTGCAAGGGTCTTGTCATGACCCTCCCTGGGTTCCGGGACTTCAAGGCTGTCTTGGGAAGAATCTTTTCGCCTCACCTTGCGAGCCTTCGCAAGAAAATTTTTCAACCTTGGTATTTCACAGAATACAGCCTACAAGCTTTCTTCGGGGCAAGTTGGCAAATACAAAGTTTGGCCTTCTTTTGGCCAATCAAGTGAGACATCGCCGGCCTCAGCTGGCCTTTTTCAATTGCTGCCTCATGTTCAAAAGTTCATCGATGTCTGGCAGCTTTCCCAGCCATCCAGATGTAAGAAGCCCAGCGCGAACTTTTTGCCGGGGGTCGGATCGATCCGTTTGCCCCAGGGGCATTGTACATAGTAAGTGGTTAGGAACCCTGGGAAAGAAAACCCGCCGTTTATTTGTGGTTATACGTCTATGTGGGTTGTAACCAGGCTTGCTAACCCTTACTAAGTACCCTGCCCCTTCAAGCAGTTAACTTGCCGCCAGGCCCAGCGGTCCCTCGCAGCCAAGCTGCTGACCCTGGAGACGGAGGCCAAGGCGCTTCCCTCACTAGGTCCCCCAGCCAGGTGCCAGGTGCCCTTTCTGACCGGTTCAATTTCTTTGGTTGGGAGGGTTCCCCTACTAAAATAGACTACACAACAAAGGGTACCCTTATTCTATTCTTTGGGGGGTTCTTTTTTGGTGGGGAGGGTTCCCTAAAATAGACTACAGGAAAAAAGTTGTTACCAAATTAGTCTAACCTCTCTACTGGAGGACCTAGCTCATGTCCCATTTTTTTCCAGCAGGTTAACGTTTGCAGAGGGATGTTCGGCCCAGAAATGGCGAGAAACGAGTTGCGCAAACAGAAGCCGGCTAAATGAAGGGAACGTGCCAACCATAAAACAAGTCGGGAATCCGCCGCTAGGCCTTTTAGTTCGCTCCATGGTTTTGCGATGTTTTGGCAAGACCGGTTGAATACTATTGTACGTTTTGTTTTTGACTCGTTCGGGGCCTGGTTTTGGACAATATTGATATACGTTGTGCTGTGCCATCCAAAGCTCAGCTGCAGCTTCTGCGGAAGTCTCAGAAGAGTCACCGCGAAACAAGATGATGTGCTTACCAGTTGGCTCCGGAAAAATGAGAGGACGCAACACATATCGGCCAAATAGCCAAATGTTGCTTCTTGGTCACTGTTTCACCCTCCAAATCTCGTGCCATTTATTGTTTACCAAGAGTTATTGAACCCACGGTTGAATAAAGCAGGGTGTCCCATGTTTGCATTTGGAATTCTGCAGATGGTTGGGCATTGGCCAACACACCAATGTGAACCACACAGTCATTCTGCTCCTGTGCCAAGAACGAGTCGTCCACCCTAACATCAGAGCAACCTCGCAAGCCTGATGACCACCGACTGATGACCCCGGATGAATACACCGCCTCCACCAATATTGGGTGTCACCCGCAAAAGTGATGAATCTCCATAAGAAAGGGATGTGACCCCCCTATAAATCCACAAGGAGTTGATTGATTTGGGTCTCTCTTTTTTGGGATCCCCCAAAATGGTGGGTTTCCTTTCGGTGTCCCTTATGGCAGCAGGTTTTCGACAACGAATGAAAAAAAAAAAATCAACCCCTGGGGGGGAAGCAAGTTTCGAATACACAGCACCCCGCAGGTGTTCGGATGCTGTCGGGGGAAAAAAATCAAAACAAAAACCCAAAAAAAGAAAAACGTCGAACACGCCGCTGTCTCCAGGCAAAGGCGCTACAAGGACTTCAGCAGGCCGACATGTCGACAACTGCGTCGCCTCTTTTGCCTGGGATTTCGTTCGCATTTTAGTTTGGGCAGACGGAATATGAGTGTGGCAGGTTCTAACATGGAACCAACCAGAAAATGGTCGCATGTGGGTGGGAGGGCAATGAATCCTTGTTAGGGGCGGCACGCACTATATGGGTAATATGAGACTGAATATCTCCTAGCCTATGGGACCCGGTAAATAACGCCCCCCCCTTGTGGAGTTGACTTTGTTCGTAGGTTCCAATATTGGTTGCCGTTTCCACTAAATCTTGCTTGGGTGTGGCTCAAAATGAAACAGGAGAGGCAAACCGCTGGTTTTGGTCCATGTTTCCACTTACCAGGGTTACATTTGTGTGCCGGTTTTTTGAGCCACAGCCATATGAGACAGAATCAGAGTATTGTTCCGTGTCCCCCAGCTGTGGGCCAAAGGACTTCTCGTTGTCGATTGGATGTCGGTTTCCTTAAAAGGCAATCCCACACGGTGGGGCAACAAGTCGAAACAGGTCCATATATTGGGGTGTGGTTCCTTTTCTGGGGGAGTTGTGGGGGCTTACTTGGGACCCACACAGGGTGCCAAGCTTTGACTGTATGAACTAAACTTGCTCCGTGCATTGTTTCCACGCACGGCCCGTGCATTTCAGATGACTTTGTGTCATTTACGCAAAGGGCAGCTCAAACGACTAGAGAAAGCCGGTTAGAAGACCACCGGAAGACACAGCAAGGACGACTCTGGTGTTGGGGGGTTGAAAAAGGGGAACGAAAGGGGTTCGACCGAAAGCCTTCAGTGCGGGACCCCCATTTTGTTTCAGGACCCTGGCCCGGTTCTTGATTTCGCAGGAATCCGCCCCTGAACCCCCCCCCCCCGCTGACAACGTGAATTTAGAAGGACGCTACGTACTGTGGGTGAGCAAAGCCCTGCACCACTTGGGATGGATGACCCCTCGTAAGAAACCACTTACAAGCTGGTGCAGAAGTTTGTCCAGCCACAGTGTCAATGGACTCTGCTTTGGTAGAGCGAGTGAGTGTTGCAAGCTGAATCGGGGCGCCCTGAGAATCACTTGTGGGAATTTGAGATTGAGGCAGAATGAGGATCCCCCAGAAACTCGGTTTGCAAGTTCCGGACGTATGTGCGTTTTGGGAAGACCATTTTAGTGGCAAAGAAGAAGTTCGGATGTCAAGGGTTGCTATGTGGCTCCAATTGGGATGACGAGCATAGGATATCATGCAGCTCAATTGATTCTTGACAGAAATTGTCCCTTCGTACAAGGGAAATCATGTAAGGGCAAGCCACGCGTTGCCCTGTTAGAACAAAGCATAGCACGTTTTAAGGTTCACCAAATGGGTGTGTGTCAGAATAGGGAAATCCCCAAAATGTGTGGTTTTCCTTTTGGTGACTGAGGTTTGGATGGGTCACATGTGTGTGGCGCGCATGTGATTTGCATAATTGATTCGTCATGGACCAGCCAGTTATGGATCACGCAGGTTTTTCAGTTGTGTAGATGAAGGGACACTTGGGAACACAATCAGGTTCAGATGTGTGTGTGTGTGTGTGTGTTTTGTTTCTTTCGCAACACGGCAAAGGGTAGTAAGATTCGAAGGATATCCGTCATGTTCTTTCCCTTGTTGAACTGACTCCAATGGGCGCCTTTGGTAGAATGGAGATTCAGCCGCAGCCAGGGCACAAGTTGAGCCAGGGAAGCTATGACAGCAAGCAGCGAGAGCCCGACAGACATCAGTCTATGTTTTTTGTTTAACTAGGATGACCCTTCCAAATGGTTGGTGGACATAAACTCCCACCTGAATGTCCACCAGATTGTTTCCAATTGAAACTCGCACTGAGCAAATCAGGCTAGCATCCTTTGATCTTAGAGACAAGCACAAGCCAATCATTGCGCAAACTGAATCGACTGCATCTGAACTTTTAGTTTTCGCGCCAAAGTCATGACCCCTCCGACACTGCAACCTTCATCGATTTTAAAGTCAGTCTTCATTCACCTGGCACTGGTTTAGCCCCCGCCTTTAGACCCGTCCTTTGAATTCGCCCCATGGCATGGTTGTTGTTGGGAAACATTTTTTACATTTTTGCTTATTGTGGTTCAGTGGTTGAAATCCAACCACTTAACTGCTAAATAATTCTTTTTGATGCTCCCCTTCCAACGTTGCCCACTCCTATGGGTCGCCCAACTACCCTTCACTCAGCTGCTTGTTGAAGCCCGTCATCTGCAGTGGCCCCGTGGGTCTTCCCCTTCCGGCGATTCCCATGGGTTGCTCCCACCCCGAAACCTCCGACTCCGCTCGCCGCTCGCCCAATCCGATGGCGCGCTCGGAGCTGCCGGCCCTGCCGCGGCTGTTGGGCCGCGCGCCCGCGACGCCCGCGACGGCGAAGCCAGCGCTGAGCTCACGCAGCGAGAAGCGGCCCGGCGAGCGGCGAGAAACCGTTTGTGGCGATATGGCTGTGGATCGAAATAATAATGATAATAATGTATGGCTGTGGATCAAAGCCAATGGTACCATTTTGGTTGGTAGGTGAATTCAGCACCCATTTTAGAACCTATTTTACTTGGGATTGGGATGTTCACTGGGGGTACGGGTTTTGGCCCACGTCTATATGTGCTATATGTGGCTAGGTCCCCCAGCAATTGGTGCCCTTTCTGACCTTGTCTTTTTTGGTTGGGAGAGTTCCCCTACTGAATTAGACTACACAAAAAAGTTGGTAGCCTTGTTCTAAGCTCTCTACTGGAGGACCTGGGTGGTCATACAGTTGAGGGTCTCTTCAGCTCATGAGCTTAGGTGAAAGGAGCTGCCAAATTGCTCATGAAAGCCCGTGCTGTCCTGTGGTTTTCCACGTTATTGTTTGCATCATCTCCCCTGGTTTCCCGGTGTTTGTCGGCAAATTTATTGGTCAAAGGTCGTCTGGTGACGTATCGGGAATCCACCACTTGTGCAGGGCCCGGACACCCCCTGGGATTGGATTTATGCGGGGTATGATTTTCTCGCGCATGTTTGGTTTGTCCGGCGACACATTCGCTTGGTGTCCAGTTGATTTCCCCTGCGGTCAAAAGAGAGAAGCCACAGAGTTTTTTGACCCAAGAGGAAGCGACCCATTCCTTGTGCGTTCATTTTCGCCCATGACCTGAAGTGGCCGGTTTTCAGCACAGGGGAACCGGTCGGAGCAACAGGCGAAGTCCATGGGAGAGTTGCCCATGAAGGTTCCTTGCTGGGCGGTTTGCTTTGCTCAGCTTGACCGTATTATTTTTGCCCAGATGCAATGGGCTCGGAGTTCGGAATGGCCGTAGACGCTGGGCAAGTTCTCCAGGGAATTTCCAACCGGAGTGACATGAAACAGTTCTTACCTCTTAAAAGCACAACTTTTGAAACTTTTTGGGTAACATGGGCTATATGTCTGTAAAAGATTAACTTCCCCAGGGCTTGGAGTTTTAAGGGGTAAGAGTTTGTTTTTTGTACCCCAGATTTGGGCCAAGTTGATTCTCGAACCAACCGAGTGATGTTTCAGGTCTGGGGTCCCCAACTTGTCATCAACGTTTTGAACTTTTCAAAGGTATGTTGGATGTTTGTTTTGAATACCTGAACGGTTGGGACAATGCTATACATTTTCCCGTTTCTAAAATGATGCGAGTAAAAAGAATATCCCCAAATTTATGCTTGAACGTTGACCAAGGGTTCTTTGGTGCATATTTTGCTTGGATGTTAGGACTTTAACTTTTGCCAACTAATGGGTTTTCCATTAAACCACTAAAGGTTAAGCTTTTAGCAGGGGAGCAGAAAGCAACCGAGGGATGTTTGGAAGGTGCAGGAAGCCGTCTTTTGGAACCATCCACTGGTTGACGGATGAATCAACCTGACAGATTATAGGGCGTCTTTCCTCCAAGAGTGAAGGTTTGTCTCTAAAATGGGGGTGCACCCTCTTTCAGCCAGGGATTTGATTATTCTGCCAAGTGCTTCCAGTTACCAGTACAATAGGTAACAAGGGTTCCTTACCTCTACATGATGGTTTCCTTTTCAATTCAACCTTGCGGATTGGAAAGACTAAGTGCAGATTTGGGACTGTTCATTCCCAACAATTGTTTTTCCTGTCTTGTTCTTGCATTGGGATTCTATTATACACAGCCACAGACCTGGTGCATTTGCGTCCTCGTGCTGACACTGCTCAGGGGAAAGCTCGGCGAGTTAAAGCAACCTTGGCTGGTTACCCTGAACACGGTTGTTGGGAAACATGTTACATCTTGTTTTTTTTGGTGGTTGAAATCCAACCACTTAGCTGCTAAATTTTAAATTTTTGCTCCCCTTCCAACGTCAGCCAAGTCAAGGCGCCGGCCCTTTGGCCGCGACGACCGCGCAAAGCTCCCGGGCTCCCGCGGCAGCTCGCGCGCGCTCTCCAGCCGCGCAACCTCCAGGGGTAGCGCCGGCGTGAGCGACGAAGAAGATGTGAAGGAATCGAAGGAGGGGAAACGGAGAGACTACATGGAGCCTCCACCTGATGCCCAAAAAGGGAACTCACCAACTACAAATTTTCGATTTTTGGGGCAATCGCCTATTTTTGGAGTTTTGAGGGTCCAGGTGCGTGGATTCATGGCCCCTGCGGTGCATTTCGACCATCCGCCAAAATCCTCGGGTTACGAAAGGGGTCCTCTTTGGGTTACGAAAGGGGTCCTCTTTGCACCACTTCACGCAAGTCAAGTACCCCTCAAAGACCAAGGAACCCTTCCGACAGCCTTGACGTGGTCTTCGCTGCGACCAAATCGCCAAACAAAAAAGACGCTTTGGAAACAAAGGGCGAAAACCGCCTTTCCATTGAGGCTACAACAAAGTGGACTATAAGTAGTTGTTTTGCTCAAGGAAGAGGAGCAACCCAGTTGAATGATGTGACAGTTTGAACTTTGTTAATGTTGACCCAGGATGAACAAACCCGTCTCATTAGGGGTGGTGTTCCCTCCAAAAGTGGTCTGAATCCCCACTAAAAGGGGACCCCGTATTGATAAACAGGGGTTTGTTAGTCCGGGGTTAACATGAGCCACGAATGCGACCGGAAACCGCCAGGAGCTCTGAGAAGCCAGGAACCTCGCCAGAAAGTTGGCCCCTGTCGTTGATGAAATCTATGGACTATGCACTAACTGGACCCCTCCCAGGTTTAGGAAAGTCGGGACGGGCTTCAGTGGCACCAGGGCAACAGGCCATGGAAAGTTGGATCTTAGAGGTGTTGCAGACTCAAGCCCTAAGAAATCAATGCCCTGAACAAAGAGTTTGTAAAGTAGAATCTAGTTGTCCACCTTACATCACTTCCTGAGGTCATGGGCTTTATTTTTGTGGTATGGACCATTTGAGCGACTTCCCCCTTCCGCTCAGGAAGTGACTTCCCCCTCCCCCCCAAAAAAGAATAATAATGATACTAATATATATTATATACATATACCTCAGATGTTTCCGAGGAGGAGAGAGGCAGTCGGCAGCCCTTCCAGATGTGGACCCGGCTCCGCACGCGCGAGCTGATGCCCATGCCGCACATGGAGGACGGCGTTGGCTGAAAACATATAATGTCCGAATTTTGGGGAACTACTTAAATGGGCAATGGGGTACCCTCCCTCCCGCTAACATGGCAACTGACACAGGGTATGTTCAAGAGGAAAACCCTCTTCCAGGTACCCTCCTACAGCTGCTATGTTTGTTGGAGGGAGGATACTTAGAAAGTGGTTAGTAAGCCTGGTTATAGCCCACAAAAGCTATGATTATAGCTTGATTGCTATTGGGTTGAATCTTCAGACTTTCACTTTTTGGGAAAATGGGTTTTCCATTAAACCCACACATGTTAAACCTTTGGCAGAGGGGTCAACAGCAACCAAGATAAGTCTCCGTTCAGTGGGTTGCAGCCAGGCTTACTAACCACTTACTAAGTACCCGATCGCCCCTGGATGGACAAAATCCTGCACCAGTGGTGGGGATGGATAAAATCCTACGAATAGTGGGAGAAACCTACCAACTGGTGCGAAGTGGATTTTGTCCACAGTAGCGGCAAGAAATTTAGCAGGAGTTCTTAAGCCAACGGTTCGGACGAGTTCTTGGAGTGTTTCCAGATTGTTTCTTCAGGAATGGTTTGAGTGGTTTTGGGAAGCGGGTTTGCGGGATAAGAACACCTGTGGTTTCGGGTTGCGAGCTGCTTGGGACGTTGGATGGTTGAGTTTGGGGTCGTTCCCCACTGAAAACCATCTAGTTACAGGTAAAGGATACATTTGGACCAGTAAAAACAACAACAACTGGTCATTTGGATTCAGAGGACTCCTTGTAAGTCAGATTGTTTTTGTTGTTTCCTTTAAGACCTCATTGTTTTTTTTTTTTTTTTTTCTTTTTTTTTGGGGGGGGAGGCGGGGTCTTGCGAGCGGATTCAGAGGATCCCTTTGTAAAGAAGGGTTGTTTTAGATAATTTCGTTGAGGGGTGTGAGTGTGTGTGTGTGTCTTTTGTGAAGTAGATTTGGGTGTGTGTTGTTTGCAGGCAGCCTTTTGGTTTCTCTGGTGGGTTTCCTTCAAGCCTCATCCCTCCAATTGAGTCCCCGTGGTTCACATGGATTGACAGGGTTTTGACTCTGTTTGGTTGCAGCCCTTCACATGAGTCAGTGGAACAGGCCTGGGTTAAGAGCAACTAGCGAGCTTAAAGGCTCGAACCTTCCGAGTACCTCTCCAAAGGACCTGGAAACAGCTACACATGGGTATCATTTGTTAAGAGTGTCCCGGTCTCACCAATCCACAATGACCCATCCCCCCAAAAAGCCGCACGTGAAAAAATATATAGCAGATGTCCTTTTCGATCATTGGGACTTTTCCTGACCAATGCACTGGATCGGAAGCGAGAAGGCACGATATTTCCGCAACTCACAGAAACTATTTTGTCTTTTTTTGAGTTTCTGTGGTGTAAAGGATCACCAAAAGGAAAGCCAGCATTTTGGGGGTTTGCCTGGTTTAAGACACACCCGCATTCCTATGATTGCAGGCCCCAAGACTCGGTAGATTTGTGTTGCATGTAGGACATCCTGGGCATCGGCCCCGCGGTGTCATTCGGCCATGGCCTGCTGTGGAGCGGCATCTTCCAGCAGCGCCGTGGCCGGCCGCGGGCGAACGGCGAAGTTGGTTCGAGGTCCCCCAGCGAAAGGGTGCCCTTTCCCACCCGTTTCTTTTTTGGTTGGGAGGGTTCCCCTACTAAAATGGACTACAGAAAAAAGTTGGTACCCTGATTCTACCCTCTCTACTGAGGAACCTAGTCGAGCTTTAGCTTCCATATCCGTTCTCTTCAGGGATTTGTTTCAACCAAGTTTCCAAATTCGGGAAAATGGGTGGTGATGGTTTGATTGGATTTGAAGCTGCCAATCCCAACCACCAATTAGAGGGAAATAGAGGGAAGCTGACTTGAGGTTACCTGAACACTCAAACGGAAGTTCGCCCGTGTTTGTTTGTTTGTGGGCGGGGGGTATCACTTGTTTCAAGGGTGGCCTGAGGGTCCGGGTAAAGGGATGTATGACGTATGGGTCTGTCTCAAAAATGTTTCGGGACGACCAAAACGTGGCTTTGGTTTTCCTTTGGTTTCCCAACCCAAAAAGTACCCTCAAGCAACGACATGCCTAATACGCACTAGAAGTTGGACTTTGTGGCAAGGCCACGAACCACAAGAAAGTTGACTGGGGTAAACTTAGGATACATGTTGCATTTTACCAGTGATTCAGAGTGAAGCAAACTATAACATATACATCCTGGCTCAGCGTCCCCTGGTGGGTTGAAGGCAATGGCTTTTAGGACGTCTAACAAAAAGGCGCGGGAAGTGCAACTGAAACACGAATTCCCTATCCATTTAGTTTAGAATATTGTTTAGTTCCCGGGTTGGCTTTAAAGGGAAGCTATCGCTACTGGGTGTGTTATTTTTTCTTGTTTCCAGGAGACTCAAGCGCAACTGGCGGCTTTTCAGGAGGGATCGTTTTCTGAAGGGATCCGGAGGTGGCACTGGTCCCGCCTCCGTTTGAAACGCTTCAGGTGATCAGATGTAGACGAATAGATTCTACCCGTGACGACAATCCTCATGGCTGCGGGGGAGGGAGGGGGAGGGAGCTCCAAAAAACTCCTAAGCCCTTAATAAGGCCCTGTTTGGGGCTTATTTGGGCTCCCTCCCCCTCCCCCTCCCTCCCCCCAGCCCTCCTTTCAAGCCAAGTGTGCTGACCAGACAATGTGCTTATTGATCAAACTCAATGCCTGACAATATCATCAGACAGTGACAAGCGTGCCATTCAGCAAACAATACACTGAATTTGCAAAGGGCCGTCAACAACCTATACCAGCCATGAATTTAGTCCCGGGCTCGTGTGTTTTGCCAGTATGCCGATGCATCAGGCATTTGGAGCAGTCTGAATTTGTCTCATGAGACCTCCCGCGAAATGGGTTGTTTCCTGCTTGAAAAAAAGATGGTCTTGAAAAGACAACCAATCCCAACAAGGGGGCCAACTCCAAGAACCCTTTTTTCAGGAGACCTGGCTTGAGCCTTGAACAGAAAGTCCAACCCACAGGGAAACCGTGGGTCCCTGACAGTTTGAGGTACGCGGTGGGCTGGTTGCCGGGGATGAGCCCCAGCGGCTCCGTAACTCTGGGCGCGGCGGAGCTCGGCAAACTGCTCAGGGAGAACCACGTGAACCTGGACCGAGCCTGGCGTCGAACCAGTTTCTTGGGGTTGTCCATCCTTTTTTTGGGGGTTTTCCGGGGGTCGAACCAAGCTTTCGGGTCTGTCGATCCTGTTTTCTTTGCTATTCCCCAACTTCTTGTGAGGCTTTTGACAGTCTCCAACCCAGAGGCTCCCGATTGATTTAGGGCCTTCAAACAATCTGGTTTTGAGACCCCCAACCACCTCCGGGGTGTGTATTGGAGGGGTCGGGTCTTTCATTGAAAGCCCCAGGAGCCTCTGGGAAACCAAGATCTGGGTTTGTCTTTTTTCTTGCGGCTTAGCCTCACTTTTTGGTGTGGCGTTCCAAGGGAAGCCAAAAGGACAACCGAAGCCATTCTGGGATCCAACTAACACAGGCACACCCATTTTTCCCCAAAAAAGGCTCCGGTTGTCCGTTCGGCTTTCCTTTGAAACCACATTGAAGGACGACAAACACAGACGTACACCCAGATTTCATGTTTGGGGTTGCCAGGTTCCGGAACGCTTGTCAAAGGGGGATCTCCAAGAGTATTTCATGGTTTACCTGGAGTCTCCTTCTGACCCTTTAAGAATGGGTCAATGACCCCAGTATTTTGGATAATGACCCTCTTTTTTAAGGGTCAGAAGGAGACTCCAGGTCGACTAAATATGTAACAGAGCCAGAAAAGAAAACTTACGTTCTGCGTGGATCAGATGTGGGGAGCGGGCTCCCGGCGAGATAGCTCTATCGACCGCGTGTGAAGGTTCCTCAAAGTGTACATGTTTCCAAATTGCAATGCCGCCTTTACCAGCTTCTAAGGGTTTTCGCAGGTGACTTTCAGATGTCCTATCAAATCTCTGGGTGTTATGGGGGGCCTGGAAAAAGACAGCGCTCCCCTGGTGGTGTCCTATAAAACAACAATGTGATATTGACTGCACATCATACAAATTGTCTCCAAATCTCTTCTGTTTGGTTTCCCGCACTGGTCAGGACTCTTAAAGGATGACATGAGCTCCCTGGATTGACCAAAGCCCTGGACCCAAATTCCGTGGGAGTTGACTAGCTCATGGCGACGTGCACGTGCACGACGCACTCCTAAAAGATCAAGCAACGTTTGGTGATAGGTAGCTTTGACCGCCTTTCTGGGGCGGGATGCGGTGTTGTTGTCTTGTTTTTTTTTTGGGGGGGGGGGGGTTAACGGACGGGCTGATGTTTCGTAGGTCTAGTTCCCTAGCCCTTGGAACAAAGTAAATACATTTACCGTCGTGGGCCCCTCCCATGTTGGTTCTCTGGGACTCCAAAACCTGTCATGGGCTCATATTATTTTTGGACCCGATGTAAGTTTCTCCTTGAGAAGTCGGCGGGTGGTTTTTTACTGCTAGTCTGAGCGCTTTGAGCGCTCGGACGGCCAAGATTCGGGCTGACATGTGTTACATTAAAAACCGCTGGATCGAAACGCTGGTTTGGCTTTTTTCTTTTTCTTTTTTTTCTTTTTTAACACTGGTCAGTTGACATGGACTATTTGCTTGCCTGAGTCTGTCGTCGTTTAGGGGGCCCACAATGTGTTTTTGGGGGCCACAAACACTGGGGTACCCTCAAACAAAGACACGCCTGTACTGTGTATGCACTCGGACTCCGGTGATCCATTTGAGGGTGGCGGACTCCAGGATAGACCAAATGGTGTTCTTGTTTGGTTCAAACAGGGTTTCTGGGGTAGACTTAGGATACATGTTACATTTTACCGGTGACTCAAAGTGAAGCAAACAATAAAATATACATTCTATAACTGGGCCTAACTCCGATCATGGTTTCTTGTACTCCCTTCTCCAAAACCTGCCTGAAATGACCTTTTTGGTTTTTGCCCATGGTCCACGGAACTGTCTTTGGTCTGAAATGGAGATTGCCCGTTAGGTCCCTAACGGGCAGGTGAGTTCAGCATTTCTAGACTTGCCTTGTCTACTTTCGGCCTTTGCTGTCCCTTCAGGTTCCCGCGGCAACCACTTAACCTTTTGCAGAGGTAAGTTCGGCGAACATTCAGGCAAGGTATTACCGTGCATATGCTCCTCACAAGTCAGGGTTGTTAGGCTCTAAGGGTTGACTCCCCATTCTCTAAGGGTTGACCACTTTTGGAGGGGCCCCACCCTCCGGAGAAAACAACGACTGGTTGCTTGATTCATATGGGGTGAGCAAACCTTGCCCATGTGGCACATGTGGACTCCAGGACTACGCCTCCCGCTGCCGCGTCATCGAGCTCGCCGGCGGGCGCAATGCACAGAGCGGCTCAGCGTGAAGTCCAACTCTTCGCGAGGACCTCTTCTCTTTGGTTGGGCGGGTTCTTCCAAATGGGCCGGGGGTGGGGGGGGTTGCAACTAAGTTCCTGATTTTGGACTGTTTCTGGTGGGTTATCAAAGACAGAAAGGGGGGGTTGCTGCCTTCTACCAACCACATGGGCCTGACTTTGATGGACAACTCATGAAATCAGTGCAACCCCAGACCTTTGGTGCCCTTTTCGATTTTTGTTTTTGGAGGAGTGTTTCTTTACAATCGACCAACAAACAGATAGGGCCCCTCCAGAGCAATTCCTATTTTTGGTGGACACCATCTGAAACAGCAGAGTTGCAAACTCAGAAACTCATGAGACCCTGGTTCGCAAGGGAAACCGAAAGAAGGTTGTTGAAGCAGTGGCTTAACCATGTTCAAACCGGTTGAATCGCCTAACCCTGGAGGAAACCATGGGTCTGGGGGAGCACCGTGTTGATTCTGAAACGAATCTATGACTAACGGACATGTGCTCTCATTTTTTCCAGGGCAAATGGAGGTTGACGAACCTCGCCCGCCCCGTTCAAGCAGCGAATCTCGCCCTCCCCGTTCAAGCAATCCAGGTGTCTGCGAGTAACATACTCTGGCGTATGTGTGTGGTACTTGCCTCCTGGGGTTCTGACCTGGGTGCTATGTGACCTGGGTGACAACAAATCATTCACATGAATATCACCCAGCAGATCCCAGGTTGCCTTGTAGTAGGTCCTTTAACCGGGGGGTTCCCTTGGCCGAGCAAGGAAGTGCGGTGACAAAAACTTGCACGGATGGAGATGGACCCTTTGCGCCTTTGGGGTTTCCCATTTTGCTATCCCCACCCCCGTGAGAATGGAATTGGGGGAGAGGGGGCGACCCCTGAATTCTATTTATGGTTGCATTTTCCTTTTACGGGGAAGACTTCAAATTGTAAAATTGAGTCCCGGATCCAGACCCTTTTGGCGAACTACTTTCTTTTTTTTGGAAAGGGAACCTGTGCACTTCTGTCAGGCCACCCCGCAACCCCGCCGGGCACCAACCACCAATTAAGGAGAAGCTGATGGTGTTTTGAAACGACAATGACCAAACAATTTTAGCAAATGCCAACCCCAAAAAGGAACACCCCAGCAGCTGGCAAGTGGCAACCCAAAATGGCAACCCTACCAACGTCACAAGGCCCTGGAAAACGGATCAGCGAGGTGGAAAGGAGAGCGCGACATGTGGTATAGGCCTATTGTTGACTTACCTCTTAAAACACACAACTTTTTAGCTTTTTTGGGTAACATGGGCTATATGTCGGTAAAAGATGAAAACTTCCCCAGGGCTTGTAGTTTTAAGGGGTAAGTTGACCTTTTCCCCAAAATGTCGAACTGGACCCTGACCCCTGTTGTGTTCCCCACATTTCACGGCCGCTTCCTCAAGGCCTTGCTTGTTTTTTGTGGCCCCGAACCCCCCCAGGGTAGACATGGCACTGAAAGTCTCACCACAAAATGCGGGCACCTATGACCGCAGAAAATAAAGGTCACCTATGACCAACCGCCCAGGAAGTAGAAACAAACATGAGCCCAGGTGGTATCCCCAACAGCCTGGCAGCTGATTTGGGCCTATCGACCCCATAGCTAGCTTTCAGCTGGTTTGACGAAGGAACGGCGACTCGGTGTTTGATTTCCCATTCGTTTCAGCCATGTTTCTTTTCACAACCCGGATCCGTTTTCTCCCTGGAAAATCCGCAGATGTTCTCGATAATTTCTGGACCTGGACATGGAAATTGTACCCCTAGCACAACACAAAATCCCTCACCTTTCCCCCCCAAAACAAAAAGAAAGGAAGAACCAAATAAAACAAGAAAAAAAGAACACCGAAAAAAGGAAAACAGAGCAAACAAAAAACACAACCAAGAAAAGGAAAGTTCCAACGACTCCGAGGCATCGACTTCCTGGGCTTCCGGCGGTTGGTGGAGTCCACCGCCAAAGGCGCCGTCTTCCTGGAGGACCTCTCGGCCACGGGGCTGAAGACCCGGAAGCGCCCGGACGAGGCGCGGCCTCCGGACGGCCTCCGAGCATCGACGCGACGGCTCGGTCCGTGGGGGTTCGTTGGCGCGTGTTTGCTGCTTGGATGTGGGGACTTTACCACGTGCTTGCTGCTTGGATGTGGGGACTTTACGCCTTTTTTTTTCCAACTCGATCCGGGGTTTTGCGTATATTAAACCGCTAAGAGTTGTTTCAAGCTTTTAGCAGGGGAGCAGAAAGCAACCGAGGAGTTTGGGGACACGCGATGGCCCAGGCGAAGCGAGCGTTTCTCACGGGTAAGTGTCCCCCTGTATGGCAAATTCAATGTTTGGCCCCGAAAGATTGACCCTTTAAAATTCAGTTTCCCTTTGGTCAATGATTTTAGTGGCCTCGAAAGGTCAAATCGTTTGTTTCAGGGTCCTTTGGGGAACTGAGAGGAGGTTGGGGAGGTTTGTGTAGAGGAGGTTGGGGAGGTTTGTGTGGCTTTGCTTTGTTGAGGGTGACAGTTTTGGAGTTGGTTTACAGGGAAACCAAAAGGAGCCGGATGATTCCCCCCCCCCCCCGTTTAGACACGCATCTTTTTTTTGGAGGTTGGGGTTGAAGTTGTCTTTGGTCCTGCGCTGTTGGGCCAAAATATCAGGGCTCTAGGTGGAAAACGGGGAGGTTCTTTACGGGAACCTAAAAGGACAAAAACCCATTTCTGAGGTTCTGGTTCCTATTTTGCGACATCCCCACGTGGAGACCTACTTTCTCACCAGATTTCTTGGATTGAAGCCATGCGGTAGGAGATCGATCTCGAGTCCTGAAAACAATATTGGTGGAGATGTCTGGAGCGCCGTATCAAATGCGCAGCAAAAAACGTTGGATTCCTTCCAGGGCTGGAAATGAGACCCTAGAAAACTCGCACATGATGTGCAAGTATCAACTGCGCAAATGAGTCACTGGATTTGTCAATGCCTTTCGGGTGAAAGAGCGCCACTCAGCCTTATTTGAGGCATCCACAAGGCTAGAAAAGTTGTTTGGGTTCCTTTGGTTTCTCTTTGTGATGGACAATCTTCCATGTTTGATGACACACGTTTGAGCAACGCTGTATACCCGTTGTTTGCTCCTGTGTGCATTTGATACTAAATGTGATACATGGATGCAAGTATACGCACATGTATTTGCTGATAGGTTACCATGTGTTTATGTCATATACTGAACCAAATTGCCAACCCGTAAGGGAGGCATCGCAGCCCAAAATCCTGGCTAGTGTCCTTTTCGCACAAGGGTCCTGTATCCCCCAAATCAAAGGGGGCTCCCAGAGGAGTAACTCCTCCTGTGAAGGGTTCCATGTTTCTGGGCTCCATGTTCATAGTTCTGCCTTGCTTGAGGCATGATTTGTAGTGAGTTCTGAGTTATGATTACTAAAGTTGTGAGTAATCATTTGGGCTTGTAGTGATTACTTTGGGCTTGTAGTTCTGAGTAATCATCTGCCCCAAGTTGTGATTGCTTGCTTGAGGCATCCAAGTGGTCCAAGCGAGCGCCCAAGGCCGCCCTTGCCGTGGTGCGAGCGGTGTTCAACTCCTATGCCGAGGGCAAGGCAGAAATGGAGAGGGAGGACGCGCGGAGAATCGCGCATCCCTGTTGGGTGCTTTGAAACCAGTGTGGGTCCCTTCTCAAGTTGTATAGTTCTGTGGTTGTTTTTGAGGTTTGAAGCATTCCGTGTTGCGCCAATGCTCAAGAGAGTGTTCCTCCGGGCGATTTATAGAAGGGGTGTAAATATACACACAAGGAGCCCTGAGTTGGTGGAAGTCAGGTCAGAAACTCAGCAAGCATCATCAATCGCTGGCTGGGAACTGTCCTAAATGGGGGGGGGCCTTTTTCGCGCGCTTGTGATATTGGAAGCTTGTCTTGAGCCACCTTTGTTCGATTGGGGGTTCAAACAATGTTCAGAACAGCCAAACCAGATGGTGAGGTAACCACGCCAAATATAGGATCACCATGCTGAAAAAAGGGTAACAGCGCTAAGAATGTCTAGTAATCCTGCCGAACAATAAGACAAGATCAGGATTACAGCCAACCACCCCTCGGGCCATGATGTTGTCGCGGGTGAGGTGAAGCCTTGCGAGGAGGAGTTGAAGGTTCAGGGGAGTACAGACCCACCAGGACCTGAAGGTCCGGTGAACTCGGGTCAGCTGCTTAGATGTTGCAGTGCAGTGAATTGAAGTGACCTGCGGATGTTTTTTTGTGTTCAATATGGTTCATTTGGCTATATCGAGTTGACATCCACCGTAAAGGTTCCTGAAACAAGGTAGGACCGCCCGACATGTGCCCCTGCTCCCGGCGTCCGATTGGGGAGGACTACATGCGGCTGCTGCGGGACCGAGCCCAAGTGCCGCGGAGCTCTGAGGGGATGCAGGACGTACCAAAGCCGTGGCTTTGGTGCAGCATGGAAATGGGACCTGCTTTTGTGGGGTGGGGGGGGGCGGGGGCTCCTGTTTGCTATGTTTGGTGGTTCCTATTCTTGTGGTGACTCCTTTTTTGTCTTTTGGTGGGGATGTTTTTTTTGGGAGGTGTCACTTTTTGGAGTTGGCATCTTAGTTGTTGTTTTGAAGGGAAAGGCTTTTTTTTGAGAACTCCCATATATTGCGTCCCTCGCGAGGGAAATGCAGTTTCGCGTCGAACGATGGACATGCGCGTTATCCGCATGATAAATGGTACACTTGAGAGCCCAAAAGTGTAGAAGCCGCCTCATGGTTGTGGAAACTTTGCTTTTTGCAGCTTCTGCGTTTGGCCAAGGCAAAACAATATTAAATACTCAAGCAGTCACGAGGATGGGGGGTTCTGCATGGTATTACAGAAAGTCCAGCCCAGGAACGAACAGCAAACCTACCAGTAGGGGTGCCCTTAAAGGACCATTTCCATAGCGGCTATGTTTTCTGTAAAGTCGACTACGAAAAGGGAGTGCCTTTTTTTCCAATGGCCACTGAGGGTGTGGGTTGTCAGCGTTCTTTTGATAGCAAAGTCGGGTGTCTGCATGACCACTCTATTGTGGGCATTTTCCACCAGACAGCGGAACACCAGAGCCAATTTTCCCACAAACAGGGCAATTACTCGTCGGTGTTTAAACATTGCACCCCCCCCTCTCCCCCCTTTCACTGGGGAAAACATGCCCTCGTGTGTTTACATATGGAGGAAGGAGCCGCCCGTTTATTCAGGGTATCCTCCCGCCTTTCCATTGGAGACGGGAGTGGACAGAAGGGTGTTGAAAGACTAATTACTTGCATGTTCGGCCAAGTTAGTATGTGGCTAGCCACCTGGGTTATAACCCACTTCTAATGGGGTTAACCCAGTCATTTGTGGCTTATTTTCCAGGTGGCTAACCACTTACTAACTTGGCGCCGAACATCCGAGTACCGCTCTCGAAAACGCTCGTGATGTTCACCCCAAAAGTTTACCAGGACCTGCAGCGGCAGCTGGCATTCTGCCGGGAGGACAGAGGGGGAAAGGCTTTCATGTTGCATGGCCAGACTTGACAGGCCTTGTGGACTTTTTGCCCGTGCTGTTTTCTTCCACTGTCCCTTTCAGCTAGCAAAAACATGACAGCTGTTTGAAAGGGATCAAAGTCTAGTCCTGTTCACTGCACACAAAATGCCCAGAGACTTCTGGGCGGGGCCAATCCACGAAGTGAACAATGGAAGCGCTTTGGAAAGCGACGCACGAGCCGCATGGCAATGAAAACTGCGCAACTCACGCGCCCACTCGCTTTAACACCCTCCCCGAAAGCCCATGCCCAGGGTGCTTGGTATGAACCTTAGTCTGCCGAAGGCCTCCTGAACAATACCCCACCTTGGGCGGCCTGGTTAGACTCAAACGCCTGGGAAAGCCACCGGTTCTCCAGGGTTCCCTTGTAAAGCCACCCAAAAAAAAACGGGTACCTGGAGTCTCCTTCTGACCCATAAAAAATGGGTCAATGACCTCATTTTGGGCAATGACCAACCGTTTTTGAAGGGTCAGAAGGAGACTCCAGCTGGGACCAGTACCCTTTTTCCGGTTGCCGGACAAGAAGGGAAAGGGGAGGGAACACAAAGGAGCTCGGCATTGAAGGAGACTTCAGGCCCGTTGGGGAAACCAACTAGCAGGGATACAGGAACCAGTTGGATACGGAGGATTCCCCCGTTTGATGCACCTTGACTAAGTTTGATATGGGAAATACTGTGGAGGGACAAACTCCTGCACCACCTGAGAAACCATGAAATGATCATTTGCCTGTAAATGCCAACCAGCAATGATTTCTTCTGGTTTCAAAGCGGTGCGAAACGGATTTCGTCCATCAGTAGCGCCAAGGGAACCCTCAGACCTCAGGTCGTCGACCGCCAGGACGGGCTGCCGGGGCCTTTGGACCTCACTGCCTTCATGCGCTTCTTGGCCTTCCTCGGAAGCTCCGGGAAGCGGTGAGCGCAGCTGGCTCTCTCTTAGGGAACCCTAAAGCACCGGGAGAAAGACGTGGGCGAAATCTGGGGAACCCAAAGGAAGCCTCAAAAACCCGAAGGAACCAACTGCCCCAAGATTAGTTGTAACCCAAAGGTCAGCTCCCGGAGGACTTTGGCGGGGTATAGCTTGAGTTACGACTTTGTTCAGTCTGACTTGTCCGAAGCGAATCGACCCGACATGACCGTTTGGTGGTGGCTCATCAGTCAAGGTTCCCAACAGGTTAACCTCATGCTCATATTTGTGAATCCTTTGGGTAAGCGAGTTCAGGTTGGGGAGTGTTCAGTATTGCGAGTCAATGATTAGGTGTCACATCAGTTTGCCCGGAAACCTGAGATTGGCAACTAGCTGTGGCATCCGCGTTTCAATACGGAACGCGGCCGGAGACTTGGGCTGAAAAGCTTCTGAGTGGACCAAAAGGTGTCGATGCTCGGGAGCCTCGGAGCCAAATGCGCGTGCCGAGGTGGAAAGTGTGGGAACGAGCGAGCGCGCAGATGGGCTGTCTGGGGTCTCTCTGAAAATGGCTTTGATGGCTTTGCATTTAAGGTTTACAAACTATGGGTGTGTGTGTGTGTCAAAATTGGGGGACTCCCGAAATGATGTTTGCCTTTGGGATTCCAGATTCTCTTTAAATCAACCTGAAAAGGACACCCTCAAAGAAACACAACAACATGTTTGCCCATCAATGATCATTCTTGGTTGCGGGCAAAATCTGAGGTGGGTGTGGCAAGCCGGTTTTGCCTTTCGCCCTTCGGGAAAACTACAGGGATCCCCAGCGTGCTACACGTGGGTAGCCGATAAGGCAACGTCTGGTGGGAAGCTGGAGTGATCGACTGCTGGCTTGCTGTAAATGGGGGGCGGGGGGGGCGGGGACGGTGTTAGGATAAACCACACAATAGCTCACCAACAGTAGAATGCGGCACAATATTATTTAGCACGAATATTTCTCAGAAAAGTTGCATGGCGAGGGACCGGGTATTTTTGAAGGCCTACACTAAATTGGGAATGGCACCCAGTCTACCCGAAGTTCTGAACAGGGTTTCCTCACGATAGATCCACGGATTCAGGGCAATTCGAGGCATCGTGATCAGAAGCCAGCCATTTCGGGACGGTCCTCCCGTCGAGAGCTTCATGTTTTCAGCTCGCAAGTAAAAGGAATTCGTCCAGACATCATTCGAAAGTCATGTCCTTTTGGTTGCCGTTTCGAAAACCGCCGGTTCGGAGAGTCCAACCTGGGGTCCCTGTAGTGGGTGTCGTATTCCCATTCGCTCCTTCTCAGAGAATGTTTGAAACCGAGAAAACGGGTGCAGAGAAATCATGGCTGGAATCAAGCCTTAGACGAGGAGTCCGTTGCTTTCAATCAGACTTCACTCTTGGCATGTTTTTGGTTTTGGGTGTTTTGGGGTTCTTATCCTTTCTCCATTCTTCGTACGTAGGGGGCTGCCAAAAAAGAGCTTGTTTTGCTCAAGGCCATCCCAAGGTTTGTCGAAGTTGGGCCCAATGCCGCCGCCGTACAGCGAGTCACTTCCCGTCGCAGGCCGCCGGCGCTGACTCGGAAGGCGCCGGCATTGCTTCGTTTCCCGGCGGTGCGGTTGGAGCCTTTGATTCCTCGACTTGGATCAGAAGAAAGTAATTAGGTTGTTGGCGCATTTTGCCAAGGGATGTTAGGACTTTACTACAACTTTTTGCCAACAAATTTGGGTTTTCCGTATTAAACCACTGAAAGTGAAACTTTTGGCAGGGGAGCAGAAAGCAACCGAGAAGTTGTGAGTTTTGGGCCCACTCGTTTGTTTCTTTGGGTTGGGGTTGCCAGCAGTGTTCCCTTCAAGGGTGTTGGAGGGGTTGAATTGGACAACACACTGGCCACATCAAGAACTTCAAAGAAGTCCGTTGTGAGCTCCCACAGTGTTCACTTGTGTCTTTCTTTCTGTGCAAGTGGGCGAGAGATTGCGATCGCTGGAAAAACTCTGTTTTGCACGATTTGAGAAGACAGCATCAATATGATTTGTGCGGTGTCAGTGAGTCAGGTTGTATCTGGCGCAATGTCGGACAATTCATGGTGATGGATGGTCGTTGCCGCCAGCGAAGGAAGATTCTGCGCTGCGCGGAGGGAACTGCAGGCAGCAATTTATGCAGGGATCGATTCCTATATTTCCCTTTTTGGTGGCCCATGAAAGCTGAGTGTCCCTTGGTGAGGGTGATGGAGCCCTGTTATTGGCCCTGCGCCGGGGCAAATGCAGATCTTTCAAGATTCTTGGCTGAATGCCCAGGCTGCATGCCCAAGAATCCAGAATGCGGAAAGCACAGTGCTGCTTTTTCAGTGCTAGCAACTTCCATTTGCTGAAATGAAAACCAGACTGTTCGAAGACAAGACGACGGAAGTGCATTTAGAGTGGGCTGCTCAGATGCGCATCAGGGTTTCTCCCAGATGTTTGTTCCTCGAAAAGGTTGTAGCCCAACTCTCACAGGGCACCTCTGCCGCTTTCCAGGTCTCTTGTGCTTATCCTAATATATCAGATACTGGGATAAGCGGCGCGCACCGCAAGAACCAGCAGGCAAGTATGGCATTCTTTGTTTGCAAACTGAATTTGGGCCCCACATCTGTTTGCAATTTCATTTCACAGTTGCCATGTAGGCGTATGTCCATTCACTATTCCCATTCACTATTCCCATTCGCAATTGTTTTAATTCACTATTCCCATTCACTATTTCATTTGCTAAAATTCACTAAATAATTATTTTGATGTTTCCAATCTCTACCTCCCAGCGGCCATCTTAATGTGAGCTGCTTTCTTTTTGGTGAAGTGGATGGGCCGCTAAACTGGATGGGCCCTACTAGAGTTGCATGGGTTGCTCTTTCAGAGTTGGACATGGCACATCGCAGGCTTCCTGTCCAAGTTGCTCGGAGGGCTGGCGAGAAACTTGGAACGCGCAGAACGTGTGACGAGCGCCCTCACAACACCCTTGGGGGGTGATGCTGAGGAGGGACAGGGATGAATGAAACCCTATGAATACTGGGACTCCCCAACCCACTCACCACAGGCATGATTTTGTGCATCCACAGGGATGGTCATCAGCATTTCAACACTACTCCTAGACAGCCGATGTAAGGATTCCTGTTGAGGGCACCGTGGTGACGCACAGGGGAACCCAAGCCATCCCGAAATTTGTGGGGAGCTTGTTCGGTATCGGCGGCCAGAGGATTTCCCGGGCTTCCAGTTGGTGCAAATCCTTCTTCTCTATGTGGGAATGTGGTCCCACCGGACACAACTAATGCTGACCCGGATGAAGTCAAACCCCTGGTTGATTTTGATCGGTGTCCCCTCTAAACGTAGTTGGAGTCAAACCATGACCCTTAAAAAAATGGGAGACTCCAGGTAGTTGGATTCAGACCACTTTCGTGGGGCCCGACACCCGCCTCAAAAAGGACGGGTTCTACTTGGTCAGAGCCTGGGTAAGTTGAGGTGCAAGAAGCTGGCCTTCTTTCATTGGTTTTGAAGGGACAGTCGGGACACCCTTGCCATGTTGGGCGTTCCAAGGTCTATTTTGAGATCGCGGGGGTTCATCTAGTTTGTGACAACCGCAACTGCCTTTTTGCTTATGTACGTGGTTTGGCTAGACCAATTTACTCTGCAAATGAACGGCAGGAGCCCAAAACTCGGCTGCCCAAATGGAGTTTACGCAAACAAATACTGGCGTTGTGTGTTCCATGCGAAAGCATGCCGAGAATCATCGGTGTGTCGTTTTTGTTGGAGTCCTTGCAAAGATGGTGGTTTGTTTTTTGGCGTCCCTTTAACAACAATAAAAGCACAAGCCAGGGATAAGCCACCCGCATCAAGTTGTGATTGTGACATCTTTTGGGCTGCAACATGCCTGATCCACTTCAAGGCCTGTGTCCGAAGCGCGCGGCGCCACCACACTTTTTTTTTGGTGGGGGGGGGGGGGGCGGGGGGAAACACAATCTGCGGATAAGCCCATATGGCTATGAAATATTGGTGCACATCAATCCACAGCTAAATGATGTTCCAATTTGGATTCACTCCCATATGGACCAGCATGTGTGTTAGCTGAGGTATTATGATGAGAGTTAAGCGTGCTTGGGCACATCGGAGCAACCTCACCAGATTATTGAGCCTCACACATGACCAAAGGTGTCTTGGGGTTCCAAATGTCAGATTGACAAATACATCGCCCCCGAGTGTAGAAATCCTCTACGTAGGCCAAACCTGTTCCAACAAGTTGCAAAAAGGATGCAAATGGACGCCTGGCAATTTGGCAACTTTGGAGCCCAAATGCTAAGGTACCCTTCTCCGCAAAGGTGCCAACAAAGTTGGTGAGTTGTGATTAATGTTGACCCCCATATTAATCAACCCCAGTTTATAGGGGAGGTGTTCCCCTCCAAAAATGGGGGGTGATTCCCAACTAAACCCAGAATCGGACAGCCCCCCTAAAGAAGCCGGGATTAATCAATTAATACTGTGGATGGACGAAATCCTGCACCACCTGAGAAAACAATGGAATGATGATTCCCCTGTAAATACCAACCAACAATGGTTTCCCATGGTTTCTTAGGTGGTGCAGGATTTCGTCCATCCACAGTATCCCCCCTATCAAAGAAACCGGGGTGAATGAATATGGGGTCAGCACCTTCCGCTTTTCGGTTTGGTCAACCTTCAACCTGGGAGCGAAGCCTCAGTCGGAAGGTGAATACCTGGAGTCTTCTTTTGACCGCTTAGAAATGGGTGAAGGACCCCATGATTTTGGGTGACCAACCATTTTTTGGGTCAGAAGGAGACTCCAGGTATCTGCACTCTGAAGTGGTTTTGTGCGAGCAGGCTTGAATTTGCCTCCCCCTGAGGTGGAAGAGAACTCTTCGCTACCGGATAGGCACAGAGAGGGTGGGCGAGCGCTGGCAGACGCGAAATTCTTCAAATGTGGCGTGGTCCGAACACCCTTCTTGCTTCTGC